TCCAGCTCAAGAATTCTGGCTTCCACCCAGCTCTTGTCCTCATCTTGGATTTCAGGTTGCCCTGAAACCAAGAGCAGACGCTTACGCCAGTGCGTCAGCTGTGTGATAGCCGAACTCTTAGCTGAGCCCATAGGCAAACTACTCCAACTATCAATTTCCCCACTTAGCTCTTCCATCCTCTCTTTACATGCCTCCAGTTCCTCATCCAAACTGAGCGACTCAACCCAAGCTTGAGGCATGCTAGCAATTTGTCTGAACTGTGTACGCAAAGTGCGTACATCAGTTCCAGGAGTCTCCCCCCGGGACCGCACCTCGTACACCAGCTCCGGCTTCCTCAAATATTCCGGCACAATTGACGCCATACCGAGTCTCAACCAGCACTTGACTCAAAATAACAGCCAACAAAATTTTTTCACAAAACAAACACAGAAATTTAATTCCTAAGGCTTCTGGACGTTGATGCCTACGCACCTGATGGGGCCCAAAAGAAGAACCTGCCCATTCATACCGCAAGTACCGCAAGAAAAAACAACAACAAATGACCCACGAACGTACACACACACAAACATACACCGATACATACACTAGACAACACCTAACACTTGTGTGATGGGGGGTACACACAAACCTTTTTTTTTTTTTTTTTTTTTTTTTGACACATGACCATGCTTTTGACACTCTTGCTCCCGAAGGATGCAAGTCATTACCACCGATTCCACCCGGTGCCTCGGCCAAAGGGCGAGCTCCTAATAAAAATGTGTTTACGCCCCACCACAACAACAACAAGACCTTTTTCCAAAACTGCCAGGCCAGAACATTTCCAAGAAACCAATCCATCCACGGCTCTTCAAAACAAAACAAAAAACAGAACGCGGACAGTGATCGCATCTCTAAGTATCCGAGTCGTGAAACCAAGTTTCACGACAAGGCACCCAGGACGCAACCCACTAACCACGCTCTGCTACCAGATGAACCATGCCCCCGAGCCTGCCCCCAGACTAACGAAATGGAAGCGTGATCCATGCGCAGGCCCGAGAAGCGGCTCACAAAACATTACTTAACAAAATGAGAACCATGGATGGAGGTTCAAGAACAACACGCCATTTGAGAGAAACGAGCTGTAATTAACCATTTAAAAAAATAACACAACAATAACATCAACAACAATAATTAACAATAATACATGAATTAAATACTCTCAATTAAACTTTAAAAATTTTGATACCCGTTTACCCTACTAACTTACAATTATTTCATTAATCATTTTCAAATAGGCTAAATTTCAAAAATAAATCTTACTAGCTTTTACCTTTCAAAAAACTTTTAAATTAACAAATTACAACATGATATATATAATGACTCTTTTAATAAATTCATTTCATCTGGTAACTATAGAAACTTTAGGGGCCCCAAATTAGAATTCAATAGAATATTTAATAAAATTATAAAATTTAAAAAAGATCAACAAGTAGCCTAGGCTAAAGAATTTAAAATTTAAAAAGAAAAACGATTAATAAATCTCTGTGCACAAATTAACAAATAGGTAACGAAATCTCCAAGTCCAGGACGGTGGTTAGCAATAATTAATTAGGCCTAAAACTTGCGGAATTTGCGGTACTAGTTCATGTTTCTGGGCGAGCAGCACCGGAGGGGAAGCAGGCATGACGGAAGAGGGGGGCCAAGATCCAGGGGTGGCCAAGAGTTGTAATTCCCACTCCGCCAAGGCTGATGCAGACTACCGGTACTCCATGTTCCTCCTCACGGGCCCCATCAAGCGCGCTGGGCGCTCTTAATTTACTGCATAGTAGAGAATATCTTCACACAAGTAAGGAAAAGGCAAAAATACAACGCAAACATACTACAAAATTAAGATGAAAGACGATGCAAAATTTATGCCGATGCAGCGCTAACGAAAGTCTCGGAGCCTCTGAATCGTCGGCGGTGGGAGTAAAAAGAACAAAACCCACAGCCTTGTTCAAGGGGCCGTGGAGTGACAACGAAACACTGAACTAGCCTACTATAAAAAAAACACTTGAACCATTGATCATGAGTCGTGACATTCGCCCGGTGGAAATAGTCACGGCTCAACTGCCCCGAAACTATAGTCATAATAAAAATACGACTATGATTGAAGACGTAAAAAAGTATTTAACCTATTATTAGTATTAGAAAGTAGGCCTACGTTTCAGAATATTGTTGAACCGCATAAACAAATACTCGAGTAATATAACCTAAAAAATTAAAACCAATTTAAGGAAACGTAACAAGTACTCAATGCGTCAAAGAAATGGTGCGCATTGATGTAGATCAATAGCTCAACAACGAATACTGTATTAAGACTGGTACAGTAGTTTTATTACGACCACTCGTAAAGAGAAGGATTGTAACGATAAGATTTCAGAAACCTACGCGGACTGCACTGTCATCAAATCGCCATACCTCAGCAAAACTGATATTTTCAATACACGCATTACGAGCTAAACCATTCCTTTATCCCTTGGTCAACAGAGAATCAGCTGGTGTCTAGGATATTGCCGTACATTTTCTCTCTTCTACAATCTGTCCATTTTACAAAGAAAATAGTTCCGATTAATAAATTAACTGAAAACAAGTTGGTAACAAACAAGATACGACCAGTTTTTGATACGTCAGATTAAGGCGTCAATCCATTTAACCACGAACGAAACGAATACTGACTTGTCACGTATTAGTATTCGTGCATTTGAACATCGATACAACGACTTAACCTATAAATCTGTTGTCACGTGTTTACAATTAATTGTCGTTAAACTCTTGTATTCAATAGTAACTTACCTGAATCCTTAAGAACATTAACATACGGTTTAGTTAAGACAGTTCCGTTCAATTAATTTTTAAATAATGTTTTACTTCCGGGCCAGTAACATAATTTGTTTATATTTATGATCCATACTGGGTCTTTTCCTGGCCACGAATACTTGAACAGAACCGGTATGCATCATAAACATAAACAAATGATGTTGCTGGACCAAATCCTATACTAATAGCATTAACATATGTTTTGGCAGTTCCAAGCAATGTTAAATCATGTTTATTTTCCTACTGTTACTTGACAAAGTGGGCTTCCTTGCACTGATTATAGCACGCAAAGTAGCTAATTTTGCATTCACCTACTTTTGCCGCACTCATTTTCTTTTGCCGCACTCCAGTATTTCAACCAAACAACAAAAACAGTGTGCTTTGTATGCTTGAAAATAAGTTGGCAACAATTAAAAAGATACTACGAATACGATAAGCTGGTGCAGTGTTTCCCATTTCGTTCAAAGCTTGGATTAAACCTAACCTAAAAGCGGGTTGTATAGTGTTTGAAAGACTAATTATTTATATGGTTTCTAGTAACTGTAGGAAAAAATATTATGTGTAGCGCGAGTGCAAAGTGTCTTTGCTGCACTCGAGAAACTTTCCACACTCGCCTATACGTCTCGCCCGTGAACATTTCTCTCATGTGCAGCAAAGTGCCACTTCGCACACAGTTACACAAATAACTATTTTGAGCCAGCAACGTAATTTATTTATGTTTATGATCCCTAGTATATTCCCTAGTATGATTCCTAGTATATTGTATACTAGTATATCCCTAGTATTTTTCGTGATTTAACCTAACGGAAAACGTGTGAGTTTAAAAGACTTGAGTAAAATGTTTGCAAATAATAGGTACAGTGAAATAAATAAATATTCTTATTCTTATTCTGAAAGTGAGTATAATCCTGTTGTTGCATGTTAACATGAACATTCCAAACCAAAAATTGCATTCAGATTTTGATTCATAAGGCTTATTCAATTTCATTCAGAAACAATTGTGAAATATTTTCATTTGGGTTTTAAATTGCTTGTGAGACAATTTCATTTAGTTTATAGTAAACTGTAATAGTAAAACTTAACCTGTAATATACAATTGCCCACTATCACTATTTATATGCTTTATAGTAGGCCTAATTATAAGAAAAAAAAAGTATAACGAAGCGCAAAGTCTTTTTGTTCACTAGTTACATAAATAACTATTACATTTTTCTTCAAATTTATTTGTGTTAATCATCAAATCACTCTCATTATCATCAATTTCAAAGTGTTTTTATTCTTCTGAATATTTTTATCAAATATTTCTTTTCTACAGTAAAAAAAGTTTTGTTTTATATTTTAATATAATTACTAGTATTATATGATTGTATTATATTTTTCTATAATATTTATCAAATATTTCTTTTCTAAAATAAAAAAAGTTTTGTTTAATATTTTAATATAAATTAACAGTACTAGTAGGTATTATATGATTGTATTATATTTTCTTCCCAAGGTTAGTTACTTTATTGTCAAACAGCGATAGAAGAATGAAATGAAATTAAATGAAAAAGAGTGCTTTTATTTACAAATAAGTGTACAAGAATAACTTCTTAGCACTAAATACAACGATGGACAAAAAGCCCGTCTGTTGGGGCTGGCGTACCTGGTTAGCACTTGTACAACAATTGATTAATAATAACAATTAATGAAACTAATAAATAATAATAAAAAAGATTTTAAAAGTAATGACATTTTTAAATAAACAAAGGTTGTTGACTAGCTACCGTAATAGGAGAAAGTATGTGTCAGATTGGTTATAGGCCTACAGTTTATTTTGAATTTAATATTGTGGCAATTCTCCCGTAAAATTCCTTAAAATAACAGAAAAATCTGATTTTTCACAAATACTGCTTGAGAAATTTTGATGAAAATTTTATATGTGTTATAGTGTTTAGTCTAAAACTTGCACATAGTTGTTTTGCCTGAACAAAATGGCACAATTCCTAACACTGTAACAGTTAAAGTTTAAAAGTTAGTGTAATTTTTATGATTTCTCCCTTAAAACCCCATAGATAACCTCTCCCAAAATTTAACTGAAAAGAGGGATTACTCAGGATTAAACTAATTGAAGAAAGCATGTTGCATAGATATTAGCTGACGGATGATGTATTTTGTTGCAGATCCCGATCTCGGACACGCAAGGTCCACCGCAGCAGATCGTCCAGTGAGGAGAGAGAGAGGCACTACAGACGGTACAAGTCCAGGTCCAGGTCTAGGTCCAGATCCAGGTCTAGGTCTCCCCCAGTACTTACCATGGTGCAACTGACGGCAACGGAGAAACGGCGCAAACTGAGGGAGGATCACGAGCGGGCGCTGGCGTCGCTCAGGGAGACGATACGGAAACCTTTGTCGGTGAGTGTACTGTAACAGGTACAGCGCAGGACTTTGGTCCTTAGGTCAAGGATTCAAATCCCACCAATCACGAATGGCTGTGGGATAATGCTTTGACCCCCTTGCCCTGGTTTAAAGTAACAAGCTCTTGGCTCTTATAAAAGAGGCAAAGATTTATAAGGCTGTACCCTACCAACAACCTAACCTTAGGCCCAATTCACACAGAACAAACGTCGGGCGGAGACGTGGCACAGATGAGACAAGGACATATATGTCCCTTCCTCATCCCTCCATGTAAACAAATCGGTCAATGCAGACACAAGTAACATGGCGCGGACCGCAGCCCCTTTTGCCACCGCCACGTCCCTTCGCTGTCCCTCGTGGCGTATTGGAAGTGGCATGTCTGTATAGTGTGTACATTGTTCGGACTGCAAATATTGTTTGCTTATCAACCTTGTTTATTGTTGTATTGATCTCGTTGAGTAAATTTTGTGTTGTTTCTTGTACTTTTCATCATGCGAGACGACATTGAATTCAATATCAACTCAGATTTTGTGAGGAAGTCGAACAATGAAAATGAAATGGATATGGAACTAAACAATTCCCATGTTTATACGATCACAGTCGTTCTGATTACTGCAATAGAAGTGCGCAGGAACAAGTCTGGCAGAAAATTTCTCCCTTCTTTAACCACAATTGATTAACCAAAAATCCTTTGTTTGTAAATTGTCCAAGATCACTAAATCTAACATGTCTTCATCATCTTCTTCACTGCTGTCCTCCATATTGTGATGTAGTTAGTACTAAACTTAGTTGACATATAGCCAAAACGTCTACAACTCTACAGGCAGGTTTTCTTGCCACTGTCCCGTCCCTTCTGTGTGCATTGCATAGTGTACATGCCACATCCGTGCCACGTCTCCGCCCAACGTCCGTTCTGTGTGAATTGGACCTGACAGAGGATTTTGTTTGATGTGGCAAATATTTTCGGAAACTCTGGAACCATCAGACCATGGATATAATAATCATCGCAATTAAAGATTGCTATAATAGCTCATAAAAAGAACACATAGCAACATATATAAACCATTGTATTTATATACAAAATTTAGAATATTAAAAAAAAAACATTGGCACAAGCAATACTTTGTTTGGACTTTTCTTACAAATAGATGAACAAACAAAATTGCGAGAGAAACAGGAATGGATGATAGTCAATTATTACAACCATCAAAACCATTATGTTGAAAGAGAAGTTTTTATACTCAATTATACATTTAGAAACGCGAATTGCATTTATGTAAAGAACCAGGTTTCAAAAAGTTAAAAATAGAGTACAATGTAAATGTCCCTACTGTAGACCTATTTTTTCTTCTTTTTATCAGTAACTTTTGTTGGAATGGAGTAGAAATGGTTTACTGTATAAAATAGCAAGGCCAGGGAAACAGACCATTAATTGTTTGATTTTGTATTTTTATTGTGAACTCAGTTGATTCCAAGCTACAAAAGAATAATTTAATAACTTCATACATGTAGAATCGTGGTCTTCTGGCGACAACCGTGTCAAAAACGATGAAACACTAACACTCACCGATGTTTCGCCCTCTCTATCATCGGTGAGAGTTAGTGTTTCATCGTTTTTGACACGGTCGTCGCCAGAAGACCATGATTCTACATTAAGTGACCGTGGAAGTCTATCCAGAAAGAACTTCATACATGGTTGAATCAAGTTTCTTTTGTTATTTTTGGGAGCTATACATATACAAGAGTATCAAGTAAATTTTGGTGTTTAAAATGGCAATAAATTTTAAATATCAGTTTCCATCAGTAACTTAGGTACTGTATATATGATTCTTGCACTCCTTCACTTTTTTACTCTACTGCACTTGTTTCATCTTGCAAATAACTATTACCTCCAACAATTTAGATTTTTGTTTAAGCTGTAACTTTTTTATAAAATACAAAAACAGTAAGGTGTCAGAGAATACAAAACTGCAAATTGTTCCAGACGACTCCATTATCCATAACCATCACCAACCATGGAGGAGACAATTTCGAGGCAATCTGTGACAATTACGACCCTGTAGTGATGAACGAGGTAGGAAGCCCTTCTCATTGGCTTACAGGCTTGTATGCTTGTATATAGGCTTGTATTTTTATTTTTAATATTTTATTTTGTTTTCCCTTGTTGTTGAACTATACTTTTCATAGAAATAAACTTTATTTAACATGCATGTTTTCTGTTTCTATTTACATACTTTTGCTTAGTGCTATCATAAATTGGCTTTTGCATGGTTTAAATGTGAATAATTACTATGGAAGAAGAAAGAAATGAAGGGATGCGGGAGTGTGGCTATAATCGGCTCAATGGTAAGTGGAATATTCATTTAGATTTTTATTGTTGATTTTTTTATTTTCCTGTAAAGTATTTATTGTGTGTGTTTATTGCCATTGGTATTTTGTTATGGTTTTGTTTAGAGTGGTCCAAATTCTGGTCTTGTTAATATCTAATTTGACCCTATATTGGATAAAATCGTTTGGTTGTTAATTAATTAATTAATTGCCATGGCAAATGGGTATCTGGGTCCGGGATGATTTAACCACTCAACTACCCAGAAAATTTTTGACAATATGTAATGTAATCTACCTATTTCACATATTTCTTTGTAAATGTGTTTACTATTGTAAATTATCAAACTCTTTTCTCATTTAAAAGAAACTGGTCTAGGGTTTTTGGGCGGTGGAATTTATAATGCTGGGGCATGGAGTAAAAGGTTTGGTGGAATATTTGGGTCCCATTGTATTTATTGTTGCTTCAAGGTTCAAATACATCAGTATACACAAAGATTTTCTGTTATAGTTTGATTACATTATTTTCAATCTTTTGTTTCTAAAAAAAAAAATGTTATTAGTATTTGTAACATGTAAAACTTTGAATTATTTCCCATTCAAATAATCATGTGTAATCTCTTAAGTATTGATCCAACCCCACATTTTTTTATGTAACTTATATAACAACTTAAAAAGGTGTGAACATAGAAATATATTTTTATATTCAGTTATATCTATCTTTTGAATTTAATGTTCTATTTATTCAGTAGAGTCTCTGTAACCTAAACCACCCTTGATAGGGTTCGATAATACAGAAAATAAAATAAAAAAACTGAATAAGTAAAGTCTATATCTTGTCAACCCCATTTAACTTAATGCTTTAAGATTGTTGTTTGCTGTGTGTTGTAGTTTTTTAATATTTTGAAGCTACAAACAATAATTTACGGAGTAAAAATACAGAGTAAGATAAAGCAATGCTCAATAAATAGCTCTCTGTTCGCGAACAAGACTTTAGGTATAGCAGAGAAGTATTGCATTTATAAAGATTTAACAGTGACAAACTGTGAGATGCCCAGTGTATGGTCTAGGGTCTAGTACAAGTGTCTAAAGCCTGACACCTTTCTTGTGAGGATAGACAAGGGCTGCCTTAGTAGCCTCTATGGTGTACAGACGTACCACCTGAAAATAGCCCGTGATCAGTATTTGATTGTCCACCGGTAGAGTTGGATAACTTGAAATGTTGGATAGTTGAGACTCTACTATACTTCTAAATCAAAGTAATAATTTTGTCTCATATATATATATATATATATATAAATTATGAATCAGCAGATAAGTTTGTATATACCAATTTTAGTCCCTTTTGATTTTTATACGTCAGTCTTTTGCAAGTTTTCAGTTTTCACAAAAGTGTTAACCTTTTTGGCGTATGGCTTTTAAAAGAATAAGTTGGCATTTTATTGAAAAAAATACCTATTGGTACTGTTGGAAATTTGAATATCCTAAAAATAACTGTTAGGTAGGGCATTTGTTACTGTCACATTACATTCAATACAACCAAAAAGCCTCAACCTTGGTTGGATGAAATGAATTGTGCAAAAAACACTAACAATCAATTAAAATGCCATTTTGCATTGTTTTATTTCTTAATTTCTTAAAAGACTATAAAATGCTCCTGATATTTGATTATTTGATAATATTGTATACCTATAATATAATTATATTGATATTATTATCAATATAATAATTATTTGACATATTTGATTATTTCATCTGCAGAGGTATAATTTATACACTATTACCAAACATGTTTTTTTTAGATTTCAGTTTATTTGCACTCTAGTCAGACTTAGTGTCCTCTCAAATTTAAATGGCTCTGATAGATTATGTTTTAAAGTTTTTTTTAAATTCACTACACATGCCCTAATAAAATCTTAGTTCCTGGGGACCGAGCCTTGCTCGGAGAGTCATTGGTAGACTATGAGAGCAGTGTCTTGTCATTGCCATTTATACAAATGAAATGTTGCAGTCTATTTGTCATCTCTTAAACATTACCTGAGGATATAGCGTCCTCCAGTGATAAATTAAAAACCTCTTTGGTGTGAGGTTTATTTATAATCAGCTGTTACATTTATTTCACTGGTTTTAAATTTCACCTAGCCTACTGCCTTTCTCTATGCCGTTGTTTTCAAATTTAATTATGGATTACTGTTTGAGATTAAGAGGAAACACAGGTGACTCGACTGGGGAGTACTAACTATTATTTTGTCGATGTTTACAATTTTCTTTATTATTTTGTTGCCAAAGCAGTAACCCATAAGGCTCACTGTTAAACATTTTTTACTTTCAATCTAGTTTTTTTACGTAATTAAATTTTTGTTAGCAGTCTTTACTGCATGAAACACGTTTTTAGGTCAGAAATAAACTATTTACTACATTTCTAGAAATCGTCGAAGCCGTTTTTGAGATCTTTGTGCAATCAAGCAAGCACACAATCATACATACTTACAAGCAAACATTGCTCATACAAGAGAATAGGATTAGTCACAGTGTATGTGAGCAGATCACAATTTTGTTAATGAAAAATAGCCACATGTTTACAGCATACTCTTTTAGGTTGACAAAGCAAAATGTTTTTCAAACTTTTTCTTTATTTGTTATTCTCAAGATTTTTATGTTAGCCAGTGGAAATTCATTTGATCTTTTGTCACCGACATTTTAGTAAAACTAAGTGTTTCCTCAGGTGCAAGGGCAGACGGGACCCGGGGGAATCAAGAAACAACTACCAAGTTATCTATCGAAAACAGAACATCCATTACCAAACAAACCTTATGACTCATCGGGGCTCAATCCCACTCCCTTACCACTTTACCCTCCAGGTGTATCTCCTCCCAAAGTCCCTACTCCTCAACCAGTTCACCATCATGTCCCTCAACCGGTTCCTCCTCCCTCTCAACCATATAATCATCATGCTTCACCACCGATTCATCCCCCTGGTGTGGATCCCAATCATTCACCTCCCTCAAATTATTTACCCCCTGCCTCACAGTCTGTTTACCACCACCCCCCTCAAACGGTTCACCATCATGTCCCTCAACTGGTTCCTTCTCCCTCTCAACCATATAATCATCCTGCTTTACAACCGATTCATCCCCCTGGTGTGGATCCCAATCATTCACCTCCCTCAAATTATTTACCCCCTGCCACACAGTCTGTTTACCACCACCCCCCTCCACCGGTACCTCCTCCCTCTCAACCATACACCCCTCCTCCTTCTCAACCATATAATCATCCTGCTTTACAACCGATTCACCCCCCTGGTGTGGATCCCAATCATTCACCTCCCTCAAATTATTTACCCCCTGCCTCACAGTCTGTTTACCACCACCCCCCTCAACCGGTACCTCCTCCCTCTCAACCATACAACCCTCCTCCTTCTCAACCATATAATCATCCTGCTTCACAACCAATAAATCCTCCTGGTATGAAATCAGGTAATTCGTCTCCATTACAATATCACCCTCCTGCTTCACAACCGGATTACCACCAACCCTCTCAACCGGTTCCTCCTCCCTCTCAACCGGTTCCACCTCCCTCTCAACCATACAATAATCCTCCTGAACCACACAATCCTCCTCCTTCTCAACCATATAATCCTCCTGTAGTAGATTTAACCCATTCACCTCCCTCTCAATACCTGCCCCCTGCTCCCGAACAGGTTTGCCATTTTTACCCAGAACTGGTTGAACCTCAATACAACCATAACCATGCTCCAAGACCAGGGTCGTGTGATACCTCCTCCTCACAGCCATACTCTCAACCATTTCATTACTCAGATCCCCACCTTGATACTCAACCAGACTCTACTCCTCCCACTGATCAAATTACCATCCAACACCCATCGATCAGAGCCGGCATTAGGCAGATTGGAAAGGTGCGGCCGCTCAGGGCCCCGCACCTCAGGCTCTTGGTGGATTTTCTGCCTAAAAATAAAAGAAAATGAAAAGAGAAGAGTTTGAATACTAATATTATACATTAAATCTTTTTTATTATTGTTGAGATACTACTTTTTTGGTAGGAAGGGGCCCCACTCTGAATGTTTCCACTGGGCCCCGCACCACCCAAACACCCAAGGCCAGCTCTGACATTGTATGCAGTGCGAAGCAACCCATTACATTACATGACATATTAGTGCTCAATGTTATTTGTCATAAAGAATTTGTTATTTGTTAGTCTTTTTTAAATATTTGTACAGTTTGTATGTTTGAAATATATTTTAATTTTCTTGTGAATTTACTGTTTTCATTTCCTTTTTCTTAGTTTGATTTGAATGTTGTGAAATCAACATTTTCGTTACTACCAAATATTAATAAAACCATTTTACACGTAGCACTTGGATGTTATCAAAGCGAGGTATCAATGGCAAGTCGCATGTTTGTGTGTTTTTTAGTTAGTATTTTGTTATATCTTTGTTATATATATATGCTTTATTCATCTTACATACTTTCAGCTTAGAAGCCCTGTTAATTGAATTTTCCTTGACTTTTTTGTTTACCTGGAATCTCTACCAAGTCGTAATCCAGTTAGAAGTTGTAGGTTTAAGAGTGACCAGAGTAAACCATTTAATCAGTGTTTTAACTATTGTTTGACGTGGATCAATTCTGATAAAGAAAATTAATGAGTGATTTTATATAAACCATTCAAAATGGCCACTTAAGATAGAATTTTAATTAGTGGTTAGCTTAAGTTTGAAAACACAATTAATTCATTCAGTAATATATACAAAACTATTTTCTGGTAATTGAAAGGGTTTTTAATCTTTGGCTCTCTCTTATTTCACAATTTAATTAGCTCTACTTTTGTATTGGTAACCATTACCAAAAAAATTAATTAAACATTTGGGTATTTCTTACCTTATGTATGCTTTCTTAACTCACCAGTGTTTTTATTATTTACCTTTATATTTTGAGTGTAAACTTGCTAATTTTAAGTTTTCTCATTTCATTCATTCAAAACTGTAGAAGCATACAAAAATTAAAATGTGCCTCAGATGTTTGAATCTTTCTCCAATAAGTTACTTGCATTGGTCCTCAAACTGACATTTAAATTGTCAAAGTCCTACACAATTAAATAAATAACTAATATATCAGCAAGTCAGTTTTCACATAGTTAGTTGTCAATGAGAAACCAGATTGAAGACTTTGAAAAATTGTTACAATCTTGATTGTGTATTGAGTTCAATTTTGTAACATCTCAAGTTTTCTCATGTAATTACAGGAGGCTTTTCTTCCAATTTTGGATTTCAGTTGTTCTTAAATCAAGAGTCACTCTCATGTTAAAATAGGCCTAGGACCTATATTTAAGAAAAGAATTAGTAAGTTGAGTCCTGCAAAAATTAAAATCTTAAAAAATGAAGAATTATTTAATGTGCATCTAAGCTACATAAGTATGAAAAATACAACATCTTTTCACTGAATTTCTCTAACAAGTTCAGAATTTTTAAGTCAGCATTTCTCATTTGATTGTATTCATGATACAATTGACTTTTGGATTTTGACGTAGACACTCCATCTATATGGATCTGTCCTTAACCATATTTTAATGAAATATTTAAATGAGGCATTCACAGTTTGATCTACCGAAGTAGTTTATATGACATAAAATATGCTATAAGTTTCCTTTCAGTTTTGATTGGCCAGATAGTTGGCATACTCAACAGAAATCAGTGATTTAGATCAGCACAATCTGTCGGTGGCTAAATTCAACTACGTTCATTTTAATTAAAACTGGCTACAACTTAAGAGTCCTTGGTGGCTAGCGACCATCTTGGATAGTTTTAAACAGCTGCTAAAGAGTTTTTTCTCATCCAAAAATATTTTTTCAAACACCAAAGTGATTATAATTTAAATATATAGTAAACTGTGAGATTAGAAATGTTCTTTGTAGTTTTCAATTGTTCTCCAAGGGAGTTTATGGAAGGTAATGGCCATCTTGGATTTGCCCGCCATAAAAACAATGTTAATTTCGTTAATTTCAAACAGCCACTGAAAAGCTATTTACCATCTCAAAATATTAGTTCAAACACCAGAGTGATTGTAATTTAAATATCTAGTAAACTGTGGGATTAGAAATTGTCATTGTAGTTTAAAACAAAATATTTTATGAGTTAGAAATCTAGGCTCCAAGGACTCTTAACCATGGGAATGGAAAGTGGTAATATCCATAGTCAGATATGCTACTTGCAATACTTGATAATGCTAAGAGATGAGTGTGTGGCTGGGTTTACAGGACAGTTCGTCCAATTCTCCATCGGAGGTGGAGGTGATGGAGCCGTCACTGCCCCCGTTGCCTCCAGAGCCACCCCCACCCAAGCCAGCGCCGCCCTCGGTAGACAAGAGAGAAGACCTCACCACCTACACCTCCTTCCTACCCCTCCCCAACACAACACACACAGTTCCTCCCCCAATGGGCTACGACCTTCCCTTCAACAACTGGTTACCCCCTGGGGCAGACATGCACCCCAACGTCATGTTTCCTCCTCCTCAGATGATGAACTATTCAAACCCTCCTCCTCAGCAGCATTTCCCCTTCATGAACCAACCTCCTCCACCCCTCCCTTACCAGATGACCATGCCTCCGCCTTGCCACCAACATTATCGTATGCCGAATCAGGCTTCCGGCATGGTCGGCGTTCGGCAAGAAGTGAAAAATGTTCCCAATCCAGTATTAACCAACGCTTTGAATAGCATTGACGATCTAAGTACACATTTGGAAGGATCGAAATGCAAACATAACCCATTAGGACAAAATAATCAGACAGTTCAAGAAGCCATTGACAGTGTAAAAAAGTGCCTGAAGAATTGTGACGCTCTAAAGAACAAAGATCCGAGGCTAGCTGTGGTAGAAGGCAGGACAAAATCCCCAGAAAGATCGGAATCCTTGACCAAAACTGATGGAAAGATTAAGATTACTCTGAATTATAAACCTAGACCTGTGTCGGATGTACAACAAACATCTTTATTTGAACCTACGGATGAAGAATCTGATTCTAAAACTATCAGGTCGAGTGAATCAAGTAAAAATTCTAATAATTACAGTGAAAAAAATTCAAAAATTGAAGATATTGTTTCCAAATTAAAAGACAACATTAACACATGTTCCAGTGTATCATCAGAAGAGACAGATAAAAATGAACTGCAGAGGCATTCAACTGCTGCTAAAAATCCAGGCGATGAGCCATATGATCCTTTTAATGTCAGCGATGAGATAAGCAATTGTAGTGGAAATATTGAGGAAACTAAAACAAGCTTACCAAATAAACAAAATGATAAAAGACAAACTATTACATTTAACGATACCACACCCAAGCTATCTCAGTCTGAGATTGAGAATATCAATGACCAAGTAAATAAATCTTTTTCTTTCATACTTTCACACTCCATTGAAAGAAAGCGTCTGACTCCAACTTGGTCAAATATTGTCTCAAAAAAGGCAGAAAAACAGAGGAAATCTGAATTTGATGATAAAATCCAATCTGTGACAAAACCATCCCAGTTGAATCAAGAAAATCAACAAAGCAATACAAAAACACCTGAAGTTGTTTCGTCTGTGAAAACATCTTCAATTCTTGAAAATGAAATAGTTGAAAATTCAAAATTTGGTTCACTGCAATCCATCTCAAGAACTAATTCCAATAGGGGCATTGAGAGAGAGAATACCACAAATATTCCAACTAAGTTGGTAACAAGTAAATTTCAAAACATTTTTGAACAACATTTAGATCAACACAATAAAATCCAGTCAGAGAATTTAAATAAAAAGGAATTTGTTGAACAACCAAAAGAAGAAAAGGACAAGATTTACCTTCCAGGTAGCCAACAGTTGAATAGTTTGGGAGAGTCACAGTCTAAAATGTGTAATCCACCAACGCCCATTCAAGAGTCTAAAAGTGAATCACCAGATGTAAATAAAAGTAAGACCAAAGATGCTTTTGGTGATGGAAAGTCAAAGAATTTGCGTAGATTAATGGACAATGACGATGATGAATCCTCAGAATCATTTTGTCAAAACCCTAACACCCTCAATAAAAATGAAGATAAACAACTGAAAGACAGGCCGGAAAATTGTAAACCAATAATAGAAAGACTTTCCTTGGAAAACCAAGAACTTCCGTATGATGCAGGATCTGATAATATCAGGCAAAATGCTTACATTAATATTTCTAAGCAGAAAGTTGGAATAAATGAACATAGATTTGAAGAAACATTTGCCATTACAGAAAAGTCCAAAATACCTCATAAGAAAACTGTTTTTGGCGAGTCAAAAAACTATTACAATTTAGAAAGAAGGAGTAATCCTCCTTTGTCTATACCTACAAAAGGAGAGTTGAAAAGATTCCCTACACCTGAGAGGAATATGCCAATTATAAGGAAAACAGAGCTTTGTTTGGACACAAAAGAGACAAAATCAGAACAGAAAATGTTAGCCTGTTCGATAGGAGGGGATTTAGAAGAGAATCAGGGCAAAGAAGTTGCAAAGTTGCCGTCAAGCAAAATTGTTGAATCCATTCTACACGATTTTGATGAAAGCAATTCTATTGGTTGTGATATCCAAATTGTAAACAAAGAAAAACCTGACATCATTGCTGTGAAAGAATCGAAAGTAAACTGTGATACCGTTGAACTAGAAACTTGCAAACACCAGCCTCAAAAAGACACCTTTGAGTTGAAAACTTCAGAACCATCACAAACGCACAGTGAAGAAGAAGAAACTGTGTTTTCTGCTGTAGACCAAAAAGAAAGACAAGAATTAAATAGTATAAATTGTAATTCCCAAAGTGACATTGATGCAAAAGTTAGGAGAAGAAGCCAAAGAAAATCAAAAGTGTCAAAATATAAAATCAATAATGATAGAAATAATGAGGATTCTAACTGCTCAACAGAAACACCGAAAATTGAACACGATCATGAAAATCTTCAACCAATTGTAGGTGATGACAATATCCAAAGTTCTAATACCGGTCATTTGATGAAAACAGATTCTAATGATAAGACCTTGCAAAACTTTAATTCTAAAAATGCTCAAGTTACTATAAATTCTGCGAAATCCAATGAGAAACAATTAAAACCATGCCCTCTATCAAGAAAAAGTAAATCCTACATATCACAAAATCTACCTCTTTCCTTTGACCTATCAGTTGACGGACATCTAATAAGGAGAGGTAATCATTATCTTGTTATCATGGTATCCACACAAACATGAATACCTTGAAACATAATTGTCAACCCTAAAAATACTCTGCTGTTCGATTTCATTCCCCGATTCCTCAAAGCCTTCTCGTTTCTCGATACTTGGTGACTTTGGATTATCAATAACAAATCCAGATCTCCCAAGATTGTGGCAACATTGTGGATTTTCGATTGCATAAATTATATTTTGCATCCACAAATCGCTCTAATATTCCTGCCTTAAAATTTCAGAAATATTGTAAAACAATTTGTAAATGTTTGGATTCTGTTAGATTTTGATTTAATAGATAGTTAATATTTATTTAAATTCTCATATATTCATAGTAAAACTAGTTTGGCCTAGCTGACTTCAAAGACAAACTTGTCTGTAAGGTCCAATTAATTAATTAATGATACTAATACATTTAACTTTTATAGTCATTTGAATAATACATTACACCTTAACATTTAACCTTAGACCACCTTGATTTTATTCATTGTGTATATTAACTATCACAGTCGCATCTGATCGGGATCGGTGGCTGTTGACTATATGCTGCAACCGCTTTCCTTCTGTAATTCTCCATTTGTTGTAGCTGAAGTCCGCTAAGATATGCCATGATTCCGCCTGTAGCTAACCTTAGTTGCCTGGCTCATAACAAAGTAACAAAAAATATGTAAATATTTGAAGTTTGTGTGGATACCAGTTATGTATTGTTTGGTTGTGGTCATGCTTCTTTTAGTTTCATAGCAAAAATAAGTGGGCTACCGGTAATGGGAATAGGTGAAAGGTAGCTTAGAAAAAAATGAAAAACCAATACTCAAAAATGCACAAAAACATTAACCAACCCTTTAACACCACACTTCTGTTATTAAATGTAATACAAATTTTTGTTTTCTCTACTTTAATGTGGTGTGTATCCAGAAATGAAATACTCAATTAGATATTTTTTACTTACATAGATGAGTCTGCAATTTACCAACTCCTCAGTAGGTTGTTAGTGAACCTCATGAAGTCATGAAATTATGACAATAATAGAAACACTTAAGTTAAGGATATAATAAAATATTATGACTGACGTTTCATGGCCATGATAGTATAACTAAATTGTGTGATTTCAGGATTCAAGACACTTCGAGTAAGGATGCATACATTAACACATCTACCTTCCACTACCAGTTCCCTGGAAGTCTCCTCTGCAAGCACTCATGGTGATAGCGATAGTGAATCTGTAGATATACTATCTGATAAAAATGCAGAATTTTTAAGTGAAAAAAACACAGTTGCAAAACAAAGTCTTAAAAAACCAAAAAAGAGGGTGTCTTTTGATTTAAATGTCAGTGAAATATTTGATGACTTTAAATCCTTTTCCGACAATGACGAAGATTCTGTAAACCATAAATCAGAAGAAGAAATAAACGATAAAGATTTGGACAGGTGTGAAAGTGGTAAAGTAATTGATACACCAATTGATAACTTGCATTTTGATGCCTCTAATAATAATCAAGCTGTAAGTAAAAGTAAATGTGAAAAAGTTAACTTAATTAATATTCAGAACCCAAATGATTGTAAAACATATAATCCTGCTGAAAATACATCACAAAGTATTGCATATGTTTATCAAAATATTACGAAGACTTTGGCTTCTTTGAGGGAAACACCTTTCACAAAGTTTAATAAAAGAAAAGCTGTAGCCGTAAGTATCCCAAGTCCTCAAGAAATGCCAGAAATTAAATTTCTCAGCTCCTTGAAGAAATCATTCTTAGTTGACTCAAAAACATCTAATTTACAAGAGGCGTCGGAAAATCTAACAAAATTAAAAGATACAAAAACTTATGAAGAGAACACCAAAACTGAACCTTTTAAAGAGAAGAATATAAATAAGGATACTTCAACAAAATATTTAATGGATGTTGTAGAAGGGAAAGACTCTAATGTGTCAGAAGTGTGTACGAGTGATAATGATGACTCAATGATTCTTGATAAAGAACTATCAGACCTGGCCAAAGGGTGCTTGGATTCAGACAGCAATGTAGGAGAAGATGATGATAGTGTTCTAAACTTTGGCATGGTAGCTTCAGAAGATAACTCAGTCGATAATGAGTTTAATTTGAACTGTAAGAATGTTGAGTTTTCAAAGTCATCAGCACGTCCGAATAGCAAGCTTACGTCCCCACATAATGTTAAGAAGAGATTGGCAAGAAAGTTTAGATCTGTAAATATAGATAGGGATGTTAAAATCAGCAAAGACATGGATTCTGATATGAACTCAAGAGAAGAAAACAGCTCAGATGGCCTAAAAAGTCTGTCAATTGAAAAACAATGTGGATCTCAAAATACAGAAAACAGTACACAAATGTGTGATGAACCTTCAAAAGACAAAGAAAATTTAATTGATGAAGTGAATAAAGAATCAACATTAGCAGGCCTTAAAGAAAATGATAACTGTGTGATAGATGCTACTTTAACAAAAGAAAATAACCATCGCAAAACAATGAGAAGAATTAGCAAAAGGCAAAAGAGTAAATTAAAAAAGGTTTTGGATGAACAAAATAATGAAGATAATGAAGATTTATCTTGTGTTGGTGATCTTATATCTACATCCAAAATCAATGAAAATGTTAATTTAGACCCAGTTTTACTTGAGTTTGAAAATAAGGAAGTTGACTCAAACAAAGATATAAAAGAATGCTGCAATCAAAGCAGTGAAAATCTTGTTTTCAATGATGATTGCCCAAATAACAATTTGCCACATGCCAATGACAAATCTAAAGCAATAGATTCAAAAAATGAGTTAGTAAATTCAAGCTTTAACATAAATTCTGAAGAGACCCCTGGGAGTGAGAAACAAGACATCTCTTTTATTGATAATACCAATATAACCCCAGTTAAAAATACCCACAACACAACAACCTTACAGAAAAATAAAAGAAATAATGGAAGTAGGACAAACATAAAACCTTTTAAAACTGATGTTGAACCAAAATTATCAACGCTTAGGAAATCTCGAAGAGGTAAATTGTTAGAACAAGATTCATTAGATTCACCCGAACAGACAGTCTGTGAAGAAAAAATCAATCAAACTTCAGATTCTAAAGGAAAAGTTAATGAAATGTTGAACACAAGGAGAACAAGAAGTGGGAAGATTGTTGAGAATGACTCTACATGTGATGTGTATTTTAACTGTAAAACAAAGCAAGATTCGCTTCTAAATGATATTGAGAGCCTTACTGCTGAAAAACAGATTAAAAAGTCCATAAGTATTCCCGAGAAAGAGTTCCATTCAGAAATATTATCTCATAAGGATTACCTTCTTGCTTGCAAAACAGATTGTTCAACAGAAAACATGGATCAAACTGAAAAAGTGCCAAATCAAAATTCCAAAGCTGAAGAGGCAAATACTGATACTAGTCAAAAGGAGAGTGTGATTGAGGGTCACATCTGTATAAGTAAGCTGGACCATTCACATGAGGAGTTCATAGTTGATGAACATAAGGGTAGTTCAAATGCATCAATAAATGGTGATAATACCGACAACAACCTGGAAGAAGTTAAGAAGCTAGAGGATGTGTCTTCAACTACGTTAGATATAGCTCCAAAACGAAAAACACGATCATCCCAGCGCAAAAAAGGGTGTGCACAAGGCACTAAAGAAACATACATTGAACCTGACAAAGGTCTTCTTGAAGAAATCTCAGAATCCCCATCAAGAAAGACTAGAAGCAAATGTGATATTATCGAACCAAGCGCCGAAGATAATCAAAACAGTAATATTGATTGCACTAATGTTAGGTTAAATTGTGAAAGTAATAAATTAAACCAGGACATTATAAAGGACGAATCCAATATTAAAAATCCATCTACAATTGAAAGAACTTCTTCAACTGATAGCTCTGATGAACCTCTTATATTTACTAAAAACAAATTAATTGCCGATAAAAACAAAACCCAAACTCCTAGCAAAACTCCAACAACAGAGTTTACAATTAGTAATGGTATAAATAATACAACTGAGGAAAACGATAAAAAAGACCTTAAAAAAGAGGATATAAAATTAAAGTGTATGTCTTCTGTTGCTTCTGGTTCAACGACATCAAATCAAGGAAATATAAAAGAAAGTAATGCATCAAATGGGGATCAAAATGTGAAGGATACAAAAAGCGATGGAAATGGTTCCTATTCTTCAGATAACAAATTTTCAAATTCAGATAACACCAACAATACATCTAATTTTAAAATGAATGACATTTCAAATTCTGACAATTCCTCAAACTCTCCTATTAGTGTCAATGTCAACGCGGCACCTATGAAACACAATCAATCAGTAACAATCAACCCTCACAGTTTGTATTCAGCTATGATTCATCCAAAATGCTCTTTAAATCCTAAACTAAAGGAAGCAATGAGAAAAAAGAGGGATAAAGCTGAAGTCGATGCAGAAATCAAAAGAAGATTGGCCGAAATAGATGAGTTGGAAAAGTTGGCGAGAAGTCAACATAAAAATGTTTTGGAAAAGATTGGTGCAAGAACTCGCAGCCTTACTATGAACTCTAACATTGATGAAGAAGATGACGTAGTTAGTATTTCTAGCGATGATTCACAAGGTACATCGGTCGGTGCAAATGAAGTATCAAATGCTGTTTCAAAGATATCAGACATTGGCAAGTCTGAGGATATCAATGAAGAACCCACAACAACTCAAGAGGATATGTGTAAAACATCTTCTGCTTCTGCACTCATAGCTCAAGAAAACTCTTCATTTAGTCGATTACTAAAAGGATCGGTCTCAATTCTACCAATTGACTGTACCACCAAGAAAAACAAATTAAGCTATGTAGAAACTGAAAATACAAGCCAAGAGCGCTCTAAAAATCAAATTAAGTTGTGTGTAGAAACCTCTTTGACAAATGTTAGAAACAAAAAGGATGATTTAAATAATGAGAAGGCTATTGTAAACTTACCTCAGCATGTATCAAGCAATGTTACATTAGAAATTTGCAAAACGCCTTCATCTGTCAATAAGCAACAACCAGTATTACCACTGAGCAAAGAGCCTAATGCTTCACGCCCTATTAAAAATTTAAGAAACAATCAGAGGGATGTAGTATCAATTTATCAATTCAGAGAGTCCGATGAATCAGACACGGACGAAGAAATTAACCAAAAACAAAAATATAATCGAGTTTCCAGGAAAAGTGTTGAAATGGAAAAACAAAAACCTAAGGCAAATCAAACTTCCAAATTAATAGGAAAATCACTCAAGATTCAAGAAAAGTCTGATACGAAGAGTAAATATGTGTCAGTCACTCATGAACGTTCCCCGGACAAAAATAACAGTAGCTTGAGAGACCCATCTCCATTCAATGAGCATGTGAAGAAAACTTGTGAATCCGCCGAACATTCAAATAACCAAAAAGACCTCACTTTAAATTCTAATGCCGTTCCAGAACCAGACTCCAGTACCTCTGTTATGGATCCCTCAAGTACATCTTGTAAGCATTCTGGAGGATTAGAAAAGCCAACTGATTCACCAAAAGATGAGAGAGCTTCAACTCAAGGAGATGAAATTAATTCTGTAGTGTCATCAAACAATACCTCCCAGGAATCAGATATGACTCCATCTTCACCTATTACAGGCTTTAAGCAGCCATACAGGAAATCAATGGTAAATAGGCGGAGGAAGAAACGTAGATCATATTTTGGAAGATGCATGATTCCCAACAACAACTTGGGTAACTCATCTAGTGAATCATTCGATGACAACGACCACACTGGTTCTCAAAGTGAGGAAGTAGTCTCATCATCAGTTACTTCTGTACAAATTCCTCAAGACAAAAAGAAGAGGAGAAGAAGAAAAACTGTCATGGATCTTTTAATGGAAGATTCTATGCTTTCAGTAACTAGAGATTTTCCAATGTCTCCAAACCCGTACATGTTTTCCTCATTTTATAAAGATATTGATCTATCAAATTCGGTTAACAAACCAAGTGCTGTTAATGAGACGGTTACAAGTGAACAAAATTCTCGGAGAACTAATGATGATCATTGTTTACCATTAAAACCAGATTTTCTTGCCCAAAAGCTTAAAATATTAGAAAAATTGAAAAGTATCAGTCGAAAAAACAGAAAAACAAGGCAATGTCGTACATTGGTGTGTTACAATGAAGATTCTTTACCAGAAAGTTTAGTAGAATCTCCAGTCGGAGAAAGTGTCCCCAGTAATAATGATGGAGGAATAATGTCTCAGGAAATTTTAGACCAAACAACATTTAACGAAAGCAACCAAGATAGTTCTGGAAAGTTACTCCAAGAAAATGTTGCAACACCAAAATCAAAATTTGACAGTGGAATTGGAGATCATATGGATACTACCTTATCTTCTGAAACATTAGAAAAAGAACAAAAATCAGTACCACCTAAAATTCCTCTCAAAAGAGGAAGGAAGAGTAAAGCTAAGACAGTGAAGAATGTAAACGACGATTTTGAAACGCCATTAGAAACAGCATCTAAAGTTTGTCCAAGTGAAAACTCACCAACAGAAAATCGTTCATCTACTAATGATCAACCAAAGGATTGCAACTTATCTTTTGAAAATATTTCAAAGAATAACAACGATGAATTATCTGAATTTGACAAACTTTTAGAAAGCAAACCCAAAGATGGTGCTAGGGCAAAACTGTCGTATAATTATGACTCAGGGTTACCAAGGAGTCCAAGTGAAGACAAATCAGATGATGCTCCAGACGATTTTTTTAGTTCACTTCCTTCACCCCGACAAAGTAGTGATGATGAATCTTCCGCAAATGAAATCACAAATGAGCGTTTATCTTCTCAATTTACCTCAGAACAAAAAACAATTGCTGTCAATGATGAATGCTTTAAGAAACAACAAAAGATGATTCCTGAAAAAATTATTTGTAGTATACCCAAAAGAAAAGTTGGTAAGATGTTGCCATATTTTGGAGATTCTTCTTCAGATGACTACGATGATGATGATGATGATCTTGACGAAGACATTCCTCTTTCAGTTAAGCTTACACAGTATAATGAAGATGGTATAAAAGATTTTGAACCCAAATCAGAAGATGATAGTTTTTCAAATTCAGAAGATCCAGGTTTGTCAACTATAGCTTCAAGTATATGCCCACCACTGAAAAAGAGGCGCAAAAATTCAAAGAAACAACAACCAAAAATTAGGCAATCTGGAAGATCTACTCGAAGTAACACCAGTAATTTACCTGAAGAAGACACCGAAGAAGGTTCTAAAGCCAATAAGAACGTTGAAGTTTTTGACAACTCTCTAGATATAAATCCTGAATCCCAAGTTCAACTTAGGAAAAGTAATCGGAAGCTCAAGAAAACCAACTTTTTGTGTAAAGAACCTGTAAATTGCATAAAGAAAACTTTAGATGAAATACCTATTGGTAAAGATGGTGAAAACAAAATTGAGATACATTTAGAGTCGAATGATGAGATTGTATCTTTCAAACGAAAGGGAAGGCCCCCAAAGGCTAAAAAACTGAAAGAAAATAGTTTAGACACAACGAGGCTGTATGATCAGCCAATTACAGATGTTAAGACTTCTGTTGTATCTGAAGATCAAGATAGCAGAGAGATTTTCTACAGTTCTTGCGATACAAGAAAACCAGAAACATTGTCAAAAATGGGCAATGAACATATGATAAATCCAATGTACATATCAGACAATGATGTAAAGGGAGACAATGATGAATCTTCAGAACCTACCTTGAATTCTGTTAATCAAAAAAGTATTTCTTTAAGAAAAACTAGAGGTAAAAGTGACATAGAAATCAAAATAAATAATGAAGTAACTTATAATCAAAATAATGAAAACTATTCTGATGATTACACCAATGAAGATTCACTACTGGAGGATTTGCCATTAAATAAAAGGGCTGCTAGGGAAATAACTTCTAGAAAAAGGGGTAGGAAGGATAACTTATTTGTAGATGATAGTACACAACACCTTATATTGGATAATCCAGTAACGAAAACTGGTGACGACCATGAAAGCATTGAAGACGCTAATTTAAAAAACAAAGATGAAGGAAATCAATCTTTAGACAAAACTTTTAATGAATCACCACCTTCGTTGGTTCGAACAAGAGCAAGAAGAGCCAAGCTGTTAACAACAGATTGTAATGATCTAGATCCTCCGAGCTTAGAAACTTCCATCCAACCAAGCATGAATGATGAAAAATATGACTTTGATGCCTCAGTCAATACAGATAGTAATTTAGAAAGTGTGGACACTTTAATACTCTCAGATACAAATTTACCACCACGTAAAAGAGGTAGAAAGCCTAAGACTGCTGGCACGACATCACATCAGAAAGATGACAAAGATGAAACCTTTAATGAAATTCCAAAAAAAGAAGCAGAACAGATTAAACCACCAGAGAATGAAGAGTTGAATCAAAGGGAATCAAGATCCATGGACTTACAACCTCTTCCCAAGAAGAGGGGACGTCGAGGAAGACGTAAAATATATCGTAAAAAACCTGCAAATAACAAATACAACAAGAATGAGTCCGATGTTGATTCAGACGCTGAAACTAATATGCCAGAGATATCAACCGAGGATGATATGATAGCTGAAAACAACCAATTAGAAGTTGAAGAAGGAACGAACAACTCTACCCAGGTTAGTGGAGAATTGATAGATAATGCCAGTTTTGTAATGAAAGACGACGGAAGGAAAAGAAGGCGGAAACCAAGGGAGGACAGAATTGAAACAGAAATTGCAGATACCACAACAGACATCGTGGTTGAAAATGGTTCTGCAGATATTGAGTGTGAAGCCAAAAAAAGAAAGACTTCTGACATTGACCTAAAAGAAGAATCCGAACCAAAAGAAGAAGCCTCAACATCTGAAGGCACTGTTGAAGATCCCCACTTTCACCTAGCTCAGAGCTGTGCAAACCAGCCATTCCTATGGAACAGGATCAGTGCGTTCTTGAATAAAAGCACTCGGTCAGTCGGGACACAAGTTAGGGTAAAGAACTTGACCCTGAAAGGGTTTGAAACATCTGAGCCAGAAGTGAGCTTACAGAGTGAACTGACATTACCTCAAGTAATCAAAACACTGTTTGAAGAGCTGAGATTTATAGATAGTAGTTTTTCCAATTCCTAATTTATTTATCAGTTGTCTACCCAGTTTGAATACTCAAATATGAAGTACACTAGTTTATGTATTGTTTATATAATTTTAGTAAACCTCGATTGTAGATCACAATCATTCCTCTGGTAACCAGATTTAGGCTGTGACATTTATTAAGTATCCCACCGAGATTTTATGTCAACATCATTTTAATGATTCGTTGTACAAATTGTAAAGAATTGATGTAACTATTATTGAAGACAAAGTGCCTTTTAATGTACATTAAACTGTATAATATTAGTCTGTAGGAAACTTCGTTGTAAATATGTATACACTGTATATACTTTTATTCCATTAAGATAATGTACAAATATTTTATCTACATTTCTGTACTTATTGTCAAAATTCATCTAAGGCCTGGCTAAGCAAAATTATTCTATGAAATATTATATTTTGCTGTTATTATATAAAATGGTGTAGAGTAACCAAGACTTGTCCAGCATAAATATGTGAGTAATTAGACTATGATTGTTTGATATTTGGATATAAGTTTAAGTAAGACTGTTTCTGTCTCATTATGAATTTCTGTATACTATCATTTCATTTCATAGTTGTTATTGTTGTTTGTTGCTAACTCAAGACTAATTTGATATGGTGCCATGGGTTATTCAGTATATTTTAGTACTGTAGTTATTAAAACATAACCAAAACAGTGTTTCTCAACCCTTTCTTGAAACATGTTGTCATTTAAATTCAAAGTCAAAACATGCTTTTGTTTTGTAACATTAGTACAAAACACTAATTTTACACACAAAATGATTTGTATCAATAAAAACTTGTTTTGCAATATGAGTTTTGTCCCAAAAAACAAAAGATATATAAAAACAAAGACAGTTTGTTTATTCTGGCAATTTTAGGTATTCGTAAAATATATCTATTACTATATTTCATGTTACTGTATAATTAAAGTTTATATTCTAAGGAATGTTCCTTGTTTACAACCCCATGGCAGCTTTGCACACCTTTGTGTGATTTTCATAAACAATTGTTCGGAATTATACTTTTTTACTGATCATGTGTGAGTTTTATTTTATTACGATAGAACCCTCAAACTTCCTGAGAATATATCAGAATTGTTAAAAACTTAACCAATTTCTTTACATTAGTTACAACCATCTTTAGAGTTCATTAATGTTAATACATAAGTTTTTTGGGGACTTTTCTCATTCTGTTTGTTTGTGAGTTTAAAGGTATGCACAACTAATACTGCAATTAATGATCACCTCAAAACAAACATTGCAAAGGAAATAACAAAGGCAAACTCATTAACAAACATACAGTTTTTATTCATTGCATATCATTTTTGACAATGCATACCTAGATAGTAAAATGAGAAGGGAATGTAGTAAACTATGACTTCTTCCAATGAAATTTAACTGTTGCTTTAAAAGACGGTGCTATCACAAAAAATAGCAATTTAATTTCCACGAGGAGATGAAACATGTGCAAATCTGACATATTTCCCAAGACACAATTCAATCCATTTTTAAATTTCAACGATTTTGATCTGTAGGGAGTGAAAAATAGGCATATACTTTTCATGAAGGCATGAAATTCTGGTATTTGAACAAAAGCACAACTCGCATTATATTAGATAAATCCTAAAATTAATAATACAAACCTCTTTAAAGCTTTTTTTTAGGTAATCTTTTTGTAAAAGGTAACTTTTGGAACCTTTCCAATATTTATTGTAAAACAGCAATGTGACTGCCAAAAAATGTTTATTGTATGGCTTTGTTTAATAAGTTTAGAGAGCCTACTGATGAAACTCATATGCTTTTTTCAGGAGTTGTACTCCAGTTGATTTTAGCAAACCCTTCTGTAAACGACTTTCTGGTCTAAAAAAAAGACTCACAAACTATTTTTACGGAGAGTAAATAAAAATACCTCTAATAAACACTTGTCTCATGTATTTACTTTTGTACTATTTTAAACAAGACAGTAAATACATATTTATATAATATAGTAATGAGGATCGATTTCGATTGGACACTCCAATCTTCATCAGACTCAACAGGTTTAATGTTTAATGACATATTTTTATTTACTCCCAGTAAAATCAATAGCACATACTATGCTGAAGTCATTTAGGGAAAATATTTTTGCGCTTTTCTCCTCCAAGAATTAACGATTTAAAAACTAATATTGCATTTAAAATAATCAAAACTTAGTGGATTATGTATCTAAAACTAAACACCATTCAAACTAAGTATTGGCTAGTTACCAGTAACACGCTGACTTGCTCTGTCTTTGATCTGAACCAGTCCAAAGTAGAAGGATATCATGGCTCTCATCACCTAATAAGAAGTACAAAGGCAGTTTAAAAATCGCAAAAATATATTTCAATCCTTAAGGCCGATATGTTGACCATTGAGAGTAAAATGACCTAATAACTTTGAATTACAACTGTCAAATTAACACTACAACCAAACCAAACAACTAAACCAAAATGGATTATGGCTAGCCTGAAATGTGGTGCTGCCTGGGAGTCAAATGTATTACTTCTTTGGGGGTTTTTGTTGATTAGTATTGTTTTGTTAGTGTTTGTAAACCAGGACTGATCAATGGCTTAGTAGTGTAAGGTGTTTTATCCCCAGCCAGCAAACAACACCTCAGATGACTCAGTGACATTGACAAGCCTGGCATTTGGGTTTCTTGTATTTTCTAAGTATATACATCAATGTATGGTATTCACCATGCTCAAATCGCCTTTTGTTGATGTCATGTATCCACTCCCTATTTTTGGGATCGATGTCTTCAGCTACAGCAAACAATAGCAACATTTATTCCTTATCATCTGATTTAATAGTAGTCCTGAAAATTTTAGTATTGTATTCGTTACTAGTCCTGAAAATAAAGGTGTTTACCGGATGAGTGTGGTTGTTCCCAGGATTACTATACGAGTCCGGTAACACATTTTGGACGAGTGACGTACGATATTTTACGCCATACTACTAAATCCGTACAGATCCTTATACTAAGAGAGGTTATTTTTGTTTATAAACTAACCATTCTCATTCATTGCCAAATACAGTATTTAATCAGCTTGTTGGTGTCTGGAAAAACTCATTACCGTACAGCAGTACGTGATGAAACCCCATTTGATTAAGCAGACGGCAAACAGCTGTTTTCTGGACTAAATCCTTGCATGGGAAGTTTGTCAAAACAGTGTAGTGTGGCGTAACATAGCTAACAATACACCACTCTTGTTGACTGCACACTCATAAATGAGGACGAAAAATTACTATAAACTGCTGGCACCGCTCATAGTTAAAAGCTAGGGCATACTCTAGGTGTAAGAGCTTCATTTCAGCTCTATTCTAGACTTGTCTACTTCACTATTGTCTATTTCAGTATCAAAAAACAATAATTGGTTTAAGAATATAAAGCAAATATTTTCCATTTGAATTTTAGCATGTTAACACGTAGTAAATGCTTTTGCTCACCCATATGAAGTTGTGAAGTGACATATTGAAGTAGCGAGAGTTGAAGGCTGCGAAACACATTGGACGCTTGGCTGCTTCACAGATAACTGCAAGAGATGACTTAACCCGTCGACTGCAAGTGTACCAAGGTGCGTGGAACACATCTTCGAATGTGCGCACACTCTACAAGACCAAAAGGTAGTTTTAGCCATCCTAATGGCATTTTTTCAACCAGAACTTATTTCTCTTTTTTCAGAATCAAACTCCCCTATTATTTACCTCGGCAGGTTTATTTAGATAGATAAGGTAAACTAATGTTAAGAAATGTTTCATTGCGTTTTTAAGTTTTTTCGTATCTAAGGAAGTGTAATCTTTGAAATAGTTATATTTTAGGTAAGTCCAAACGTTGGTCAGGTTAGGTAGCATCTTTAAAATAGCCGGTCTTTTTGTACTCGTACTTTATGGCAACCAATTACATCAGTCATATAGCCTGAGTAATACATTGACTATAAATCTCTATTGTTAGAGAATCTTATAAGTAGGAGTGTAACAAGTAAAAACTTATTTTCGTTATACTACAATTAATTAGTAATATCTTCCAAATACACCAAAAACTATACTATACCTCAAAAGTTAGGTAGGACCCTGCTATGGAGAGAATAAACAAATTGAAAATAATTCCAGCAAAGTACAACCCGAGGAGGATTTCTTCTACTAAGCCATAGTAGTGATGGTTCTGAAATTGAACAACATTTTTCCATTAGACAGTGAAAACAAAAGTAGATAAAATCCAAAAATGCTATTTATGAGCCATTTACCTTTATGCTTGGATTTTTTGATTACAATTTAAAGATTATGAATATTAGCTCAAGCTGCAATCTTACTAAAACAAATTTAATAGAAAATCTACTACAAACTAATCTGTTTATTTTCATGAATAATTAATACATATTTTTAGAGCTGAATTTTGATAAAGGAATAGAACGCAAAACTATGTTTTACACATATTTTTTTATTTATTAGTTGGGACATTTAAGTTTGAATTGTGACAAGTTTAAGCCAAAGTTACCTGAGTAATTGAGAATACGCCGCTGATGAGCACAAAAAACATCACAAGAAAGTAGCTTATCAATAAAGGACTGTAGATATCCACAAACTCCTGGCATAATCTGCAAACATACATGTACAGGGTAAATAAATAATCAAGACCCCCATCTAATGTGTTTCTAAGTAAGTAAATATACAGTGATGTCTCTTTGGTGGTCGTGCAATTACACCTCTTTTTGAAGTGTTTACAAAAACTTGAAGAATGGTGAAAGCCAGAGCCTGCTATCTCTTTTATAATTTTCAAAATTATAAAATAAAACTTCCTGCTAAGATTGCACGGCCACCAAAAGGATATCTCTGTATATTTACTTAGAAAAGTATTAGTTTATGGAGAGGTCTTGACTTTTTATCCCCCCTGTATAACATATGTTCATTAACAATGTGTGTCTATTTTAATTGGTATTATTTTATTATTTAAAAAGTTTAGAATATTCTGGTATTTTGGGTTTATTTTACACCCATTTTATCAGAATCATCTTTTAAGTTGGAGACAAAGCTTGATGAAACTTAATTGAAATATGTACCAAAAAATAGGTCCTATGGTGGTCAGAAGCAAACAGGTTAAAACTGTATTGTCAAAAGTGTACCATGCGAATGCCATCATGTGACATGGTACATGCCATCGTGTGACATGGTACATGCCATCGTGTGACATGGTACATGCCATCGTGTGACATGGTACATGCCATCATGTGACATGGTACATGCCATCATGTGACATGGTACTGTCCCTCAGCGAGAGAGCAGATAGTGTTGTGCTCAACAGGAGAGTTTGACTTTGTGTGACAAGTCAAAGACTCTCGGCATTGTTCTTGATAGCGATCTCCGATATATTGATTATATCATGAGTTCTTGTGATTGTAGAACAGACCAAAAACAATTGCTTCAGTTGGAATACCCATGGTAGTGAGAGGTACTGAGCTTATTAACCAAGAATTACTACAATAGTGATAAGAAATTTCACCATCTAAGCTGAACTGTATGCCTAAAGCAACACTGAACAAAAATTAAATTTCTAAATATCATTTTTTCTACCGGTACTCACTTTATTAGTTGTACGTGCATTTGAACCCAATTCTTAACTTCCTCTTCTGCACTCTTCTTTAAATGCCAAGCTCCAGTTTTCAAACAATTTTGTTTTTGATACAGAGGCTGTAAAAGCTGTAGTCTGGAGGGATGTCCCAATTGTTGCTTAGTCTCAAGAGAGTGAGCGAATTTTGTCTTAAGATGACGGAAACAAAGCGTTTGCAGAATCATCATTGTCATCAGATAGTAGTGGTTGGCTTGCTGTATCACTGTCATCAAAGCTGTGGAGACTATTTGGAAAATGAGAGTTGGCCAGAAACTTGCATTGTTTATTTCCCAAGGTAGGACATAAATCAAAGTGCTACCTTCAGTGGTCAGGTTGACCAGCTTTATGTACGATAGTCCTTTGACAAGTCCCTCAACCACCAGCAGAACGTACACACTTGTCATGTAATTGTGAATAAACCGATCCACAAGCCTAGCGTACTTGTTTACTTCATTTACAAACTCACTCGACAAAGGATCTTCCAAGATCATTTCCACAAAGGTTGCCATCTCATCATAATTCTTTGATATTTTACCCTCATAAGCAGAGTAGAAAACAATAAGCAAAATATTGTTGACCATAATGACAATGACACAAAAAACACCAGATCCATCGTCTTTGCTCAGTCGAAATATTAGAGTTATCGCTAGACATACGATCTGGAAAAAGAACATAGCAAATAATGTGCTTAAATAGATATTAGTGATGATTTTTGAAAAGTTTGTTAGTTTGACGTGGCCAATCGCATGAAGCCCAGCAAAGTGACTCAGTTTCAAAATGGATTTAAAAATTGTCTCTGAAACAAACATTTTGAACTATAACCTATCAAAGTATTGTCCGCACCATACAAAGTATAAAGACAAATTGAGGACAACATGTATACTTATTATAATGAAGGGTTACAACTTCTTTTTTTACTAATGAGCAGATCATTAGTAGGAAATTACATCACATATGATGACTTGTAAATGTTTGCAATCAGCAATAATGACTATTCTCAATGGTAGTTGGTGACATTAATAATCCTGTATGCACATTCCTTACTAGGGCAATTTTAATGAGATTTTATAAATTAGTCGTGAAGTGAAACAATTAAGATACCTATGAAAAAATGTCGTAAAATAAACTGTTCATTCGTTTGAATAAAGTATGTTGATTTGACAATTGACTTGTCGAAATAAATTAATTTATTTAACCGATGTAATTAAATGTGTGGAGTAAAAAATAAAATACACATCTGAGCTCTGTGCTTTAACAGAGTAAATTTAATTATATGATTTCAAGAATATTTTTCGCTCTCAGTTTTTCATAACTCAAATCTGTTTGATTTCAAACATAAATGCAAAGAAACTTTTATAACTATAGATAATTATCTTACTTCCTTTTTCAAGACCTTTTTGCAAGTGTATTAGAAATAAATAACAAATCCATTTGTAGTCTTCATTCAATTGTATTACCGGTACATGTGCACAATTTTAAACTTGTTAGTAAACTAAATTGTATTCATTTTTATGGTATAGCCTCTGGATCACTGATTTTTACAACCAAAGGTTTAAATTACCTGTATCCGTCAAGCGATCCTCGATTGTAGTTGTTTGACTACCTATTGTTGTAAATTATATTGTACTACAACACTACAACAAACAAGTACTTTAGAGTCCGCTGTCAAACTTTAAGTTATTTAATTTGATTTAAACACATGTATAATTTTTTTCGAAATTCCGAATTGGTGTCTTGACTCATATACAACAAAATACAGCAAATATTGCAGTTTTTTTCATTCAACTAAATGGTATTTATTATAGAGTGGTTAGAGCAGTCGGGACTTCAGTCTAAGAGGTCCCAGGTTCAAATCCAGCCAAATCGCCAATAGATTTTTAATCCAAGTGATATTGCCGCAACCCCTTGGTCTAGCCTGAAGAAATGTAAAAAACAATCCCAGTCTCGTTTGGGCCTAGTGTCCTACCTAGGACAAAAAAAAAATCTTTTTCCAGTTCATTTGTACCTGTTCATCTGTACTTCTTGTAAATTATAATTTTTCTACAGATTGTCCTGGACGTAAAGTTTTAGAGGTTATAATTATAGCAGCAATAAGACTGGTTAAGGAATTTATAATTCTCAAGAATGGGAGAAAATTACAGTTGATTACAGTTTACCCAGGCAGGTAGTTTTTAATACAATCGTTCCAGGTACTTCTTAACAAAACGGTCAGTTATCGTTTCTTGAAGAATAAATTGTATAAAATTATTCTAATCTCCATCAAAAACTTTTCAGTCGAGTGAGTCTTTCTGACAAGAGAAATCAGAATGCAGTCTGAGTCTATATTTCAGTCCATTTCAACTGTAACCAAATTCTCTGGAATCATGTGTATAAGTATAAACCGTGTTTCCAACACCATCTATACTCTAGGAAACATGTATTTGATAGCATCAATCATCATTTTCACCTTGAATTCAATCATGATTTCTTCTGTATTTTGGCAGTTCAACCAAGGAGGAGGCTCTAGCTGTACAGTAAGTGTCATGGATATTTACGGCAGCATTCTTGCTGCATACTACATCCTCAGAGGGGAGGAAATTTTCAAAAACTTTCAGGACTTCTTGGATATTAAAAATGTCTTCTCTCAGGACACACAAGAAGATTTGCTCTTGTACGACAAAGTGTTTGAGAAACAGATCCGAAAAATAAATCGTTTCATCAAGTACTACTTCTACATCGTTATCATGTTGACACCGATCAATTCTCTACAGAAGATAGTGGCTTATGAGTCTGAATTCTTGAAACCGTATTTGTCAAAAAACAATCTCGTGCTCTACCCAGTATATTACTTCAATGTAGCGAGTAGCCCCACCATTTTCTGGACCACACTGTCCTTCGAAACAATGGTGCTTCAAATGATGATAGTTCTACACACTGTCAATGATCTTTACATCCTAAACGTTACGTTATCACTGATTCTCTCATTCAGATACCTTAGACTGAAACTGAAAGCTATAATGGAATCTGATCCTCAGAAATCAACATTACAACTGGAGAAAAATGTCCCAATAGCATTGCCAGCTGAAAACTCTCAGAGCCGAAAAAGTTTCAAAACAGTTGAGGAGCAAGTAAAAATTTGGATTGGGCATCATAATCATGTTTTAAGGTAAACCCATTGTGCTGTAAAATTGAAATACAATAAATCTCAATAAAAATTACACGAAATTGAACTATTTACTACCTTATATTCAAATCTAACTTGGTTGGCCTAAAAAACAGCTGATTTAAAACAGCTGTTATGATTTACTGATCACAACTATGCTAAAACAGTACTAACAAATTTGATTTATTTTCCTATCCAGGCTGAGCCGAGAATTTACAGAACTCTATACTCCAGTGTTGGTGGCATTCTTTCTCTTTATTTTCACAATCGGTTCCATGGGGATGTTTTACATTACCAAGGTAAAATTTTAAACATTTCGTTTTTGTTATGCATGGATTTAAATTTAAGAGAATATCTAATTAATGTATTTTTGTAATTTAGGGACAAGCAGAAGTCTTCAGTGTGACAGAAAAGATCATGATCAACGGTTACTTTGTGGGAGATGTGTTCCTCTTTATGCTAATTTGTATGGCAGGCACGTACTTACAGGCTGAGGTAAGTAAACACCTACGTACTATGAGAATTTAGTGACATCCATAGAAGATCAAATAAAATAAACTAATTATATTTTACATTTTTGCACGTTTTTTTTTCGTACATTCATACATTTTCATTACATTGTACTAGTACTACTAGTAGAAACCTTTTGATTATAGTTGTGTGTGAAACAGTAAGCCTTATAATTGCTAACCAACAGCTGATCCAGTCGGAAATTCAGTCAATAGTGTGACTGTGTAGTGCCGACACTCATTTCAAAATTTATCAGGACAGTTTATTATTGTTCTGCAGCTTTCTTGATGCACACACACCTTAGCCCATGTGGACCCAGGTTAAATGAGACCTAAAATCGTTTTTAAAGATATTATTTTAAGTCCAGGCCTGCTGCACAAATTATAAAAAAAAATTACGTTTTGAAAAAGTTTGAATGGTTAAAACGGTTTTTACATTGGATTGGTTCTGCTTTCAAAATCTGGATATGATACGTCAGCTTGATTCAGCATTCATCGCTTATTGGGTCTGATGATTGGAGTGTCCAGTCGAAATTGATCAACACTTACCATCTTTTTTGTATATTTACCGTCTTGTGAGTAACAGTATAAGCGTAAATATATGTTTTAAGTGTTATAAGACGTTTCTTTTATTTACTTTCCGTAAATTTAATAACACGTACAATGATGTTCAAGAAGTTATTTAGCTTGATTTAGTACTTACTTTTTAAAGCATACCGATGTTTCACTTTAAAACAATTAATTTATTAATAATGACTAAACAAAAAATAAAAACTTACTCAATTATTATGGTCACTTAGCCAGTATTTTGATTTGCTCTTCAAAAAACCTCTTACTTATTCCCTGTAAATTTATTCCTTCCTTTGTCCACTGTTTTGGTTTTCCTGACCTTTTCTAGTATTTGGTGTTTGTGTTATGTTTTCCAATCTTTATTCCTGCCTAGGTGCCAAGCCTCATTCAGGGATGCTTTACGAGGTTTTCCACAATTAACTTGAATTTTGAATTAATAACTTATAGTAAGCTGTCATTTATCTTGTGTTCGTCCATAAATTGTGTTTGCCTTTTCTCACGGTGGTTTTTGATGGTTTTTGTTTTCTTGAATGGTCTTGTCCTAATGTTAATCTTTTCCAATTTTCTACTGTTCTTCAAAGATTTTTTTCATTTTTGTTCATTCAATGAGTCATAGAAAAAGTCAGTGAGACAGATGAATACTTACCTCGACAATTAGAGTAGCAAACAAAGTTTGAAGACTTTACTCAGACAATTAGGGTAGAAAACAAAGTTTTTACCCAGCAAAATACAAAACCAGGCGATCAAACCAACCAAGTAGAAGCACTAAATTATGAATAATCAGAAGTAAGGTCAAGTCGGTGCTCTCTGTATAGCTGCCAGACTTCAACTTTGTAGACCTAAGATCTGATTTCCAGACACAGTCAGAGATGAAGAATTACGTAGGCGAGCCAAAATGGACTGTGTTGAAATCTTAATAAGAAAGAAGGATGAGTTACAAAAATATTAGCCAGTAAACTTTGAACTGGAACCCAAAAGAAATAGGATAATAGGAATGCTAAAACCGATAGTAAAAAAGAACTTCAGGAAGAGGGCAAAATCAGGCGAGAAATAAAGCTGATGAACCAAAATCAATGAAGATTATTTGTTACCCCTCTAGTACCAAAGGAAATGAGTCAAGTAATCCGGTAATTTTTGTTTTCTCAATCACTAATGTTTCTGACGCTTCTACACCAAAGATTATATTGCAGATTTAATTGTACTTACTTTATCCAACCTCTAATACTGTTCAGAGCTTGTTGACTTGTCAAGATGCATTCCACGCACCATGGTACTCTCACGATCGCTCCGTCAAGACAGCCCTGGTGACCATCAGCTGTGTATGTCGTCGGCCGGTTAGACTCACACCTAAACAGAGCTACACAGCAGAACTGTCACTTCACACCTTCGTGTGGGTAGGTGAAGGACTCACTTTAGATAGCTTTGACTATGGATACACCTAAATGTTTCATTCCTATGTTAAGTTGTAGCCAGTTAGAAAAAACTGTGTTATAAAGGATCAAATCGTAAAAGAAATCACAAGAATGGGAACAGAAGTAGATTGGATGAAAGGTCGAGATGGAATGAGAGGGTTGTTTGCGAGACCAAAAACATCACGAGGTTTGAGTGACTTAAAATTGAGGTTTTGTTTTGATTTCAAAACATTACATCTTCATGAATAACAGGTATTGTTAAAAGTTAACTTTAAAGGAACACATTTCTAATGTTGTAATATTTTCAGGTGGTGAATTCAATGGCATCATTTTACATAGCATTCTCAAGAATACAAGAGATCTATAACAAGAATATTTCATCTCAATAAAGTAGATGTCTTTAATGTAGTAAATGTGAATTACAACATTGTAGTAAAAACTGTTTACACTGTCAAATGACTGTTAATTTACTTTGTAATATCCCTATAAAAGATATATTCCCTATATTTTACCCTTAAAAAATATTTTAATATTTATTTTGTTTCAATGAAAAATGTAAAGGTACAGATATGGATTTTAACGTTTACATAATCAGTTGGGTATTTCTATACATATAAGAATAAATACCCCCGCTGCAGCAAACCTGCCGACTAAGTGAATTTCCATTTGTCTGAATTACAATTTTAATTAAATCTATTTTAAAAATATTAGGTTTAATGAGTACCTAGGTTTTCTGCTACAAGGAAACTAACATTTTTTTTAACTTTCTCCCTTACCAATAACAATACAAAAACACTTTGATATACTAAATTATTTGTTTTTTAAGCTCTTTAAAACGGTTTAGAGAGGAATTGGGAAATTTTGTGTTTTGAGGGTCAAAAATGGGAAAAACCATTTTTTTACCCTATAAAACCTTCTGTAAAACCCCGTTCCCATGGTCCGATCATGCTGGTTCGCGATCTCATTTAAGTTTATCTCGCCTTGCACTTTTAAACAAAATTTCATCAAGATTGGACAAAAAATACTCAAGTTATTGCTTAAAAATACTAAGTTAGTTCACGGACGTATATATTACAAAAAATATATATCTACATGTATAAATTTGAACGAATGGTGTTTTTGGCCTCTAAGGACATCAAAATAAAAAAGTAAATCAGTCCCGGGTCTAGGTCTTACCGTGCCAACTACGGTAATAGCTACTTCCCTATACGGCCTATGACATATGACTTATTATTGACCTATAAGGAAATTTGCTAAAAAGAACAATCTTATTTTGTAATGGATTCAAGTTTGTTATTGGAGTGGCTTTATGAGATTAAAGGTTATCCGTAGAGCAAACAAAACAAGAGCATTTGGTGGAATAAAAGAAAGGAATATAAAGTTCCAAAAACTGTAGTTTAGCTTACATTGTATTTCCAAAATATCACTTTATATCACAAAAGTTGCTAAGTTACTACTAACAAAATTTACAATGCAGAATCAGTCTTACAGTTACAACAGTTGTACTCATAAATTACTATATTTCAAAGACAAGTCTTAGGTTTTCAGTCTGAAATGTTTCTTTTAACATTTACTACTATTCCTAGACACAAACACTTTACATTACAAATGGTCAAGAACTAGCAGATAACTAAGCTAATAAACACACACAAAATATTAAATAGTAACAAAACTACACTACTAACAAATTAATTGTCCTGAATTCAGGGCAGCTATCACAACTCTTGTACGACTCAGTTGGAAAACAAGTCAAGATATTTCCATATCAAATACAAAACCAAGGTAAAATCACTACAGGAACTTGTTTCAATATCTTACACAGTTAAAAACAAAGGAAATTTTTTACCAGAAATACAAAACCCAAATTTAATTACTACTTCCTAGAAATATGTTTCAAAATTCGACCAAACCTGGTTACAAAACAAGGAAGCATAAAATGACTACTTTCCAGGCACTTGTTTCAACATTGATTAAGATTCAACATAAAATACAAATTATTGACTACTTTCTAGGCACTCGTTTCAAAATTGTTGTAACAATTGCGAAAAAGCGGAAGGACATTCAACATAAAATACAAACTATTGACTACTTTCTAGGAACCCGTTTCAAAGCTTGATCAAATTCGCAACTAAGATTCTGGCCTAGATACGGATCACCTTGTATAAAAGCCCTGACAACTCTGACATAGGCTAGAGACTGGATGAGTATGTATGGCTGCAAGTTAACTTTAGAAGCTAGAGGTAAAGCAACGCTTGTCACAATCTTCGCATCTGTCTGCATAGACATCTGTGGCTGAAACCCGAGTAGTGGCCCTGGAAACAAACAAAATAAGCACACTTCATTTATTTATAACAAATGTTAAAAAAGAATACAGGAATTGTAACGTTTTGTATTAGATTCGTAGACTTTAGTGTTAATCTATTAGTCTCAATTAGCTAACCAAAACAGGCCGTGGCAAGGTCAGATCGGCAGAAAGACCTTAAGAAGTAACACTATTCAAAAGTGCAGGTACCTCAATACTGACACAAATCTTCTCAATAGGCATACAGCAAAAGGGGTTATCTCAATGTACCACTACGGTATATAGTGGAGTGATACCGCCAGGAAATGGCATTCCATTTCACAGTACTCAGAATCACAGAAGGTTAGATAATCGAGAATCCTCTGTACATCAAACATAACTTACAGTAGGTGAAGGCATATAAAATGGATTATGTGATGTGCAGTATTAAGCCTTTTTGAAACACCACCCAGTGTGTGGAAGCCAGTCTTTCAGCACATTCATATCACTAAACTTTATTTTTTTTATATTTAAATCATACAAAATTATTTTAAAATCACACCTACATTATTAAGGAACTCTTTATTCATGGTAGTTCTACAGAACAAGAAAAAAGGAGTTAGACAGATTTAAGCAATAAAGAAGTTCGAATTCAGCACATTCCATAGACAAATCGGTACTTTGGTATTATACCGACCAAAGCTAATAATTATAACCTAACCTAACCTAAGGGTGGACTATGTTTCAGGTTAGGTTAGGTTAGGAAGATTTTGTTAACCTAATTAAAATGTTATTTTGAATTTGATTTATCGTTGTGGTCGGTATAATACCAAAGTATCCTTACAAATAGGATTTTATAGAGGTACCTTGAAGCTGATACAGATTGAGAGTGGAGTGATTCTGTAGAGCCATCAGCCAGGTCTGTCCAGGCACTGACAACCACTGGAGCTGAGCGACTCTCAGGGCTGGCAACTTGTCAAACAATCGGCCGCCTTGGCGATACACCTGTTGTGAACAGCATTAGAATCAGACCTTATATAATAAATGGTTTCACATTGCTAAATAGTTACACCCAATCTAATGTTGAATATCCACACATCTTTACTTCTAGTATAGACAGATTAAATTAAGTTAACCATACCAGACAGACAATAAGTGTGATACCTTGATATAATCAGCATGCCTGGGTACTTCAGCAGGCTCGGTGGAGGCCATAGCTACAAACTGACTGGCTGGGTCAGCAGATATGCTGATCACTTGTCCACTACAGTTGCTGAACTCATACACACCAGACAGCCACTGGTAATGTACAGCACCTGCCCATGCCTTGGGTACATCTGTGAACAGAAATTACTGTCATCAATACTAACACTAACCTAGGACATTAGATAAGGAGGAGAGACAAAGCAATGGTATAACCATCAAGGAAACTCTGGAAGGAAGATCCTTTGTACACCATAAGAAGAGGAGAGAAGATCAAGTTGTCAAAGTCATGAGAATATAGACAGCTGACAGCTGATGAAGATGCACAAAATAGAAGAAACTGAGGCTGTTGGTGGGTATGATAATTGGATCCAAGTAACATAACATAACATATGCAACATTTTTGAGGGCTAAACAATTTATAAAACTAGATTTATTACTACATAAAGGTGATTGACAGATTTAATTACCTGCTGTGATATTCCAACGATGGGGAGACGAGGTAAAATATGCTTTTCCTTCTGTATTATCAAAATGCATCTCGTACTTGAACATTCCAACAGAGTTGGCAATGTAAAGTGTGTTTCCTTCTCCCTGGAAGAGATCTCCGGAGAAGAAGTTGACATTGGTAACATGCTGAAACAAGTGTTATGTAAAGAAAATACTACATAAGTCATTGTAATAAAGAATTGTTATTAATTAATTCTTTTATTTGGATAAACATCTTGTTTATTTAATAGCATCCATACATTAAGTACATATATTTAAATTGTGTAGGTAGTACAAATTCAAGAAAATCAAACAAGTGAAATGTTTATTAAATTCCATGTTGATGGCCCCTGGATTACTATAAATTAGCATAATATTGTGGTATATTATAATCAAACGTTTATTGGTAACTTTATAAATCCTTGCTCATTCCAAGGATTTAGCCCATTCAAAACAAAACTTCACAAAGTTACAACACTCACCTTAAAGTGATCTCTCATAAAGATCCAAAGGTTTAGCCCAGGGTGGTTACAGTCCGCAGAGATTTCAGAAGACTCAGTCAGGACGTAAGTTATTTGTTCATAGTTCAAGATGATAAAGCTTTTCAGCGAATGGCCAAACATTTCTCTGTTGAGAGTCACAAATGTACCGGTGTTTCTGTTCCACTTGTATATGGTTGTAGTGCAACTCTTCTCACTGACAGCGAGGTAATCCTCATCTCCACTCTAGAATTCAAGGACTAGAACAGTTTTAAAAACTTCTTGCCATTCATGTGACCTCAAAACTTAGATCTACTGGAGTTATAGTGCTACAAAAACCTCAAAATCACTTCTATTCTAAAAACATGGGAGGCAAATAGCAGGTCCTAAATGTTTACAAAAACATGTAAGCATAGTGATAAATTAAAAATGTATCAGCATTAAAATGTATTCCAAGGTAAAAACCATCGGCTATGGAACAAAAACAGACAAAAGAAAACAATATGAAATGATATCAAATAAAACATCCACATCATTTGGGTTTATTGCTAGCCTAGTGGATACCATCTCAGAGACAAACTGGTTTGATTTTGAGCATGCCACCACAGAGAAGTAAGGCACAAAGCAAACATGCTTAAGGGACTGTGCGGTTTCAGCTACAGTACGGTTTGCGGGAAATATACTTGTGACGAGCAGGGAAGAGCCCGAGCGGTGAGCACTGTGCAGTTGTGGCCTTTGACACAGGCCACAGGGTCTTTCTCCCCTGTTAGCGTTAGTACACGATGTCGAGGGGGTGGTGTTGGACTTGCCCTAGATACCAGCGACTAGTGCTAGACACCACTTAAGTGTACCAATGAATGTTCCCTCTGTACCTTACTGCTCTATGATGCAATTGACGTAGACACTAACAAAATAATGGATGAAATTAAATTGAAAATATCCATATTTAAATGCAATAGTAAGAGTAACAGTACTAACTGTGCAGCCATACCTACCTTAAAGTGAGTGACTAGGGAAGGGCCAGAGGGCACTGAGAAGGTCTGAGTGGTGTCCAGATAAAGAAGCTTGCAATGCTGACCCCTGGCAGAGGCTAGCTGAGCATTAGCCTCATCACAGGCCCCAGTGAGGTTACTCTAACAATATAGTAACTTGATTAATAAACTCTGGCTCCGTATAAAACCAATGTATTCAGTTAATATACTGGGTAGGATTAAGTTTAATTTGTTCTGGAATTGGGTTTCTATTGATAAAAAAGAATTAATCATGATCCGAAAACTAAGGATTTTTTTATATTAATATATAAAATGGAATATTAAGGATGGTTCTTTTGACAGGATTTTTGGGTATGCCAACTGATCGCTCCCAGTATCTGCTGATCGCTCACAACATCTGACAATCGCTCCTAAGCTCTATGAAACAATGGTAGGGAAATATTAATCCTGTCCTGAACTGAAATTTCAGTCTTGAAAATCTTTAATTAATTTATATCTTCCAGGCTACATTACCCTTGATTTCTACTATTTTTTAAATTAATGTCTAAAATTTAGGTACCGGTAAAGGATAACGTTTGAGAGAGTTTTAAGTCCAATTCTTGGACCACGTAACTGGGTAAATGTCAAGAGAACAACGGATGTCTTACCTTCATCTCAGCATGAATGTCCAGTAGGCTAGAAGTGATGTTGTCAGTAAGTTGTTGCAAGTCTACATCAGCCAGTCTGCCTCTACCTGATACTGGACCCTTTAGTTCTACAGGTCCTTGTACACTCCACACACCCGAGATGTTCTGCTGCCTGTTGATCATAAATGTGCAAAACAGGCATCAACAGCACATTAAAAATATATAATATATATTATCAGAGAGAATAGAAACAAAGTGCAACCTGGAGGAATGTGATTTGTAAGACTATCAACGTTAGAGGATAGGAGTTCTGAAGAGGAATGGTTTCAGATAGCTTAAGACAACAGTTAAAATCAAGCCTATGACGATCTAGATATGTGCAGCGAGATAATTCTTAAGAAAATGGTGTTGATAGTGATATAAGAAAGGAAACCGAGAGGAAGACCTAGGTTGAAGGTGGATACATGAGGTGGAGGTGTGGAGAAGAGAGGAGTAAGATGGCAGATATTGAAAGCAAAGGAATTGTAGAAGGACTAGGCCCAGGAGTAACTGGAGTGGAAGCATGAGAACATCTGTGCATTTATAATAGGTACGTTGAAAAAGTTGAATTACTACTACTTAAATCTCTTCTTAACTTTTTGATATTTCTTTTGGGGACAGTAATGAGATGGATATTCCGTAAATAAATTTTAAAGTAATCCTACTATTTTCCTACCACACAATTCTAATTTCTACGATTGTCTTGAGATTTCTACTAATAAGCTAGAGACAGTGGACCAAGGATTTATATTTTGCACATATAGATGATGTCCTTTCCCTAAACATAGTATTCATACCTTCCACTTTTCAAAACTCCATTTTGTGTCCAGGAGGTCAGGTTTATTCCAGAAATAATTTCTGATGAACTAACATTCCCTTGGACCTCCATGCAATCAAACTCATATTTTCCTGTAAAAAACAAAACAACATTTTTGAATATAGGTGAAATATTTAACTCATAAAACATTACTGGTATACGTTACAGTTTATTCTTACTACAGTAAATCATAACTCAACGCACACATGTCTACAAAAACCTACCACTACATAGTTTTAGCTTTTGGAGACAAACAGTGTGTCCTTGTCAAAAGATAATTCAGTGTTTATGCTTCAGTGTACTTACCGCTACGGTTCACGGTACCCCAGATGTTACCTTACCTCAAATCCCCAAACATCACTCATAAGGGTTTTGTAATTTAAAAAATTTATCATTATGTGAAAAAAAACTCTCCTAATACTATTTGAATAAAACCAATATAAACAAATAATTGCATTTACAATTTATTTATTTACTTTTGCTGGATATTCCAAGCCTTAAGACTACATTACTAACTGAACAGCGAGACAAAAACTGTTGCTCACCATAAAGTGTTTGATCGGAGGTTAGAGTAATTGCATCTCTGAGTTGATGTTCATCTACCAGAGCCTCCGTCTCTACATCTCCCTCCACTATTAGGTCTCCTACTATCAGATCTGACTGTACCACTTGGTCCCCTGATGTCTGTCAAACAAACTTAATCACTACTTAAGGAACTTGTAATACCAGGGTGATAATAAGAAGTTGCATTATACTGTAACTATATTAGCGCTGGTTGACATTAGTAGAGTGAAGGGATTACGTTACATGGTGAAGTCGGTGTAGGTGGCGGGCAACTGAGAGCGAAGAGAAGGATCATACCGAATAGGTGGGGGATTGGACGCTATCGGTGATTGGTCTAATGCTCAACCAACGGTATTAGCTTATTTAACTGAATTATCCGTTGTATCACTTTTGCCAATACAAATATAAAATGTTATAAATTAAATTAATATGCATATATTACACTTTTAAACTTTTTTTGTCAGATAAGTCAATCTAAAAAGACAGCTTATTGTAACTAAAGAATCTAGAATTTCACATCAAGTATCACAGTAAGGGTGGAAATGGAAATAGTTTTCAGGCAATATCACACTCTGCAAGTGTGTCAATTAAATATGTTCTTTAACAAAAATTGTTGCAGTTAGTTAGGATATAAAGGGGCTGTAACCAAAAGTTAATACTATGACATAATATTTTTACACAATCTTCAACAATGTACAAACCAGCATTACCTTAAGAGTGTTCCGTTCCACTTCCACTAGATATTTCCCATTGACCTTGTCCATGACCTCCAATTCTCCCAGGACTGTGACAGACCGAGCTCTGAGGTAGGGCAGATTAGACGCAGAGTGGAGGTGGATCACATCATGTTCTAGACTCAACCCTCCATACATCTCTACTGACATGTTACCTGCGCTGACTGCTGTCTCCAACACTATCTCTCCTGGCAGAGGGTGTGAAAATTACAATCTACATGGATCTCTCACAATTGAGAAATATTAAGTGGTTCATGTATATCAAGTAGTTTTGAGATTCACATAAGTTTTAATTTTATGAGAAGGATTGGACTTTCAATACTAACAATAACAATTAGATCTGCAAACCTCACTTTATTAGACTTAATAAAATTACATTACCTAGTTTGTAAATGTTGTGCTCTTTATTTCTTGTTAAACAAAATCTCAAAAATTCCAGTCTCAGGGGTGACAGTCATGCATATTACACTAGATATGAGTACATGATTCATACAGATTTAGATAGAGTAACCAAGACTCAAAAAAGCTTCCTAGCCTGAAGTATAAGACTTTTTAAGTGTCCTTAACTGGAAATCCAAGGAAAATTTTAAGATGACCCATCAAACCACGCTTCTCACTAAATAAATAAATAAATAAATAAATATTTCTTTATTGTCACATAACATTTTTTTACATAGCATAGCTAAAAAACAGGTGACATTGTCAAATTATGTAATAATAACATTAAATAGTAAATATAAATATGAATAGCTAGAATTAAAGATTAATCTAATAATTACAAACCATCCAAAATGTCTTAGAATAGAAATAAAATTACAATAAAAGGGGATTAAGTGGAAAGTTAAAGATTAAAATAATTACAGAATCGAGCTGTCCATTAAAAATTCATTAATGCTGTAATAAGTTTTACCTAGTAAAAAGTTGGCAAGGCTGCTTTTAAAAGAATTAGTATTTATTAATATTTTTAATTTTGGGTCTAATTTATTAAACAATTTTTTCCCCATGTAGGAAGGTGTTTTTTCAACAAGTTTGAGATTGTGTCTAGGATACTGAAAATTATTTTTGAATCTCGTATTATACGAATGCTCAAAGTTTCCGCTGCAAAATTGAGGGTAGTTGGATTGTACAGTTAGCAAGGTTTTATAAATAATCAAATTTGGAACCGTCATTATATTTAACTGTTTATAAATTGGTTTACATGAAGCTTTCCATGGTGAAAAAGTTATGATTCGCAAAAACCTTTTTTGGACTTTGAAAATTCTATTTATATCTGTTGAGTAGCCCCAAAATTCAATACCATATTGAAGTATGGAGTAAAAATAAGCGTAATACATCATCACTGAAGTTTTTAAGTCTATTGTATCCCTTAAACATAAAATTTGGAAACAAGCTGAGTTGAGTTTGCCCAAAACATATTCAACACACCTATCCCACGCCAAATGCTTGTCAATGTACAGGCCTAAAAATTTAACATTTTCATCAATTGAAAGCTGTGTGAAAGCATTTACATTTTGTCTATTCTGGGGTGTAAAAAATCTAACCAATTGAGTTTTATCTTGATTCATTTTCAATCCATTTTTATCAAACCAGTTCCCTAGCTCATCAAGACACTCAGTAACTTTGACAACTAATTCCTCATAATTTTTTGATTTGACAACTGCAGTAGTGTCATCTGCGTATAGAATAAGACTATTGGAAACATTTTTAGGTAAATCATTTATGTATATAAGAAACAGAAGTGGCCCCAGAATGGATCCTTGAGGCACCCCGACTTTAATTTCCTCCCAATTAGATTTTATTTCTTGTTTATTTTTAGTTATTTTTGTCCTTTGGAAGCGAGCATTTAAGTAGGATCCAAGCCAAGATATCGATTTAGTAGAAAATTTATATAATGCTAATTTCTTCAGAAGAAGATTGTGGTTAACACAATCAAATGCCTTGGACAAGTCACAGAACACACCCATTGTGCTCTGCGACCCATCCAAGGCCCATGTCACCTCATCGATGAACTCAGCTAAAGCATTCGTTGTGCCAAGGCCTTTTCGAAAACCGAACTGTTTTTCTGAAAATATATTAAAAGCTTCCATAAAATTTGTGATTTGGTTACAAGCAATCTTTTCAAACACCTTGGAGAATGTAGGCAGGAGTGAAATTGGTCTGTAATTGTCTGGGTTATGTTTTTCTCCCTTTTTAAAAAGAGGTTTAAGCTCTGCAAATTTTAAATGATTTGGGAAAATATTGGTTTGAAAAGATTGGTTTATGATTATTGAAAGAGGTTCAGCTATAGAATTGGAAACAGTTTTTATAATGTCAAGAGGAATTTCATCCCAGCCTGCTGATCTTTTATTACTGAAAGATTTAATAACTTTAATTACATCTGTCTTATTTATTGTTTGAAAATCAAACTTTTGATATTGAGAATCTGCAATCGAATTTTGTGTAAGCCTTAATGCCTCACATTCAGAAGGAGATAACCCGATTTCTTTTGAGATATTAACAAATTTTGTATTGAAAAATTCTGCAATATCGTTAGCATTGCTGAGTGTTTTATTGTTTACCTTAATGTCAGGGAAATCATAATCTGCCTTAACCAGACCCAGTTCAGATTTGATTACGGACCAAGCAGCCTTACTCTTGTTTTCAGATTCTCTAATGAATTTAGCACTACACAATTTTTTTGATCTATTACATATTTGCTTGAAAATGACCTTATACTTTTTAACATAATTAATAAAATCAACATCATTAGATGTTTTAGCTAGTTGACTCAACTCTCGTTTCCTTAAGCTAGATATTCTAATACCTTTAGTAACCCATGGCTTTTTTTTATGTCGAACTTTGTTATTGTAAAACTTGAGAGGGAAAGCCTCCTCAAATATGTTTTGAAAATTTTGGAAAAAATTTACACAGTTTTCATCAAAGCAGTTTTTGGCATTTACATTCCATGTGGTCACTCTCAATTTACCTACAAACTTGTTAATATTGTTTTTAGAGAATAGCCGTTTTTTACTTTTGAATTTTTTGTTTTGTTTGTTATCGTTATCAGAAATACTACAAATATTTATAAATATTGCCCTATGGTCAGAAAGACCTAACTCCATATTCATTGTTAAAACTGAGTTTTGTGACTTCATTTTATGTGTTAAGACATTGTCAATGCAAGACTTAGTAGATTTGGTGATTCTTGTGGGAGAAGTAAAGTTGAGTATGAAACCGTACTGTTTTAACAAGGACATAAAGTCTAACCTTTGTTTGGGAAGGCTACAATCTTCTAACACATCTACATTAAAATCGCCTGCTATAAATATATTTTTGGTTTTTGAAGATTTACACAACATTTTAAGTAAACTTTCCATCTTATATAAAAAAGATTTGAAATTTTCAAAATATGGAGTCCTATAAATTGAGATTACTACCACTTCAATATTACTTCTCTGAGATAGCAGACAAAACTCTAAAGGAAACCCGAACAAATTTCCCACACAGAATACCACCTTGTTTAAGTCAAATACTGTATACAGTATGCATTTGAACGGTCCGTTTAAACAAGTTTTTGAAGACATCGGTTTAACCGGAAAACCCATTATCCGGACTGGCCTCAGTCCCGAGAAGCCCGGATAAGAGGGAGTCTACTGTACTTAACAAACTATCCCTACTATAGTCGAATAGATTACAGAATGGGACTGGCCTTTGAAGAGGTAGGGGATGCGACGTTGCCACGTCGTTTCAGAGCTGAGCCTTATCCAAAATTTAAAAAGATGGAAGTGACTGATGCAACAATACTTTTACCTTGTTCAGGAGGATTTTTTATGCCAATGTGGACTCATCGGTATTCTGAACAATAGGTTTTCATAATCTGACTTTTGAGCATGCGTATATCTCTAGTTTAAGTTAGACCTAGTCAACTGCAACATTAACATTGTAAGTTGTGTAAAGACAATAAACATTTCTAAATTCAGAGAGTGAAACTCACTTTCCAAAGACTGTGACTCGTTGATGTAGATGGCGTCAGTCCTCCACTGTGAGATATCGACACTGTTGACAGTATCGGTTGACATTTGGTAGTCCACAGACAGTGTGCCGAGTGTCAGCGAGTCAGAGAAGGTGACATCCCTGTCAACCTGCTCCACGTCAACTGCACTCACAGCGTCCAACAGAAAATTGTCCCAGTTCTCTCCGTTCAACTGATCTACATCTCTTAGACTTTCCATGTGCACCTGGAAAAACCATTACAAGATCAAGCATGGACTATTTGGAAAAACATTGTGAAATTGTTCATCTCAGAACTAATAAAAGGTAGATCCCGACTATTCTCGGTCATCCACTATAGAGTGTCATTTGACCCAGTGGACAATCGAGATCCATGGAATTGTGAACAATTCCTGTGTTACAATTGTATACCCTAGTAGGTACAAGACAGCTTTTGCCACCCTGGTCTGTACTTGGAAGATACACCAGGCTTTAGGCACATACATTTTTTCAAATGTGTGAAATAGGAAATAGGCACCTAAATGTATTTTTGATTGTTCTAGCATGCTACTACCATATAGGTCTTTAACTCCTCGGACCTGCATAGTGCATACCCATCTACCTAACCTTACATCTTAACAGGCAGTGCAAAAACAAAAACGGAGACTTGAAGCTGTTTGGATGAGTATCACTTTATCTTCTATTTTTATTATTTTTCAATGACAGCGACAGTAGTAGTGTTTTAACTTTAAACGGTTTTTATACAGTTTGTGGTGGTGGTTAAAAGCAGAAAAATACTGGTTTTTAATATAAAGCAAACATATACTTTCATTAGACCTGATATTGAAGAAGCATGTTTATTGTTTTCAATATATTTACAACAGTTTTTCTTTATTGCCTGTTTACTTTATGTTATCTGACCTTTTTGCTTATTCAACCTTACTGATGCTAATTTAGGTCAGATAATCAAAACTTTACTGTATCAGAAATTGACACATTCAACCTTCCACCTCCCCTTAAGTTAAAAGATAATGCTAGCTTTAAATTTTGTTACAAATTCCATACAAAAAGCCATAAACTATTTCAAATTAAGAAAACTTTCTATTCTATTGTCATTGACTTTAGACCACCATAGTAGTATCCACGAATACTTGAAAAGAACCGGTATGGATCATAAACCTAAACAAATGACATTTTTGGCCCGAAAATAAACAGTATTTAGCATTGCGTAAATGGAACTGGCAAAACATCTGTTAATGCCATTATATTAGTATAGGATTAGGGCCAACATCGTCATTTGTTTGTTTATAATTATAATCCATACCGGGTTTTATTATAGTATTTGTGGTAGTATCTATTCTCGCTCTATACATATTCATAAATTAAATACAAAAAACAACCCTATAAAAAACAATCGTTGACACAGATACACAAAACAAATTTTAAATACAAAACATTTCTTTAAAACTAAAAACTAGGGATGGACGGGTCCCGAAATTTCGGGAATTTTTCGGGAAAAAAATATTCCCGATTATCGGGACGGGATTACATTTGACTCGGGAATTTTTCGGGACGGGATTTGGTCCGATCGTCGGCGATTTTTCCGCTTCGCGAGTGCCGATAACGCCGTTATTGCGAGCGATAGGTCCGCGAACGCAAGAGACGAAGTCGTTTCGACGATAACGCCGTGACCGCGATTATTGGACCGACGATCGCACCGTGACCGCGAGTCATAACGACGATCGGGCTGTGACCGCGGAGTCATACCGACAGTCACGCCGTGACCACGGAGTCATAACGACGATCGCACCGTGACCGCGAAGTCCTACCGACGATCGCGCTGTGACCACGAGTCAAACCGACGATCACGCCGTGACCGCGAGTCATACCGACGATCGCGCCGTGACCGTGGAGTCCTACTGACGATCGCGCCTTGACCGCGAGTCATACCGACGATCGCGCCGTGACCGCGAGTCATACCGACGATCGCGCCGTGACCGCGGAGTCCTACCGACGATCGCGCCGTGACCGCGGAGTCCTACCGTAGATCGCGCCTTGACCGCGAGTCATACCGACGATCGCGCCGTGACCGCGAGTCATACCGACGATCGCGCTGTGACCGCGAGTCATACCGACGATCGCGCTGTGACCACGAGTCATACCGACGATCACGCCGTGACCGCGAGTCATACCGACGATCGCGCCGTGACCGCGGAGTCCTACCGACGATGGCGCCTTGACCGCGAGTCATACTGACGATCGCGCCGTGACCGCGGAGTCCTACCGACGATCGCACCGTTACCGCGGAGTCCTACCGACGATCGCGCCTTGACCGCGAGTCATACCGACGATCGCGCTGTGACCACGAGTCATACCGACGATCACGCCGTGACCGCGAGTCCTACCGACGATCGCGCCTTGACCGCGGAGTCCTACCGACGATCGCGCCGTGACCGCGGAGTCCTACCGACGATGGCGCCTTGACCGCGAGTCATACCGACGATCGCGCCGTGACCGCGGAGTCCAACCGACGATCGCGCCGTTGCCGCAGAGTCCTACCGACGATCGCGCCTTGACCGCGGAGTCCTACCGACGATCGCACCGTTACCGCGGAGTCCTACCGACGATCGCGCCTTGACCGCGAGTCATACCGACGATCGCGCTGTGACCACGAGTCATACCGACGATCACGCCGTGACCGCGAGTCATACCGACGATCGCGCCGTGACCGTGGAGTCCTACCGACGATCGCGCCTTGACCGCGGAGTCCTACCGACGATCGCGCCGTGACCGCGGAGTCCTACCGACGATGGCGCCTTGACCGCGAGTCATACCGACGATCGCGCCGTGACCGCGGAGTCCAACCGACGATCGCGCCGTTGCCGCAGAGTCCTACCGACGATCGCGCCTTGACCGCGAGTCATACCGACGATCGCGCCGTGACCGTGGAGTCCTACCGACGATCGCGCCTTGACCGCGGAGTCCTACCGACGATCGCGCCGTGACCGCGAGTCATGACGACGATCGCGCCGTGACCGTGAGTCATACAGACGATCACCCCGTGACCCGCGAGTCACAAGTTTCTATAGGTACCTGTAAATTGTTACCCATTTTTTGGTTTTTATAGATCAGTGCCACAAATGGTAAAAATTGATTTCGTATGTCTTTTTTGGTAACTGCAATACAGTACAGTTCGTGCGTTTCCTGGTGAAGCCTGGAGGGTGGGTGGTTAGAGTGGCTCTAAACCGGTTTTGTATGGGCTTCAACCCTACCCCCAGGCTTCATCAGGAAACGCACGAACTCTACTTTCTTTTTATGAACAGAAAAAAATCCCGTCCCGTCCCGTCCCGAAAATCGGGAAGGAAATAAAAATCCCGTCCCGTCCCGTCCCGAACTAAAAATTCAATCCCGTCCATCCCTACTAAAAACATTTATTTAAAGCTGTCTCATTTTTAACAGTCTCAACCAACCTTAATGTAAAAATAGCTCAAACAGACAAAAGCCTGCACATGCAAAATTAGAAAAGATGTCAATGTTTTCCTTCAACATAACCTTCTCATTGCTTATATTCCTCAACAGAAACAGAATGAGTCTCGATAAATTCCAAAATTGTTACTTGTTTGTAGTTTGTACTGAGGAAACTGATATTTCAACTTATTTGATAAAGTCAACACATATCTTAAGAATCAAACATGTTTTCAAACACACTTACGTTTCCGACAAATTTCTTTAGACCTGCGACATGTTGGGGACTGTCAGTTCTAACGACAGTCTTTAAGAAAGTTGGAAAGTTGACACCCTTTATCTTGCCTGAAGTTCTTAAATGTTCAACCTCCACCGATTCCTTGAACTCAGCATTTCCTACAAGAATAGTAAGATATGCCAATTATTTCTTCATACCTCTCTTAGCAATTTGTGTCAATATAAAGAATCTTACCTACTCTTACTCCCAGGATAATATAAACCCAAGAAGATATTCCTCCTTACCAAGTAACTGCATTTTCAACCCTATTCTTCATCATTAGCCCTCATCATTTTTATGTCTTTGGCTATTTCATCTTCCCACCTCTTCTTTGAGCATCCAGTGGTCTTCTTTCATCAGGGTTTTCTTTTGTATTTGTTTTATCATAGCATTAGAAAATCTTAAAGCCTAAGACATACAATTCTCATTCCGATTTCAATTACTTATAAATAAAAAAGATTCCAGAGTAGTGATAAAACAAACCTTTACATGTAATGGTGTTTTCAGAAACTGAACATCGGTGACCAAACTCTGTTATATTTTGGTTATTCAGCTGTCCAAGAATTGTAGAGTCCTCTTCAATCCTAACATCTCCCCCAATGACCAAATCTCCTGAAAAATATAATAAAGGTGAACAATAAGTATCTTTATCTTATCTAGAGGCGGACTAAGGTTCTTAACTTTTTGCATACAGTTACAATTAGTTGATGTCGAGAGAGAGTTTTTAGGTTCAGGAGTCTGATGAATGTTTATCCACCAATCAGCTGCCCAAACAGATGACTCCATCATGGCAAATCATTTAATGTTGTCCTGCTGTCCTCATTAAAACCTCACAGTTGGATCTGATGCACTTTACTACACAATGGGTTGTTGTCATACTTGAACAATCCAACATAGAGCACCACAGCTTCAGCTTAGGGCGTAAGGATTGTTGTTGCATATAGGCTTATCTGAATGAGATGAGTTAAAGAGATTTTAAGGAGCTTCCCAACTCAAATCTTTGTAGGTTAAAAATATTGTCATTGACAGTAAAATATTCTAGTTTATGTGTAGGCCTATAGTGGGAAATTGAGATTATTTTGCTAAGATGGACTCTTTCTGGTTGTAGTAGGCTTGCTAACTAAAGAAATTCTTAAATAGGCCTATAATAATATCTTACAATATTAGTTAGTAGATTGGAGTCATTGTTTTTTGATCGCCGCAATACTCAAAATGTCATGTTTTGAACATTTTTCAGACCATTTTATTGTCAACAGCTAAATATAATACAAATTAGTTACATGAAACATTTTACCTGATATCTTTTGTGCTGTAGTCTTTGTAAGAACATTTTCAAATTTATGGTCATTAATTGTTTCAACTTCAAGGTCTTCAGAGATATTCATAACTTGTGTAAACTTTTTGTTCCCTGAAAACAAAATTGATTGTTTTTTTAAGTAAAATTGGGCACTATAGTATAGAAGTCAGAGGTATTTAGAGCAATTCAAAACATCAAACCCTTTTTAGCTTATTCCTGCATAGAGAATAAGTTATTTATTTGTATGGAATGTCAAAAATCATTGTTCAGAAAGCTACTTTAAAATCTTTTTTTTTACTTTTATGTTGATGGTTAAAGTAATAAAACAATAAACTAAATTATTCAAAACTTTTTCCTGCCATAGTTTGTAATGAAACGACAAATTTGTTATCCACGTTTGAGTTTTTTTATATCTTGGTGTAAAGTATTATGATGAATTATTTTTGTTTATTAATTAAATGCCAATTTCATTAAAAGCTAGGAACACTAAATAGGTTGAACAGGCATCTAATATAAAATTACAACATTACAATCTCCCGCATTTATTTTATTTGCATTTACTAAAGGACTACAACTGTGTCCGTCAACTGTTTGGCCAATATATGCAATTCAAATGTATTTTATTCAAATATTCTTTGATAATTCCATAAAATGTCTTGAATATCTATTTAACTAGTAGATTTTGTGTTGTTTTAACACAGAAAACGTTTAATTCAGTTACCTGTGAAAGTAACAGAGTCGTTGTGTTTATAAACCACATCATCAATGCGTAGCCAATCTTCACACACCATGTCATTGCACATTCCTTGGCCTTCCAGGATTTTAAATTCGACTCCATCCTGGAAATCGTAATTTCAGAGTTAATAAACAATTTATCTTCTTTAAATTGGGGTTGATTTAATTTAACTTTTAGTTATTTTGCTTTCACATCTGCCCCTTTAGATAACCAGGTTAAACTATTTTACATGGCAAGTTGTTGTCAAAAACATTTGCAGTGAAATCACTTTATCTTTATACCTTTTAATTTACAAATAACCTGAGTGTTTCACCAAAATACCTTTATAAAAATTGCTAATAACACATTCCTATGATATTCAAACTTATTTCCAATTTACTATGATAGAATTACACATTATAATTTTGGTATGGATTGGGTTAAACATCCAATATTTGAATATTTCACTTAGTTCTAGTGAACAAAATCTCACCTTGAAAATGAGAGGACCTTCGATTTCATTATTATCCTCGAGCCACACAGCGTTTGCGGCTACCTCTGATAGATTGAAGCCGTTAACACCTTCATCTGTTATAATGTCTCCATTCACATGCAGCTCTACGAAAAAAATAGAGACTTAGATATCAGTTGCCATCAGACTGTCTAAGAATGGTGATATCTAAGAAAAGGCTGGGTTTGGACTGTTCTCATGAAAATATGTTAAAAGCATACAAAGTTTTAAGCAAATTTCTTGTATGAAAATGGTCATATAGAAATCAAAGTCACCCATTAGTAGTCTCAAACTCGACGGATCAATATTGATTGAAACATGTTAGCATTTTGTACAAAAAACTTGAAAAATTTTGCAGACTAAACAAAAAAGATAAAAATAAATGTTGAAAAAACATTGGTTCCAGTTCAAAAGCTTATCATGACCAGCATGTTTTCCTTATTTGATAGTTTTATACAACAACTGAGTGCCTAGATATGTGTGGGATTCAGTTACACAAAACTTTGAAATAAGTACTGTTAAGGTTGACTAACAAACATATTTTGTTTGAATTTTAATTAGATATAAATATACATTCAATCATATTCAATAAGATTTTAAAACTAATCAATAGGAAAAAGTACTACTGCAGAATTTTACTGTCATAACCAGTACAACAATATACATGAATGATTGTTAAATAACTCCTGTAACTCTTACCTGAAAAGTGCAATCCATCCACAATTTCCGACTCAACATCCTCGGTAAGCAAAGGATTTCCCATAAGACTGAGATTTTCAGCTCGAAAGTCAGCAGTAACTTTGGCTTCTGCTATTACAACATTTCCTGTAATATTCTGTTCTCTTGATAAGCTCAGCCGTCTTTCATTAAAATCATCTAAGCTTACTCCACAAACCTGAAAGATGGAAAATAGAAATTGAATAGGTACATGCTAAATCACACATAGTACATGAATTAGGGGTGTGCGAATATTCAAATAGTTGAACAAATACTTTAGTATTCGATTCCGGTTCGATCTTAATGAGTATATTCGAACATTTGAATAGTAAATAAACCTAGATACCTAGTAATAATCTGTAACTTCAATCAAATAAATCATGGTATTTTGTTGTTTTATTTCATCCCAACATTTCATGCATCTGTATTATAAATCACTACGGTTGCATTTATTGAAAATATTATGAAGTATTCAATTCAAAATCAGAAAAAATCTATTTGCACACCCCTAACATGAATGGGGTACAAAATGTAGCATTCAGTAACTTACTAATACTAATTATTTGGTATGGTATAGAACATAATTCAAGTAATTCAGTGTTGCTATTCAATAGTTATGGAATAAAGCCGACTGGCGGAGTGTAACGTTCCTATTCAAAACCCACCAACCAGTAAGAGCAAGTGTATCCAAATCAATTAAATCAAATACATTTATTGTTGTACACATTTTACAATCGTCACAAAATACATAACACTGTTAATAATACAGCAAATGAATACTTACATCTAATCAATCAAAATAATAAGATCTACAATAAAAATAAAAAAAAACACGACCAAAACAATTATCTCGCTTACTGGGTCGAGAAAATCCCCTTGTGTCAAATATTACACTCGGAATAGAATGAAAAAATTCATGGCAGATAAATTGGGATTTTTAATTATACAAAAGCGTTCCGCTTTTCATCATGTTTTAAAAGTTGTTAAGTTTAAACATTGCTATTATATTTTTCCATCCCTTGAATAAAAAAAGACGTCAGAGCCGACAATTTTGTTTTATCCTGCAACCCGTTTTAATTCCGCTCATGGTCTAAAATCCCTGTTTTCGGGATAATAATCCCTTCGTGATAGTAAACTAAATGGAATCTAAATATAGACGTGAAAGAAACAAAACCTTTTAGTTAATTTTCATTCACATAATGTGCGGGATATGAATATTTTTGAGATTTTTTTGGGTCGGAAACTTAATATACAAATATATTAAGGAAATTGACAGGAAAACAGGCTTACCTTTAAATAAGTCCATAGACACATAAAATATACAACACAAAAGTAGAAACTTTCTTCAACCAGAAGAAGTGAAAAAGTGGTCAGTGACCACAACAATTTATACTTTTATGTTTTACATTTGATGTGTCTCTATGGACTTATTTATAGGTAAGCCTTCTTTCCTGTCAATTTCCTTAATAATTCCTGGCAAATGCACTATCTTTTTATCAGATAAACTTAAAATATACAAATATAATTACATAAGGAAATTGATTGTGCATGTCACCATGACTCTAAGACACGATCTAAAGTGAAAATCTAAAATGTTACCATAATCTTTCGTTTTAGATCTAAACTAAAATGTTAACATAACATTGTGGGAGATGGTGATGACATTGCCACAGCTACAAACTGTTGTTATGATATCAAATGGTTCTTAGTTAATAGTGTTTTCTTAATATGGCAGCATACATTTTCTCACTTATACTTTACCTTTCCACCAACAACAATGTTCTCAGTAACCATCAGCTGCTCGACACTACCACTTTTTATCATGGCAACACCATCATCTCCAGTGAAGACAAAATCAGACACTGGGACTTGGTTGATGGTTTCTAATACATTGATGGTATCAGCTGCTGTTATAAAACCCTCAGATTTGTCTTTCTCAAGGTCAGATAAGGTCTTTCCGTTCCATAGACCAGTCAAAGTGAGGTTGTCAACTGTTATGTCTCCTTGTAATGTTGTAGGGCCTGTAAAATAGCAAGAAGCAAAGCAATCATTCAATACCAATAACCAATAAATTCATTCTTTAATTGCTTATACTCTTTACTGACCATTTATACTAAAATATTTGTATTTTTGTAGCCTGAGTTATGAAGTAATCAAAGTTAAGAATAATTGTATGGATTGAATATCCATTTCCAATCCATGCAATTATTCTTCAAGTACATAGTTGATGTATTTGAAGTAAAATTGCATGAACTGAAGTTACGTAATCCTCACCAACTACAGTATCTGTCTCCACTTCTTCCTATCCTGAGTGTCTTCTTCATTGGCTTCCATTGGTCTTCCTCTTTACACTTCTTCATAAAATGTCCAGAGAGTCTTATTCTATCAGAGTTTCCCTTCCTTTCTCAAATAAATATCGATAATACCTCAAATTATGTGACTTAAGAAACCTCCCATTACTTAAAATGTAACAACTCAAAAGGATATGTTTTATAAATCTTGAAAATTAAAAATTCCAAAACTACTTCTCTCCTATGCCCTTGAAGTAGTTTTGGTCAGGAAAAATGTTAATAGAGCGTTTAGATTTTGTAAATTTTACACAAAATACCAACCTGTAAGCACCTGCTTGGTATCTTTTGTGAACAGGTGTGACAACACGACACCACCGACAGTGCCTTCCACCTCTGCGTTGTTGGTAACATTGACAGCACCAGTGAAAGTCTTAGCCCCCTCTATCACAATAGGGTTGGCATCACTGAGCACCACGTCAGCTGCTTGTACACCCCACTCACTCTCCACCACTGTTACACTTCCGGTCACTTCTAGTTCTGACACAATCAGAGTGGAGCCTGACGCCAGTTCATCTAAAATCTGGAAAAATTTGTTGATAATAAAAGTAGAAACTTTTGGAACATTTTAAACCTAAGGAGAATCATAATAACACCCAGGTTATCAAAGAAACAAAAGGCGTTCACTTCAAAGGACTGGGCTAGCCCTTCTATGTTTGTAGTCCTGGGTCACAGTACTGTCCAATCTTGGTCTTTGAATGATGTTGAATTGGAAAAAATAGTAACTTACGTTTCGGATGTGTTACAGCAATCAATTTCTCAGCAGACCACAATTCAACTGAATTGAGTTGTAGTCTGCCCCATACATGGATTGATGAAACGACAAGGTTATCTAACAAAAAAAGATTCAACAGAAGAAAAAATGTTCAAGCACACACTATAACTATTTGCACTATGTCACAAAATGGTTCAAGAACTATTTTAAAATGAACAATAAGGTAGAACTTTAGTTCTAAGGAAAGCGATGCTAGTCTGATAATCTCAAATAGAAAATTACCCATGTGCAACTGTAGGAGCAAGTGCTATTTCAGTTGTCACAGCCACAACAAATCTATAATACAATTTTTGTCCTTGTAACAAAACATGTAAAATTTAACCATAGACAAAACTAGTACGGTAAAATATTTTATCTACCAACCTATTAAGCCTTGAAGGCTGATACGTTGGCTATCAAGAGATACTAACACGTCAACTTACAACATATAACTTAATTTTTACCATTTGACAGGTGAAATGGAGAATGGTTGAAATGGATTAAATTAAAGTATTTTACCTTTTCTTCGTCAGAAGCAGATGGTGCAGGAGCTCCTACAATGGGAGAAGACCTGGAGGGGTCAGAGGCTCTAGACTGAGACAGAGACTGGAACCTGTCAGACCATACTGCAGGGTCTGATGTCACCCTCTGGAATATCAACCAATGTCAGATATAATATTGAGTCAAGACGATCTACGAGTTAGCAAACATTGGCACTTGATTTCCAGCATATAGTCTTTAGCTTAATCCTATCCTTTGAGTACTATTGATAGGGATGGACGAGTTACGAAACTTCAGGAAATATGAATTCCCTATCATCGGGTGGATTTAGATTTAATCCAGGTTTTTTTGGGACGTGATTTGTTCCAACTATTGGCAATTAAGAGTGATGACGATGATGTTTCCATGACCACGGGAGATATTCTTAATTTAGTAGGAATGGCGGATGACGATGATGTTGCCTCCACAATGACATTAAGGATTTATTTTTAAGATAGCAGGCTTATCCAAAATGGAAAAGAGTAGACGAAAGCATAAGTAACACACAGTAAAAGTGTTACGTTAGGTTAGACACAAAATTTTGAATATTCCAATGACACTAACAGCATTTAGGCTACAACCAAGGTTTGTGTTGGGAAGAGAGATGTCTTCAGATCCAATCGTGGCAAGGATGTTGTTGTTGACAGTGTTGCTAGTATTTACACATTTTACCGTTTGAAGACATATCTTTTCCGTTTTTCTGAACTTAAAACTTACTGCAGTTCAAAATTCTATATGTTAAATTGACAGTGAAATATCCTAAAAGTTTGTTGAGATTTTTGTGTCGTAGTCGACTCTTTCCGATTTAGAAGAGCCTGCTATTCTAACAAAAATCCTGAAAAGGATGTGATAGTTTGAAAATAATAAGGATAAAATAAAATCCAACGGCCACTTACCCCTTTAACATCAACAGTTCCGTTTATATGTTGATATTTATCCTTGTAGACAACATTATCCGTGAGTGTTTTCCAGTCTACTCCATTGATTTTGACTACCGTTAGGTTTTTGCCCGCTAGGGTTTTGCTCCACACATGATCACTTATACTGTCAGCTGGACCTTTGTCAATATTGTTGTTCAAATCCCCATTTCTCACTTCTTCTTCATCCAGGTACACCATTGGAAAGACTAAAAACATAATTTATCCAAGTTTTTTATCCAATTTTTCCACAAATAAATCAATTTAGGCTAGGCCTACTTTGATTTTAAGAAATCAAAAGGAGGGCAAAATATATTAAAGTAGGAGTACCAAAACTGGTAAATCAATTTAGGAAATAAAATTTGATAACATTAAGTTAAAACTTTACCCAAGCACTTGGCTGTTTACCTGTGCATTTTTCTTGTCCTTTACACAACTCCTCTGACAGATCAACTCCGTTAACTTTTCCCCCCTCTTCTAACTCCACCTCCCCTCTCACAGTCAGTGGCTTGCTTAGTGTAACATTGCCTCTTATCACCACAGGTCCGTCGGCGAACTTGAGGTCCTCTCTGGTCAAGTTGTTTATTCTATTGATGAAAATATCTTCTGTCTTGAGTGATTCCACAATCACCTGATGCTGTATTGGACTCGGTTTGTCTTTCCTGCATAAGAAAATTAAATACTGTAATGGTTTTTGAGAAAAAATAGAAAATTTGACTGCGTTTTTTAATCATTGACTCTTGAACTTATTTGATAGCTTAACTACTTGACTACTTGAGGGCTTATTTGATAGCTTGACACACTTATCTTTCATTCATATTTGGGTTGAATAACCTCTAGTTGCATCCCCATAAAGTGATATGACAATCCAGGAAAATCCAAAGCTAACGTGTAGTAGATTTAAGCTTGACTGCAAGGCCGCAGCAAAAGTTAGGTAGGTACAGCTTTAAACTGTTTTATGGTTACCTTGAGCTACATATAGTTGTAATTGAAGGTATGGTTATATTCCTTGCTTCAGACAATAAATCACCATTTACGGACCTAAATTGTTAAAGTACTTACTTACTTTAATACTTTACTACTTTAATACTTTATTATGAAGTAAATGAAATAATGTAAATTTATCTAGTGATTATATATAGGTTTACCTGAACGTATTGTGTAGTAGTTGATCCATATGTTCGCCATTGAGATGAGTAATGGTAAGATTGTTGATACTCAACTTCCCCTTGAAGTTCACCTTTCCCTTGAAACCACTAAGACCCCAAGCTTGATTCTCTCTTTCTTCTACAGCTTGGATCACTTCACTTCCCTATTGGGTCACGACATAATAATGAGTTGTTAGATCATAATATTTAACTTACCCGAGAAAATTCAAGTCCAATATCAGTCAGTATTATGTTGTGTGATATTTTACAGTATAGGCCTACTTAAGCCATTCACTTACACTTTCATTTTCTAAGGATTTATATGCACTTTATTACTGAATTTCGTTAATCCAAAACAGGATTCAATACCGATTAGTTTGGTTTGGAAGGACCCTATTTAAAACGGCAAATTAATTTGTATAACAAATTATCAACTAAGCATGAATTTATATTTTACCTCAGTGATTAAGTTTTTCACAGAGTTCTCCAGTGTTCCCAATTGTAGCAGTCCCTCAGTTTCTGTTGTCTCTTGGGACATTTCGGTCTCATTTTGTGGTTTGATCATTGAGTTATACTTTACACTTGGACTCTCCAGTCTGCCCACAGTCCATTTTCCAGTTATCACGTTGACTCCTTTCTTTTTCACAACAAAATGCAAGGTTTCCTCAACCTCCTCAATCTTTGATTTTATTTGTCGCCATTCATGCTGTAGAAAATATTAAACATTCGTTAAGTTTAGAAGAGTCAGACTAATATTTTCACTACTAAAATTTATTAATCCATACCAACTATTGTCCTTTGCCAGCTTTACCACACAGGATAGCTAAACTCCACAACCCAGGTGAATCAGCAAACTTTGGCTTAGTAAACGCTTGGTAAATTAGAATTGGTACAAACGACTGTTCTCATGGGAAAGATTCGAGACCAGCTTGTCTAAATACAATGCTCTCCTATATTTAAGTCAAATACTATATACAGTATGCATTTAAACGGTCCGTTTTAACGAGTTATTGGGGACGTCGGGTTAACCGGAAAAACTGTTATCTGGACTGGCTTAGTTCCCGAGGAGTCCGGATAAGAGGGTGTCTACTGTAGTGTCTCAGACTTAGATGCGGAAGGGACGGATTTAAATCCCGGCAAAACAAAGGGCACAACTACAAAAAAAACGTAAAAACTTTATCCTCACGTTGAACCCCTTGTAAAATGCCACTGGCGTAGAAAAAAATTAGAACACTGTGAACCAACTCTTCAGGCGGTAGCAGTGACGGGACGCCGACGGCAACGTTAGTTGAGTAGTGTACTTTGTGTAGGTTAACTGTTGCTTGTTGGGCAGGTATAATGCAGTAGTGTTGGGTGCAAGTTCTTAAACACTTATAAAATAAGTTCGCTGGTTCAAAATATTGATCTGATTTTGGACAATTTCTGTTACAAATTCTTTACATGTTCTAGTGAAATCCAAACAGTCAGGTTATTGGGTGCTGAATTTTTGGGACTTTATGTAGATTAGATGGTAATACCTGAATTTTATTCATCTTGTTGACCGTTGCTCTCAATTTATCCATGATGGGATTGTTGCTGATCAGCGATGTCCCTACAGCCACAAGATTAGAGAAGTTTTCAACGCGAGGTATCAGAAGACAGTTCTGCCGCTGAAATGGAACTGAAACAGCTCCAGACCAATCTCCTTCCAGACACCCGTCACCTGTGGTTTACAATGAAACAAATATTCAAACTGAACAAACATATTAAAGGAAGAAATAATGTATACACAATCAATTCACCCAAGAAAAGAGTTCCAGAATTTGACAACACAAACACAATTCACTACAACATTTTATATTTTGCCCCTACATGGAGGCTTCTTCAGAAAGACATTTCCTACTACTTAGATTTTGGTGACGGGAAAAGACGTTCATGATTTTTCCGAGACTGTGGAAGATGTTCGTTCTCAATTTTACGTTAACTTACTTGCGATGAAATTGGAAGATGAATCACGATTTTGCCATGACCGTAAAAGATGTACAAGATTTCACTGTGGCCGCACTAGATTTTTCTGTGCTCGCAGAAGATGTTCTCGAATTTGCTTGAGTGCGGTTTCTAATCATGTTTTCCTATAGTTACCGGTTTTTCTCTGTCTGTGGCCACCCAGCACGATTTCCTAAACTAAATCCTTCTGGGACAAAATATCCAATGAATAATGCTGTGAATTTTGTGTGTTGTCAACCACCTGAAATTCTTTTCTAGGATAAATTAGGGATAATGTATTCCTACGCCAAGCACTCTTTCTCCTAAAAACTAACCTCAAATTTATTTGGCTAAGTACAGTTTTGTTCAAGAGGTTGGCAGCCTCTTTAAACCTTGTTTTTACCTACACACATGGGCCTCATAGGCCTGAGTATGGAACAAATAAATCAAGGACTTCATATAACACAACATGGATCTTATAAAGGAGTTGAGCTACTTCAGTAAAATAATTTAAATTTACAATAACCTACTATTTTGTTAATAATTGTGTTTGTGTGTTTAGTGCTGCTGGCAATTTTATGATATCTTTATCCAAGCAGCATTTCTCATGTTTGAAGCCTTGCACTGTAACCACACTGCTGCCTAGAAAATTAATATACTAGAATTGAAATTTCAAAATAATATCTTTTTTACATGAAAAATATTAACTGGAAAGAATTGAAAAGTTGAACCTAAACTATGCTCAAAACAAAGACGTATGAAGCACGATTAAAAAAATAATGTCAATATGATAATTACAGTTAGGTATCGAGACAGTGTTGAATCCCCTGTTAGCGCCTGCCCAGACGTAAGCTGTGGTTATGTTGGCAGACTTGCTCAAGAGTAAAACATCACTGCGGTACGAAGACACCGGCAAAACCAGCCATTCACTCACAAAACCTAGGCATGATTATTGATATTGATTATACCTCTTATCAGAACTGATTAAATGGAAATAGCAAAGATGGCACAAAGACAAAACATAATACAAATTAACAGTTTCATGGACTATACAAGGCTAATTATTTATTTATACACATTCCTTAAATTAATACAATATTGGTAGGAACAATACATTGCAGGTTTTCAAAGTAAAAAAATGACTGTAAACAATAAATATATCTAATCTGATAAAGGACGTAGATTTTTTAAGAGAAATTGAAAAAGACACCCCACATTGACTTATGGAAAAATCATATTGATCCATAAAACGAGTCTAAAACGTTATTTAAGGTCCTGCTAACAGTTTCCACCTTGAGTAATTCTTGAGTAAAAATAGTTTCATGACGTTTTACCTTTGAAAATATCCACACTGATTCCCTAAGTAGCAAATAGCATTAACTTATAATATTTTGAATTTACAGCTACCACAGAATGTAAACAATATAAATAATGTAAACCTCTATTTGAAAGCATGAAGTTGAAAAGATACCATCAGGGAGGCTTGGTTTTTTAAGACCATTGTAATGAGCTACAGTAAGATTTTTCATATTCTCAAATCCATCCTCGATGTGTAATAATTACAGTAAACTCCCTCTTATCCGGTGTACCCAAAACTCGTTAAAACGGACCGTTTGTTTAAATGCATACTGTATACAGTATTTGACTTAAATTTAGGAGAGCATTGTATTTAGACACGTGATCACTGGTCTCAAATTTTTCCCACGAAAACAGTTTCAGTATCGCCCACTTCCTGCCGATCTAGTCCAGTTAAACCGACTGTGCTAATGAAAATTGTCTGGTTAAAGAAATGTAATTTCCGCCGAGAGTAATCCGGTTAAACCGATGTCCAGTTAAAAGGTGTCCGGATAAGAGGGAGTCTACTGGGAGAAGAAAAGTTAAAAGAGTTTTTTGGAGTCTAAAACCAGTTTGTTCAGCGGGTAGCTGGTATTGAAAACAAGAAGGATTTAATTTTAGGTTAACCTGCAACTGCTTAAAAAATAAAATTTAACTCCATAATTCATTTTGTTTGGTTCTAAATAATCTGATCACTTCTCTAAGCAATGGAAATCTCACCAGGCATCAATTCCGAGATGAACTCTCCCCTTTCGGTTATCCTGATCACATGGGGTGTCTCTCCATTGATTGCTAAGTATGTCTGTAGTGCAACATTGAAACATACCACCTGCAGAAGAGGGTAGTATTACAAAGTTAATAGGCATCATAATGGAAAACATAAATATCCAGTAAACATTTTAGACATTTAGATACTGTGGGCCAGTGACTTGATTATTAGCCAAAATAGTTGCAAGAAAATTAGTATATAAGTATTCAGTATTTTATAACAAGAAACCAACAGCTGCAGGTATTAAGTTTTTTTACCATCTACCAAAAGAAATATTTGATATAAAAAAACATTAGGTCTTTAAAAAAAAAAACTTAAATTGTTACTAATTGATAAGAGCATTTTACTCATTTGAAGAGTTTTACAACATGTAATTACATTAATTAAATTTTCCTGTTTTATTTAGTTAACCAAGTATTTTTAATTAGTAATAAGCTGTTTTGACGCCATTCTGTATTTATGCATATATTTCATGTAGGTATATAATGTATAAATCTTGAATAAAGCTTTTCTGATTCTGATTCTGATTATATATCACTGTAGTGTTTAAGTAATCTTAGAGTCACAGCTCATATTCTAGAGGTGTAGCTCATATTCTCCATTAACATATAGGGCTGTTCTTATCTCAAAAATCTTTTTGGGCTCCACTCCAGTGACTCTGGAGTTTCCCATGTTTACCTTATGGGTATTCATGTTTAAAAAGCTGTTTCAACTTAACAAATATGTTGGGTTCGATGATGTGCAATAGCATTAAAAAGTTACATGGGTTTACTAAATATAACAGCACTATATTTTTTTGGTTTTACATTGACATGCCTTAGTAAACAAGCATTTTCTCTTACACGTCATATTTCAAATTTTATATTTTTTTGTAAAAGAGGTGCAAGGAATACCTACTCAGGCTTGTCTGTGCTGCACATTCCCGATCACAGGTAGACTGTGTATAATAAATCATTTGTCGTAACCGCATGCCACCAATGGAACTCCATACCTTATCCTATTAAATCCATAGTAAACCGAGGCCGACTGATGGTGGCGCTGAAGGAATATTATGTTAACCGGATGTCCGTGGCTTGGCGGGATAGCATGCATTAGGTCTTTGGGTACAGCATATGATGTACAGTATGTGCGTTTGACTATGTATGTTAGGGAAAAGAAATTCATATTATGATATTTATTTTATGCTAAGTTATTTGTTTATTATACACTTTGTTGTATTTACTTTTGTTAATTTTATGTTATTGTTAGTTTTAAGAAAGGACCATGATGTCCGCCTCAATAAAGAAGAGTGTTCATTTCATCATATCACTGTAGCAAAGCACAGTTATAGCGGCTAGTTACACTGTAATGTTTAGTGTTTGGTAATTTATGATAATGTATCCATTTCCCTCAGGGTGAATTTGAAGTAGAGGTATGCGACAGCCAAACTGAGCCTAGCCTACAAACTCAAGGATCTAGCACTAGGTGAAAAAATTGTTGAGCTTGAGCGGTTAGCTTATGATTGCAATCATTATGGTAACCCAATGAAACCCAATGAACCCAATGAACCCAATGAACCCAATGAAACCCAATGAATGGTGTTGGTAAATAAATAGTAAGCTGCACTACTCCTGCTCTCAGGCCACCTTCACCGAAAGTGTGACAAAAGCGTAGAGACTAGAGATCCATGCAGGTTCTAAGACTTGACAAACTATATGGTATGCAGGGTGCCAAAACTACAAGCACAGTCAATTACAAGAGCCCATTGCATTAAGGAAGATCTTTATCTTCCCAGGGTAGAAAGGCCACATAGGCAACAAATGGGTTATTCTACAACCGCTACGGAATGTGAATTTTTCCATCACGAAACCTTTGCAGACACGCTCTACGATCACAAAAGTATAAGTTCAGCTGGAATTAGCGATAGAAAATCAAGTATCCAAATTTTTTAATGTAGGGATGTGGTGGGGTCTCCATTGATTTGTATAGGCCTAGTTGGGGTTCTACTGTACTTAATCGTCTGCAGGGAGGGTCAAATAACACAGAAGGTCGGATAAGTAAAGTTAGAATAATCGAGACTCATCAGTTACTTAATCAAATTTTATGTAAGCCAAAAACTAAACTCTGCACTAACCTGTGATACTCTCAGAAGAGACAGCTCAGTGTGTAGCTGGTAGTGTCCGGACACCAGACGATACACAGCAACATGATGACTTAGTGGCAGAACTAGGAAGTGTTGACGACCCACCCTACATACAGTGACCGATCTACAGTCTCCTGACACTGAGAAACTCTGCACTAACCTGTTGTAGACAGATTTCAAAATAATAGGCAACAGTGAAATAAAACAATGTTACCTAATAATACGGTACAATATGACTAACCCTTTGAACCCCATCAAGTAACACTAGGTGTAAAATGCAGTTGTTGGCTTGTAATATCCTGCGGAGCGAGCATACAATACTATTCCAAAGTCATAACCATTACCAATTGAGATGGGAACGCCCCTAGGTGTGTATTTTAACCCAAATATGAGTGAAGGTTGATTGTAGAATGATGTGTGATGATCTATGTAGCTTTGTTACAAAATGTTACATACATCTGGTTCACATAAATGGGATGTCTACTAACAGTATCCAAAGTCAAAGATATACAGTATTTGGTTCACTTAAATGCAAATGATTATTCATTTTGTTGTAAATTAGGCTCAACAGAATTGATCCGATTGTTTTCCCTTTTGGTCTGTTTTTAATGTGCTAGTTAAGATGATTTGTTGGTAAAAATACAGTAATTTTGTTTAAATTTTTAATGACGACCAATTTACCCGTAAGGCATGTTAAATTTATGAAAGTTTAAATTCACGTAGGAAAAAAGCCCTGTAGTCCGATTTGTACCATTTAAGATTCATACCTTTCCTTCCCATAGTTGATTATTATGCTTGAGCTCAATGTCGAGAGGACATTCAGGAGGAGTATTTGTAAAACAAAAGCAAGAGTGTAGTAAAAGAGCTTTGCTCGCTCCGCTCAATTACCCAACCTTCACGACTTTTGATGGCAGTAGACAAAAAATAGACATCACATCAGTTACGTAGCCAGTTTCAGAATGAAGATTAGGGTAAAGTGGTTGAATTGAGCCATGGACAGCGTGCAATCACTGATGTCCATAACTGATTTCTGTTGCGTAAGCACACTTTTTAACGAGGAAAAAATATGTGCAAATTTAAGTAAAAGAGAAAGCCAAATTTTTACAGCCAGCACTCTGTGAAAAGTTTACTCAATTATGTTCTATTTTGGTAAGAAGAGTTTACAGTTAGATCATATAAATGGACTGGCTACTTCATAATCAGAAAGTATATGGTACAACTTAACAATAACAGCTAAAAGTATCTGACATTAACTGCAACTTGAGTCAACTTGAGCAAGTTTTTTGCCACTACTTTTGCTTGATATTTTTGCTGTCCAGTGGTGATAGTACACTAGAAGTATGATGAATGGCCAAGCAGGTTAACGTGTTGTTTTACTTGCCAAAAGACAGCATCGTAGATTCAGGGTTAGGCCGCGTACGTCTGGCAAAGCTTGATGGATGCAAGTAGACAAGATAGGTACGTATTCTTTACCAGATACACTTAGTTAGTTTTAAGTTAGTCAAACAAGTACAGAATTCATATACAACATGAATATACAATGGAAAATTACGTATATAGGCAAAATAGTTAATATTCTTAGACATTTCTCATCATATTTCACTTACCTAAAGTCTAATTTGCCACTACCCGTTACAAACAGGATCTCAAACACATCAATGGAGGCAGGAGAACCTTTATCAATCACTATCAGCTGATTTTTTCCATGCATGCTAACAGCTGATATACAGCTTACTGTTTTATAGCGGGACCATTGTGTTACATATTCCTGTAAAAGAATTTAAATGTTAATGCAAAGAAGTAATTTTAACTCTTTGAAACCGAACAGACTGAAAAATGTTATAACTAAAAGTCTTGTTATGGTTTTAGCCTACTTTTATGGGCCAGGCGTTTTTTAATAGTGTAAAATGTGACATTGCTTTTCTAATTTAAATTAGGGTATGTACAGTGTCACATCAAAATTGCATCATGTACACAGGTAAACTAAAGTTGACATGGTAATAAATAGCGCACAGCAGTAATTTTCACTAAAAAGTCACTTTGGAGTTACTTAGACTATTCCTTTGTATCTGTAATTTTTATGCGCTCCTTTAATGATAGCTGAGCACAGGAGTCCAAATCCTATGATTTTTTATTAAGCATTCTGACATTGTCCTTGCTCACACCCTGATACAAATTTGGTATTTTTGGGAAACTAAAACGTGAAAACTGCTAAAATAGGCTGATTTTCTTAAATTAAAAAAGATCCTATCACTGCAACACTTGATATAAATGTTACCAATTTTGCATCCATGATCCGGTAGAATAAAATACCAGCCGTAGATGTGTCTAATGCCACTACAACTACCACTTCCGGCTGGGAAGATTCTGGGTTCCATCTTGTGAATAGTGATGTACTTGTCACATTGGCTGTAAAACCTACAAAAAATCACAAAAAGGTTAATAATGTCAATTCTTAATTTAAAGTTCAACATTATTGAGTTGTTGTTTTTTTTTTTGTTATTTTTGCATTGTGATGGAAAATGTCCGCAATAAACCTTTGAACAACAAATGTCGATTGTTGTCAGATAGACGAACTGCAGTATATTTTACAAAAGATCTATTGGAGGATTTTTTACGTTCAGAGAACAAATGCTGTGAAAGCTTATAGATTACGGACTGCGTTAGAGTCGGCTGACATAATTCCAACGCTTCTAGTAGACATCTAAATATATTATTAACATGGACTGATTTAAGTGTCCAAAGCTTTTATTTTAACGTCCGTCCACTCCACCCTCTACTCAAGCTGTTTCACTTTACAATTTAGATTTTATTTTAATTTCCTCCATTTACATCCTAGGACTATAGGCTCTAGCGTGGACCTGTTTGACACATTACTTCATGTTAGAACTAGAGAGTTACGGCACTATCACGTGTTAAAGCAATTAGTGATTGGCAGGATTTGAACTTGGAACCTTGGAGACCGAAGCCCTGCAATATACAACTAGACCAGCTCACTCATCTAACAGGACAGGACAGTAGGGTGGCATCAATTTAATGCCAGCAACAGCTGCTTTGGCGTCTTTCCTCAGTCACAAAACCCACAATTCCTCCTAACCCCTGGATACCTACCACCCATACCAGGAGGAAATACAACTCGTGTTTTACAAATACAACTATTTAACCTTTTGCTAAGTAGATAGACCTTCTTACTTAAGGAATGCTGTTGAAATTGAAGTGATCTGTTGGCAGACAGTTGAGTTGGCGCTGTTACCAACGTGATCGAGGAATGTTTCCGGCCCAGGAGATGAACCTGGCCACGGTTTGTCTTAGCCTGCCAACCAATAACAGCTTCTCCAGCAGCAAGCAATGGGTCTTGTCTCATCCACTCAACTGACAGCTCTGGAAAAATTACAATAATAACCAAATTCAACCATACTCTTCTGGATACATCACATTTAGAAATAGTACTCCTGACAAAAAGTATTATTTGTATCTGAGTTTTTTTAATATAGTAGTGCATTAGGTGTAGACAGGTTATAAATCTTAAATCTGTGATACAATAAAGTTGTTGAGCTCAAATTAAATTAATTTGTTCAGTGTGATTGCGAGATTGCTGGCTGCGGCCGGTGGCGGGAACAGCTAATGTGCTGCGTGGTTGAGTCCGCAAAAACGTTTAAATTTAGTTTCATCCAAATGAGAGGCATATTATAGCATATGGGGTATATGGGGTTTGAAGATCCCAACAGTTAGCAGCACTAAACAAAACTGCTAGCAGGCCCTCAGTATTGCCAAATGGAGGAAAAAAGCAGGGGCAAAAACCCCGTATACACCATGAAAAAATATCGCAAAAAAGCTGTCAAGCACAATTTTGAGGTGAGGTTCCTTCCACAATGCTTCACTACAATAGTTATTATCATTATTCTATTCCGTTCCACTAAATCCTAGCCAAAACCCCAAACTACACTAAATTTGGAACAGTCCCCTCCATTGATAAAATAGCCGAATCTGAAAACTAATCTTAGATTGAAGTATAAAACTGGCACAATAAGTGGCAATCGGACACAATGTTCCTCGTGTGAGGCTGTGTTCACACTGAAGCAAGGTTGTTGGCTATAGGTCGTCCAGTGGTCAAAAACTCAACCAAAAATATGTAATGTGCAGACTTCTATATGTTTACCCCACGCTGTAAATAAAACATGTGATTGGAATTTCTTCCATTTGTTTTGATTGGTATCTGTTTATATTTTGTTGTTATGTTGTCACCAGCATGGTAACCCATAAGGCCCATGTTAATTTTTTTTTTAGATGAAATTTACTTTTTTGTTCTTATTTTTAAGCCTATTTTAATTTATAAAGGGATTCTGCATATATAAGGGAAAATATCTTTCTAACAGTATGCTTAGATTTTCCCTGTGATGGACACGAGCTGAGAAAAAAAGGTTTTTTAGAAACATGCTTACCTATTATTAATATATGCCTATTAATATATAGATATATTCCAGACTGCCAAAGATATAATGCTAAATATTCAGAAGGAAAGAATTCTTGTAAAAACTATTGTATAAAGATGTAATGTATAAAAATAACTTTGTTTTGTGATAATTACAGTATTTTAAAGAAGACAAATATTTACAATAGTTTTAATAGGTATACATTTACGATTTTAAAACTGTTAGCATTTAAACGTTGTCTCTGATACTGTATAGCCTAATTTTTGTAATGTAGGCTATCAAACCTTGACTTTGTCTATTGCATGATTGTAATGCTGAAGGACAATAAAAACATTCTGATTCTGTAATTTAGTATTACAGTACTTTAAAAATAATGAGGTGTAAACATATTTTCTTATAACCTAAAAAACTTGCCATAGAAGAGAAGTTAGTGAAATATTATCTTAACTTGATTATAAATCAACTAAAAAGTTAGCAATTTATGGAAATTTAGCTACTGATATATACTTACTTTCCCTATTTCCAACTCCAGAGTTAAAGACATACGAGTGGTAAAAAGGGTCTTTGTTCACCAACAAGTCCTGGGTAATCTTATCGAGCTCTCTCCTTAATTCAATCTAAAAAAATAATATTAAATTGAGGCTGATGTGAATAGTTCTTTTAAATTGGAACATTTGCTGGCATTAATATTTACTGCCTTTTATTGGTAACCTAAAAAATTTCACCTAAATGACGTCAAAAGACAATTTAATCACAGCAATATCAGAAACTAGGGTTGTTTAGTAAAACACCAAGTTATGTTTGGTCACAGAAAACATATTACTATAACCACAGAAAACATACTACTATAACCCAGAATGCCAACCGCATGGTAAAAAGCATTAAATGTTTTGAGAGAGCTTTGCCTGTCAATCGTAGGCAGCGCCACCAGCGTTGCCATGCACTCAGCATAGCAACGCTGGTGGCGCTGCCTACGATTTTTTGTCAGTCCCAGGCCCAGGTCTTACCGTGCTACATAAGGTAAGTTAATAGCTACTTCCCTATAGGGAAATTTGTTAAAAAATTAAAAAAGTATATTTATGGAAGCCATAACTCATAAAATAATTGAGAAAATATGAGTATGCACAACAAGTTAGCACTTTTCTTGCTCTTTAAAATGATAGGGTAAGCGGGGGGAATTGGGTGGGCGGGGTAATTGGGTGGTAAAATCGTTAACAATTTTTATATTTTTTAATTATTGATATTTTAACATTTAAATGACATGTATGGACAGCCAATCTCTTCAAGAATAAGCCATAACCTTTTCAGATTTGTACCTTTAAACATTTAAAGGAGGGAAATAGTTTTAGGGACCCTTGTCATTTCGCGATTCTAAAAGTGGTATGCAAACTTTTTCAATCTTTCATATAAAATGCATTAAAATTTTCATACATGTGAAATTACATTATTTTTCACCATAAAATGAATAAAAATATACCAAAGAACATGCCCAATACTTATTTTCATAATAAAACTACTTCTAATTTATTTATTTTTTTTCAAAAATGTTACCACCCAATTACCCCCTTACGGGAAATTGGGTGGTAAATTTTAAAACTGAGCTAATACTGTTTCCTTGGCTTAATTTAATTAAAAAAGGCAATAATAATAATATTTTGTGAATATAATTCACACTAGAGTTTTTGTTTTGGTATTTCACCACTACCACCCAATTACCCCTATACCAATACCATTAACCCTATACCACTTAATACCCGTGAGTTCACTTCACATTGGACTGAACCCAGAAGACCTAAAAAAGTCACAAAATTGTATTATAGTTACTTAAATAGGCATAAAGACTGCAGTAGCGACTGAGCTGATGTAGTAAACTAGTGCATTAGGCCTACAGTACATTAGTTTATACAGCCTCCCTTGTTTTATATCGTGCGAAGGACTGGAAAATCGTGCCTCATTTTGTAAAGTTTCGAGACCATATTACATAATTTAAACCTTATTAGAGAAACATTTGTCCCTATTTTCCTGTTAATATTATTAATGTACTCTTTATATTATGAATTTAAAAACTGTAGGCCATAATATTTAATTGTGGTTAAAGATTTTTATTTATGTGCGTAGTTTAGGAAAAATATGTTTGTCACCACAAAATTTATGGTAAATTTTGTTTGTTTTTTACTAAGCCTAGTTAAAAATGTTGCTTTTAGTTTCCTTTATAACACCCAATTTCCCAACTTTAATTAGCATTTAGTGTTTATGGATTGTTGACCTACCACCCAATTACCCCCATGGGGGTAATTGGGTGGTAAAACACATTTAAATTTTTTTAATTTTTTGGGGGAATTGCGGGAAAAAAATAAAACATGAAAAAGATAGCTTTTTGTATTATAAAATTAATTAAGTAGGCATTTAACAACAAAAATAGGAAAAGTGGCCTAACCAGATACATTTGTAAAACATACCTCCCAATTCCCCCCGCTTACCCTATATCAAACAATAAAATTGTTTCAGTAGTTAAAATTTTATAAGAGATTTTACAAACCTATATTTTCCTGAAAAAAGCTCAAAAAACTCCAAAAAGTAAAGTAGGTAAAATATAGACCAACTATGAAATGTTAAAAATAATAAAATAATATTCCACATGAAAACTTACCTTATCTCTTTCTTTGAAAGATTTCAGCCCAGTAACCATTTGATCCATGGTTAAGGAAATTAACAATAAGATGTGAAAACGAATAAAATACTCCATGTCTTCTCCTTGAGGTTATAAGTTAATCTGGAAACAGTTACACAGGCTTATAGTAAATTATGTTTATTGCAATTAACAGATATTTAATAGGTAGCATGAATTTAAACATAAATCTACATAAGCTAGATAATATAGACCTCCATAAGTTACATGTGTGTGATGTAGTCTGTTCAAGTTTGTTCAATTTATTTCCATCACTCAGAACTTGTATTCAAATCAAATATGCTTTATTCAAAAAGTAAAGTACAGTTTTGTAGGTACATTGAATGGCGTTAACCTATATTAAATTAATAATTTATAATTAAATGTATTTAAGTTTGTCTTCTGGGATCAAATGAACGAATTTCGGATCCAACCCAAAGATGCAAGTTAATTTAGGTTATAAAAACCTCATATCACATAAGTAATTTGGACGAAATAATAATAAAATAGTTTGATAACTGTTTACGCATAATAAGAATAACCCATTTACCACTCTATGAACGTGGAAATATATTAATAAAATTAGAGCAAGGGATAGGTCAAATAAAATTTTACTAACTTACATTGCAAAGATTTTTACATTAGGTTAGAAACCAACAAGCAGGAAATAGGTACTTAGTTGGTCAAATCATAAATAATACTACGGTACCGTATTTTACAAAATTGTATTCATAACAAAATTTTTAACCCACGTGGAAAACACAGTTCACTATAAAAAGTTCAGTTATAAAATCATTACCGGTACGAGTCTTCACTGTCTTGTAAGTTAATGATAAAATTCCTTTGAGTTTTAAGTTTTATCTTTAACATTAAAATATTTGTCTCCCACATCAATGGTTCATTGAAAAGGTGCCTTAGAAAATATCCTCACAAAAACCAACATTCTCATCCCACCTCTCAACACTCGACGATGGACTATCAATCCTAGCCTACTTTAATTATTAGGATAAATTACTTTCCTGTTAGGGCCTATAAAGAGAACATTCATTAGAACTTTATCAATGATTTTTTTACATATCAATAAATATTTTTTTTACAATCCATATTACTTCTGTTTTAATATATTCAAACACATTTAAATTACAAATTGACAACTGATCTTGTTTAGGCAAAAATAATTTATGGAATAAGAAATGAAACTGTTCTAAACTAACCTAAAATAACTTGCCAAACTTGCTTTAACATTTCAAAATTCTGTTTGATAACAGAAAAGGCATGTGGGGGATAAATTTTACAGCATTAGTTTGGTTAGCTAGGTTAGTTTAGAACACGTTTCATTTCAATATAATATTTTTTTAATTGTTTGTTGATACTGAACAATATTTATTTATCATAGGTGTCAGCTGATATGGTATGTTTCAACCACGATTACTAGAAAAATACCGGCATGGATCATAAACATAAACAAATAAGTTTTTGGCCCGAAAATAAACATTATTTAACATTGCTTAAATGGAACTGCCAAAACATAATGTTCAATGCTATTAGTATAGGATTCGGACCAACAATGTCATTTGTTTATGTTTATGATCCACACCAGTATTTTTCTAGTATTCGTGGTTTCAACTCGTTAGTGGTAGGCCTATATCGGATCAAAAAATAAAATATCAATAAAGGCTATCAAAAAAATTATCAAAAATAAGGAATGTTCCCTTTAACAGGAAAGTGCCCTCATTAGATTCCATGTCTATCCACTGAGAGACTTCTCTATAGCCCAGCGCCCAGCACATAATTTAGTGGCAATACTAATGAATACAACTTTAGCCAATTAACAATTAAACAAATAATAACCCATTAATTTACAAACCAAAAGGAGATGCACACTGTCTTATTGACCGGTAATTCTAAAACACAAGGAGACGCACAGAGTGGAATCAACCAGTGTGGACATGACAAAAAGCTGTCGCAAGACTGAAACGAGGTGGAGAATGGCAAAAAGTTTGTCACAGTGTCCCTGTAATGTGGTGTGTTATGCACAAAAAATAAGTAGGCCTAAATGCTGACAATACCGACATAAAAAAACATTTTTTTTTGCAAAAAGTATAAACCCGGTCAGTTATGCGACCTTTTGCAGATGAAGGGTAATAAGTTATAATATTTTCCCTCTTAGGCCATTTATAAATATTGATAGGCCTATATTGATCTGGGATACCAGGATTGAGTTCCCTCTTTACAAACTTAACGCTAAGCTATCCGTAGGTCAGTCAGCATAGGCCTTGATAATTTCTAATGGGCTATCTTATTAGGCTAGGCCTAGGTACAGTAAAATTATGCTAACTTAATTGGCTACGGTATAGAAAATCAAAAATGTAGGCCTAACAACACATCTAGAAAACCCCATCTTTTCTATTTAGGCCTAGGCTTATTCTCGATTTTTATCTTTTTTTTATAAATACTTCAGCTAAGTTAACGTAACTTAGTTGTAGTCATTCCAAGACAATGTCTGAGTTCAAGATTTAACGTAGAGTCAAAATAGCCTAGAAAGGGTAAAACTCAAAAACATCATTTGTAGGCTATGGATTCGTAACAAACTTTATAAAAGCAGAAAATTGTTCAAGAAAACACATGATAATTACAACATATTATTGAAAACATGAATTTCCTACTCTTAAGGCCTATACTTACTATAGCTCAGTGCATCACTATATGCGGCACTCATCCTACTCATCTCCATTCCATTCATAGCCTACTTTATATGGTCGCCATTTCAATGAACAGTACATACTTATTAACAGATAATGGATTTCAACAACAAAGCAACTCTCCGGGCCTACCTTTATCTCTAGGTTAACTTAAATAATTTTGGCCAAACTTCTACAGCAATAGGCCCTACCTGTAATACTATAAAGACAACTTCAGATTGACATCAGTTATATCACTTCGCAGCTTGCCTTTGAAGAAGAACTTGAAATTACGACTTTATACACTAAAATACTCCTATGACCGGAGTATCAATATCAAAAATCAATCATGAACATGAATTTTATCAGGTTGCTGAAACTTGAAACAAGTTGAAACTTGAAACTGAAAGAAATATTATTCTAAATTTGAAAGAAGGCAGAAGGGAAAGAAGATGAACTAAATTAAGAAGAAGTAAGACAACACCAAAACAGTGTGACCACACCTTTTGCTAGAAAAGAAATACAGCTGGACTGGAGCATAGATGTTAGCATAGATAAAACCATAGATAATAGGAGTACTGACACAGACACCCCACGCATTGTCAATATGTGTTAACAATTTTTCGCCCAAAAACAGACTAGATCCTAGGCGGCGCTAGTCTCGAAACCGACTAAGTGCGGTTGCCATGTCGTAAAACTCAGTCGGTCGACCGGCCAACTCAACTCAGCCGGCTGGGAGAGATTCCCTCGCCTCGCACCCGCAACGTACATATACAGTGCACGAGCACTTCACTCTGCGTCCTAGAGCTTAAATGAAATGAGTTTTATCCTCATAGCTAAATAGCTATATATGTGTTATAAAACACGCGCGGTTGAAAAACTTAAAACTATATCTTATATTCTATAAACACTGTCTTGAGTAGGTTAATTTTATTTTAATAAGACACTGTCACTGATACCTAATATGTATTTTGATTTTTCCCTGTAACACTTATGGTTCATCCCTTCACTGGCTATATCCACTCTTACATACTAAGATTTTATATTTACAAATCGTTTAACGGTATGAATTCCATAATTAATTATTTCACTTTATTTGTTTGATTGAGTAGTTTTTTATCAAATTCACAAATTCAGCACTAAATTGTGGACATATTTTTGTAATTTGTGCTCATTATGGTGGGGCTAGCTTCACGCGGGTAGTCAAATGCCTTAGTAAAGTCAAGATAAACTATTGTTGGTTTACGCTCATCAACAACTATCTCGCTGTGTCTTTCAACTGCTAGTTCAGTATTTTTACCTTTCATGAACCCAAACTACTCCTTTTATGTCTACTCATGTATATACTCCTTTTATCTATGATAAAACTAAGGAGTATATAGGTACGTTTTAGGCAGTGGCTATTCGCACGCCAGACGTGCGCCACTGGCCGCTACCATGCACGTCTGCTCCAAATGACGTCACATTACGTTCCTAATCTAGTAACTGTTATAGCTGAAGAGAAGTAGAGAAGTTGTAGAAAGTTCGAGTGAAATTGTACAAAAAGCTGTTGGGTGTGTTGCTTTTGCTAATAAACCACTGGTCTCCGATTTAAACTCCTCGGCGTTACATCGGAAAAACCCTATTTGAACAAGGTAGCTAGTTTTCCAAAAAAAATAACTAATACTATTCAATCCACCTCAAAAAATAACTTACCTTTCACTGTTTTTCATCAAAATATTGAAAATTTAATAAGTCGCATTGAACCTTTGCAAATTATATTAGATGAAATAAATCCTAGAATCATAATTCTCACCGAACATAATATCAAAGAAGATGAATTAAAATACCTTAAAATTAATAATTATGTTGTAAGTGCTTGTTATAATAGAAAATCTACGGTAAAGGGGGGTGTAATGATTCTCTCCGAGGAGGGTATCTCTGGTAGGCCGGTGGTCTTGCCAACATCTGATACATGTTTGGGTGAAGATAAAATTTTTGAATTCTGTGCTGTTAGTTATAAGTTAAATGGTTGTAAAATTATTGTAGTTGGTCTGTATCGCTCACCCTCATCAGATCCATTTGAATTTTTGAAACGCCTAAATGCATTAATTAACATTTTGATTAAAAGATGTAAATTTATTATAATTGGTGGGGACATAAATATCAATGTTTTGGTGGATTCAAGGGAGCACTTAGAACTTAATAATGTATTAAAGAGTTATGGTATGAAGTATCTTGTAAAATTTCCAACTAGAGTAACTTCTACAACTGCCACTTGTATTGATAATTTTATGTCAAATATTCCCACAAATGTAATAAAAACTGAAGGTTTAATTTCTAGTTTATCTGATCATGATGCACAAATGATTGAAGTAAATTTAGCAAATTCTTTTAGAAATGATAATGAGTATATAACGATGCATAAAAGAAGTTTTACAGAACAAAATATAGCAAAGTTTTCAAACATGTTGTCTGTAGAAAATTGGTTAAATGTATATTGTGCCCCAGTTGAAATTAAGTTTGATGTATTTCTAGATATTTTTTTATATTATTTTAATATATGTTTTCCAAAAGTAAAATGTAGGAAACCCTGTAAAAATAAGAACAAATGGATAAATTATGATTTGTATGAGTTGCAATCAGAGCTAAAAAATTTAACTGAACTAAGCAGGTCATCTCATGATCCTAATTTAGGTAGGAGTGTCAAGGAGAAGAAAAAGGAGTATAAAAAAAAGATTTTTGACAGTAAAGTTAAACATTACGAAAAACAAATTAGAGAATCTTCAAATGTTAGTAAAACTACTTGGAAAATTATTGGAGAAGAAATTAATATTAAAAATAAGCACATTGAAACAAATATAGCACTGAACTCTGGTGGATCAGAAATAAAAGATCCTTGTTTAGTTAGCAATATGTTTAATGATCATTATATTAATCTAGTTGAGACAAATGTAATTCCTAAGTTGAATCAAGTTGCAGCTTCTTCCAACATTTCTTTGCCTAATTATACTGATAAAGTTTTTGTTCCAACTAGTATAGAGCCTCATCAGCTGGAAAAAGTAATCATGTCCTTCAATAATAAGTTTTCAACCGGTTATGATGATATTCCTATAACAATCATAAAACATGCCAGAACCTATCTGTTACTACCGTTGTGTCATTTAATAAATTCATCTTTTATATCAGGTATTTTTCCGGACAAGTTAAAAATTTCTAAAGTAAAACCTCTTTTTAAGGCAGATGACTGTAAAGAAGTTTCAAATTATCGCCCACTGTCATTACTTCCTGTTTTTTCCAAAATTTATGAACGAGTTATGGCTATTCAGTTAACAGAATTTTTAGAGTGTAACAAACTGTTAGACAAAGAACAGCATGGTTTTAGGGCCGGGAAATCAGTAATAACTGCCAGCATTGATTTTATTGAGTCAGCTTTAAATTCTTTGGATAAGGGTAATAAAACAATTGGTATTTTTATGGATCTTAGTAAAGCTTTTGACAGTGTATCACATTCAAGCCTACTTGTAATTCTTCAAAAACTGGGAATAAAAAATAGGGCTTTTTCATGGTTTGACTCTTATTTAAAAAACAGAAAACAGTTTGTTGAAATTAAACATATTAATCATTTCAATCAGTTAATACACCGTAATTCGAATATTAAAGATATTAAGTTCGGAGTCCCTCAAGGCTCTATTCTGGGTCCATTACTTTTTCTATGCTATCTTAAGGGTTTACCTAGCATCACACCTTTTGATAATATCACAATGTATGCAGATGATATAAATTTGCTGATATCACGTAAAACTCTTGATGAAATCGAAGTTTCCGCTTTTAACCAGATTTCAACCTTAGAACAGGCTCTTAACGAAAAATGCTTGCTACTGAATCCTAATAAAACTAAGTTCATCACTTTTACAGCTTGCTCTAGAATTAGACCTGCACCTGAGTTGACAATATTTCTTAATGATCATGTGTTGGAAGAGGTGGATAATTCTAGATTCTTGGGCCTAATAATTGACAAAAACTTAAATTGGAATAATCATGTTTTATCAATTTCTAAAAAGTTAGCTTCTGGTTTATTTGCATTAAGGAAGGTTTCTAAATTTAGCACTTTGGTTACAATGAAAACCCTTTATCATGCCCTTGTACAGTCTCATATCGCTTTTGGTATTGTTTTATATGGTAATACCTCAAATGAAAATTTAGATGAACTTCTTATCCTTCAAAAACAAGCAATAAGAATAATTTTAAAGCTAAATTGGGATGATTCTGTTAAACACCTATTTACTGAATTGGAATTTTTGACTGTATATAGTCTATACATTTTTGAACTTATTTTGTTTATAAAAAAGAATTCTCATAGAATAGAAACGTTAGGACAAAACCATAGTTATAATACTAGAAACAATAGAGTATTTGCTTATACAAGCCACAATCTTAAATTATATGAAAAGAAACCTTCCTATGCAGGTATTAGATTCTATAATGCTCTTCCGGTGGATTTAAAATCCACAGAAGATTTTAATGTTTTTAAGAAAAAACTGAAAAATGTAATGCTATCCAAACCGTTGTACTCTCTAGATGAGTTTTTTTTATTAATGTAATGATATAAACTCATCTCTAGGTCTATTTCATGTATATTGCAGTGAAATCATTAACATCTAATATTTTTGTATAATGTAGTAAGTTAGAAAAATGTTTAAATTGACGCTATTCTATGTACACATGTATGAAAAATGAATAAAGTTATTTTGAATCTTGAATCTTGAATCTTGATTGAGTATAATTTTTTAGTTTCCCCCAAAATCCTCCATTTTGGGTTTGCGAACCAAGTAGTAAATAGACTCAAAAAGTACTTCATAACATGCCTTCTGAGAATTTCAATTGACTACAGTACCATTTTTTACTGGGTTGAGATAGAAATAAACCCCTAGTTTGCGTTGTTGGTTTTCTTTTATTAGGACCTTCATTCGATGGGTCTTACTGTTTGAAAATTTTGAGTTTCCACCGAAATCCCCCATTTTGGGGATGTACACGAAATGGCGGTTTATGCCCAAAAAGTACTTCATAACATGCCATAAATGTGTGCAGAGTTTAGTTTTTATAGTATGGGCCCATGGTGGAAGGAAAAAACACCTTTTTCCTTCCACCATGGTATGGGCCATTAAAAGTCTCCAGACTTTTATACTATACTTGTATACTATACCTTGTATACTATACTATATCTCTGTAATACTTCAGCATACCGTAAATATTAAGAACAGAATCCTCTCAATCCTTATATTTTACCTTGTATGTATTTTCCTTCCACCATGATCATACATAGGAATAATTTTTCACAATTTTCACTTTATACACCTTTGTGATAGGGGAAAAAATTATACATATTTACAAGGCTTTGGTCGGGCTAGGACTTTTCGAGAAACCGTAAACCTATCTTTCCACGACGTGAAATACCTGTGACTGTGGGGATTTCACTTTATTTGAGATGGCTGTTGCTAAACCAGAAGAAATAGAGGTAATTATTATAGTAGTAGTGAGAAATGAACATACACATTTTTATTCTTTAAGGGTGTACCAATTTATTCACCAATAATACAATTTATGTCTATAAAATCACTAATACTAAAAGTGCTAGGCCTATTGTGGAATTGGGACCATGACATATGTCTTCTGCTTTACTTGATAATAGTTTTCTCTCATAAAAATGAAACTATTCTAGTTTAATCCATAGACGAATAAATGGTCTTACTTCCTCTTAGCCTATAACTTGACCACAATTTTTGTCTTGATTTTTGGTCCAGAGACTAGGCCTAGGTCAGGGGCCTCAAAACTTTTCCTTGAGAGCCACATTGTAAATTTTTGGAGGAAAGGCGAGCCAGTCATATTTTAGTACAGAAAGTTTAGTCCCTCCTCCTAAATACTTAAAAAGTCACCTAAGTTACTGTAATTGCAATTGGTAAGTTAAGTTTGTTAGTTCTGATACCTAATTAAGTTAGGCTAAGTATATGATTGGCTGCACTGTTTGTGTCCCACATTTACTAAATCAATTATTTTATTCAATTGTAAATATTCAATCCATATTCCTCCTGTATAAAGTAGTATCTTTAAACGCATTTAAATTACGGTAGGCTTCACTTACATTTGTTGGCACAAACAACCGAATGAAAATATCGAAATCAGAAACTTTTTATTGCCGTAATTTGCAAGGTACATGCATATGACAAAGTCGACAACAAATGAGGTTCAAGTTCAACCAAGAAAATAAAACTAGATACCGGTAAAACATAAATAGTCAAAACATTTGTCTGGGCAGTCATAATAGATCAAAAAATAAAAATGTAGCTATGCAAGCATCGAGCTTATCAGAAACAAGACGGTAAAAGGTCAACAATTGTTCATACAGATCATATGGTCATATGGTCAATACTCAACATGCAAATAAATAAGAGAATTACAGGCATTGAGTAATTGTTGGCATGTCAAAATAACATGCTACTAAAATCTTCCTGAAAATAACTCTCTAGGCTATAAAAGGGCCTTTGTGCAAGCCACTCATGCAAAACATGCTTAAACCTACTCATGCTAACATTACGTGCTGTGCTAGGAAGTTTATTAAACATTGATAGGTATTCCTACATTACTAAACCACTTTTTTGATTTGGATAGTCTCACAAAAGGTAAATCTAGCAGATTACTGTTTCTGGTCACATGCAAGTGCACCGAGCTTCTACACGTGTAACTCTCTAGTTTTGTTTTAACTCGTACCAAGCAGACAAATATATACATATTTACAATAGTCAGTATTTGTTCAGACTGAAACAGAGGCCTGCAATGTGCATCCAAGGGCGCACCACTTACAATCCTCCACTTACAAGATCGATATATCGATTAAGTTATTCGATATATCGTTTGGTCAGTTAGGTAAGGTTAACCTAAATTAATAATTTTTTGACATAACTCTCGCGATTGTTGAGGCATTTGTCATAGCGTGGTACAAGTTTGAGTGTTCTCCTTGTAGAATGTTGCCACTGTGTAGTTAACCATGAGGTAACACGTTCTTTCAGCTCGAACCCGCTGACTGCCAAGAAAAGACTTCAGATTGCAAAATAAATGAAAATCGCTTGGAGCGAGGTTAGGGCTGTACGAAGGATGGTCAAAAACGTCCCAGCCAAAGCCCTGAAGAGGTGTCCTCGTAACATTTGCTGTGTTTGGTCGAGCATTGTCATGAATGAGAACCACTCCTTTTGTGAGCATTCCTCGGCACTTATTCTTCAATTGCGCGGGGCGGTATCCTAAGTGTCTCGCAGTAAAAATATTTATTGATTGTTTGGCCTCGTGCGCGGCAAAAAATGAATAAGCAACATACCTTTTCTGTCCCAGAAAACTGTGCACATGACCTTTTGAGGTCAAGATTTGCTTTGGTTTGATTTTTGCCCAGGACGTATTGTGCCTCCATTCCATTGATTGATGCTTGGTTTCAGGGATATCATAACCAATCAAATTTTCGTCTCCCGTGACTATCTGCAATACAAATGTATTGCCATTCTAGTCATAACGAGTCAAGAAATCAAGTGAACTGCTCATTTGGCGGTATAGTCCTGTTCTGAAAGGGTTTTATGCACCCAAGGTCCGCAAAGTTTACGAAAGTCTTTAAAGTTTTTCAGTAACGATCTCATAAATTGCAATCGTGGAAGAGCATTTATTGTTAACTTAGGCTACGACGGTTTTCTTTAATCTTTTCATTGATTGCACTAATCAGTTCATCGTTTACCACAGATAGACGTCCACTTTGTTCCTCATCATGCAGTGTATCTCGCCCTTCTTTGAACTGTCGAACCCATCTTCTCACCATTGAATCGGAACTCATTAAATTTTCCCCATAAACTTCACAGACTCGGTGAATGTCAATTACTTTTAACGTATTTTGCATTAAGAAAACGAATCACCGATCAAATTTTTTCACAAACGCTGTGATGGGATTTTTAATTAACACAGCCATTACGAACAAGCGCTATGAAGTGTACAACAACAATAGCGAGTTCAAAATGGTGTCATTTCCTTCCGGTTGACACAGAGTAATGTGACTGTGCATGCGCTAAACTGCGATCGCAGCGCTACCACAGATAGTAGAGGATACGGAACTTACTTTCCGAACGTAGGCCTACCTTGTAATAAATTTTGGTCATTAAATTTAAGTTAAAACCCAAATCTCAAATGTAAACATCACTCACTATAGACATACCAAGAACAAAACAACCTGCGCAGAAACGAAAAGATCACGTGGTTCGCGCCGGTAGGTGTGGCGTACCATTCAAACCTGCGCGGCTCGAAACGGCCCTGGGTTCTTTTGTTTCTGGTATTACTATAACAACCATGTGGGAGCTTTTAGTTTAGCAATATTCACTCACACTTGAAGCTAAATGGCACAAAAAATGGCTGATACAGATGTGATCATTAATATTGCCGACTACTAAAATAATAACCCATTTATAATCGCCTTAATGTTTATTTTTGTATAGGCCTACCTAGGTAATAAACAATGTTTATTAATTTGTTTTTTGGATGGATATAACTCATCTGTCTTTTACAAAGAAATTTCTTGGGACGAAGAAGCTATATCCGTTTTCCGCCCTTATTGTAAACGGGGATTGTCAGATATATCTGCCTATAGTCCAGGAAGGATTAATATACAGTATAATGTAAATCAGTACTGTCGTTCTGTTGCAGTTTTGTTTGTTTTGAGTAGCTGTTTGCTCCCCACAAACCTGTCCTCCCTTTAAGTGTTAGTCGCACACCAAACCACCGTTCATGCTTTTAAATGAACCTTAAAATTGTAGTCTTTGATTTTGTTTTCGGACACAAATTATTCATTCTGACAAAAACTGGTTGCATTTTCGGATTCAGCTGAAAGTAGACATAAAAAAATTGTGAAAGTTGGCTATATGAAAACTTAGGGTTGACACCTACAGGGTATGCCGTCAATAGTGATGCACTCGACCTCAGTCTTAGGTATTTTCAGACAAGTGGCGTGAAACTCGCGGCTTCAGTCATTGCAGCACATCTTCAACTGTTAGGATGTTATCGATTTTATCTAAAAACCATAGCTTAAATGCTTGATATCTTAACGTCAAAAGATAGGCCTAACTGAGAAATCAAATAAGTGAAATCTAAAAACTTGCAAACCATTAGGCGACTCCCTACTGTTCTCCCTGGTGCTGACTCTTGACTGATTGAAGTAGAGATTGATTCCAGCACAATAGGCTTGGACCACTTTCCCTCAAAGAGTTTAAATACTTTCTCGTGCAATTTTTTCTGTAAAAACCCACCGGAGTAGAAAAAAAAACAGTGAATCATGTTCAAATTATCTCCATTTGCCTAGGCATTTGTTAGGCTTTTAACGTTGCAATTATATCATTTGCAATTTTTTTAAAAAGATTATCCCCAACACAGGGAGGAATCAGTCAACCTCTTACTCAAACTTAAGTGCATCGTTGCAATAACAAAATGTTCTTTTAACAAGTTACCTGAGGTAGGTTGTATCGTTGTATTCTAGAATCAAGGTGTCAGCTAGGCATAGGATTAGGATCAGGTTCAATGATCTAGGGCCTATGCAACTAACCTTACGCCATTAACTTGTTAGGTTGGACTAGGTATTCTTATTAAAATTCACTAAAATTTCAACCAAAACTTAGTTTTGGTTAAGTATTTGTCTTTGCACAATTTTTTACTTTTTGTAGTAAGTTAGTAGGCTAATGCTTTTTTATAGCCAAATTCAGCCCAACAATGGTATTATTTTCTTATTATTAAGACACACATCATATCACATTAGCTACCTACAAAAATAGTTGTCAACCTTGTGTATTTTGACCTCATTGACCTGGGATACATTCGTCCTATATTTCTCTAATAATAAGCTTTTGTTTTACAGAGCCAGACTGCTGACAAAGCTGAAGCACTAGAAGACATTTCACCAGAACTTCTATACAAACATCCATTAAATCATGTGTGGACCCTATGGTACTTTGAAAACGACAAAAAAAAGTCCTGGGAAGAAAGTCAACGTGAAATTATTAGTTTTGACACAGTTGAAGACTTTTGGAGGTATTAAAAAGTTATATTAACAAATTACAAAGGGCTACAGTTTTATTAACTTCAATGTTTTATGCCTGTATCATTTTCAATACAAAAGCTTTAAAATTAACCTTTGCTATTTACTGTGGTTCTACTGAAGATGGTAGCCTGTAATTTAAACTTGGAACTCGCTTTACACGAAATTGTAAATCCTGTTAGTACTGAGAACAAAATCATCGTCATCAATATCATTATCAATTGAGATGTGAACGCCACCAATGAGCAGGGACAGCTGGGTCTAGTTTCGAAACCATTAAAATGCTTTTCACTTTTCTCAGGGTCGCATGGGTGACCTATTGATTACTAGGCGAGCACTGGTATGTAACATCTGGTATTCGTCAGTAACAAAGCTACACAGATCATGACACTCCAGTCACTCATATTTGGGTTAAAATTTGCACCTAGGTACCTCCCCATCTAAATCGATAATTAATTAATAAGACCAACTGTTTCACTAGTACAACCAGTAACCAGTTACTGTTTCAACCAGTAACCTTCCAAAAAATGTTATGCCTTCCCACTACTGTAACCCACCAGCCGCCACTTTTGTGATATTCTGTGTTAATCTGCTCTGCTTTGTGCTTAGTATTTTATTTTCTATAAGTATTCTTAACAATCTATCTATTGTTACAGTTTGTACAACCACATAAGACTAGCCAGTGAGCTGAGGCAAGGCACAGACTACTCGTTATTTAAGAAAGGGATTCGTCCAATGTGGGAAGACCCTAGAAATGTCAGAGGTGGTCGTTGGTTGATCAACCTGGAGCGTAAACAGAGAGACATTGAATTAGATAACTTCTGGTTAGAAATTGTAAGTTTGACATAATTTTATATTTGTTTACTAATGAGTTAATTACAGATTCATATTGATTCTACAATTCTATTGATTTTCTTCCGGTAACTAGCATCAAATATCTGTTATCCTAATATGTTGTAAATTTAATATTGGTATCACGTACGCTCGGTTGATGATTATTTTACAGTTGGTAGTTTTACTATACTACTCAGTTTCGAAAACTGGAGTGAAGTGAGTGTTCGTTTTCAGTTTCGATAACTGGAGTGGAGTGATTGATTACATTATCTTTGAGTTGACTGTTTTAAGTCATCGGAAATTATGACTGCTATTCGTTTTAAAATAACGCCTCTGTACCTAATACTTTGCAATTGCTCGAATTCGAGCAACAGGTGCACTAGTTAGCTTCTAATTGATTAGCTTTTATGAGAAAATAAAATTATGGCTGTGCAGGTCTAGTTATGTAATGAAGCTGATTTGAAATATATATAGCCTAATTACAATAATTTTGGTAATAAATTGTATCACAATAATATTGTATTAATCACACACATTACCAATATAGGAATAATAATCAGCTTACTGTTGAAATTCAACTTGGTGTATTTTTTTTATAAGAAAGTTCTATTTCCAAGAGTAAATGTGCTGTAGGCCTACCGCATTATGGAAAATGCAGCTTGTTTTCTACAGCTCACTGAGTTGGTTCAGTTATGATACCAACACAATAACGTTGCATATTTTCACTATTATTTGGGCATTTTCTATAAGAAAACTGTGGAATTAAGCATTGATGTATGCAGTTAAGTTTTTCTTTCATGTAATAACTCATATTATTTAATCCGACCTTTTAGGTTATCGAACTTTTAAACCATTTTGGTGAGGGTCAGGTACAGTATGAAGCATAAAGTGAAATTCCAAACACATTATATGGTTTGTTTCAGCTGCTGTGTATGATAGGAGAAGCATTTGACGAGTGGGGTGACGAGATATGTGGTGCTGTTGTCAACATTCGAGGCAAGGCAGACAAGATCGCTCTGTGGACTGCTGATGCTTCAAAAGCCAAGTCCGAAGCAGTAATAGCCATCGGGTAAATATTTGGGGTTTTTACTTAGTCTAGCATCTCTCAGACTTCAGTGAGAAAGGGGCGGTTTTGATTCCCGGGATATCCACAAAACATTACATTGGTTTGGACCACTTTCCCTTAAAAGCTTAATTCTATTCTTTCAAAATGCCAATATTCCAACACTTCTGTGCTACCCGTAATTGAGCATTTCATATTTTATTAACTATGATATTTTATGGGGAAAATAAAAATAGCAATCACCTTTTACAGCATTGGGGGTCTGTACAATTTTTTTAGTGTTGAAATTACCATAACATACTAAATTTAAATCAAAATCGTTCAAGCTGTTTTCCTAAAAATTAAATTCTTCTTTAATTTTATGTATTTTTACTAAAAAATTGCCATTAAAAATCAAAATTTGAAAAAAACACCTGGAGATATAATGGATTACCCACATACCTACTAAATTTCATAAAAATATGGACCACAGGGTAGTCTGTAGTGTGTACACATCCACACACATACACATCACTTCGAAAATCTCTTTTTCGTGTTCAAGCAAGACAACACTAAATAAACAAGCTATAATTCTCCTCTGGCATGACGTCATCATAGGCGACGGCAATGACGTAACGTTTGCCGTTTGTGATCAGCTGCTTGTTTTAATCTTTTCTTGGAAAACAAAAATTTAACTAAAAAAATATCATTACGTAATTGACGTTGGCTATGATGACATCATGCCAGATGAGCATTACGGCCTGTTTATTTAGTGTTGCCTTGGTTCAAAGGGGCTCAAAATGGATATTACCACAGAAAACTCAAACTTTAAAATCTTGACAAAAACAATACTTTGTCCAAAAATGTTGGGTAATGCTTCTTTTAATTTTTTAATTTGCCCATTCACGTTGGATTCAAAGGCATGTACATAGAACCTGTCAAGGAAAAACAGGTCTTTGTTAGACTTGGTCGTCTGTCAACCCTTAAGTCTAACCCAAATTAATTTGCCAAAACATAACAATAACTTGTCTCTTTTGAATTTCAGAAAGAAACTTAAGGACCGATTGAAAATTGGACCCAAGATGCAGATCGGCTATCAGATTCACAAGGACACAATGGAAAAATCTGGCTCCGTCGCAAGAAATACGTACACCGTTTAACGTTATGATATCAAGCTAGTTTGTTTTATTTAAAGACTCAACACTCCCTTTGTTTTATTTTCTGTTGTCTTTTACGTCAAAGTTTTTTATACCTCGGATAGTGTTATTGTGTAGTAAAGTTCTAACAGTGATGTTAAGTTCTCCACTTAAAAAGTAGAGATCAGCGTGCAGTGACCAGAATAAGCTGCTGAGGTATAGAAATGTGCTTATCGTTCAGAAGTTTTATTTTTTTTACTTTACTATTTTTGCAATCTTAAATGTTCTTTAAATTGCTACTTTGTCACTAGGAAAATCTTAGTACTGTTTCTACAATACAAGTTATACTATATACTGGATGTACCAGTTAAAGAAAGACTGAAACTTAAATACAATTGATTCATGTACCAAGAAAATATACTAGTGACTAGAGTAATATTCGAGGGAAGTCGTCATTTTGAAAATTTAAACTGAAAGAACTTGTATGAATTGTGCTGTTAAGATTTATTAGTCATTTGATTCAAATGTTATACTAGTTTTTGTTTAACAGTGTGATTTTTCTTTTTTAAGCTTTAATTAGGAATCTTGAAAATCGTCCTCAGATTATTGTAAATAATGAAATGATAAATTAAAATAATCTTCCAGCGGTTCTAATAAAGGTTTTCTGCAAGACTTATACTAGTTTACTTTATCCTCTATAAGTTTAGTTTATATTATAAGCAATCAACATAATACTATTTACAGGGTATCCAGCATGATTGATGATTGCTCATAATCACAGCCACATTGGTGATCACATCTTGTAATTATAGCAACATCCATAACTATCTCCTGTGATCATGTCAACACCTCTGATTATTTCCCGCGATGATTTCTTGCCATGTTGGAAACATCAACTATCATATCGGTCCCACAAATGCAGCGATGTGATAATTACGACCATGGCAAAGCCCAGCAGCTTCGTTGTAAGCGTCTCATACAATCAATGATTTACATACATTTTCGTCTTTGAATTTTTCCAACCAACCTTTATGAAACTAGTAAGTTGTTAGTGGCATAGCCAGGTTTGGAGCACCCTGAAGCGGAAATTGCTTATCCACCCCCTCTCCCAAACATCACCACACTCATATTATATATAATATAGTATATTTATATCCTTCCGGTTTTGCCATGGATAAAACATACTCTCTTAGTAGATTTCACCCTTATGAAACAGCTGAAGCCAATTTTATTGTTAGTTCTGTCCGGTGCACTCTTAGAGGTTGTGTTTTGTTTATAATTTGTTTCTTGTTATTTTAGTAGTTTACAACCTTGTTTAACCGAATAAAACAATCTTATCATAAACAATAACTCGTCCCCTAGCTGCAATCAACTCGTCGCAAAAACTTTGTCGACACTAGCGACTAGTTTCACAGGATATGAACTAGACACAAAAAACGAGCTTCAAATTTTAAAATGAGATGAGAAGTCTACTTAACTAGTTGTTTTAGTGGTTTTGCGGACGTTTTGTTGTTAAGCACTTATAACGAGCGCAAAAAACCCATCAGTGGCAACAGGACCGCCCTACAGAATCAAGCACTTATAACAACACAACTATGTCAATTTTCAATTAAAAATAAATTAGGTATATAATAGTATAACTAGGCCTAGTAGTTAATATATTTCGGCACTCTATGGTGCCATCTTCAGACTGACTCTAAAGATACGGCATTATGATTGAGTGCCAAATATATTATTACTAGCTGTACCCGTGGGCTTTGCCCCGTTTAACTTCATAAGTGAGCTCGTTCGCATGGCTCAATCACGTCCTGGTTGAAGTTCGTTTGCTACGCTCACTCACCTTTAGGTTGGAGCTTGTTTGCTGCGCTCACTAACCTTCAGGTTAGCTCGTTCGCTACGCTAACTCGCCTCCAGGTTGAAGTTCGTTCGCTACGCTCAACTCACCTTTTGGTTGCAAAATAGTGCTGCACCCTGTTGCTAATCCTTGTAACTTTAATGCTATTGAACATCATAGAACAGAACCAACTTGTTTAATTGAAACAGCTGTTAAGATTCATTAATTCCATTTAAATATGAGTACTCATAAGGTTAACATGGGAAACTCCAGAGCCACTGGGGCGGAGCCCGAGAGTCTGATAGAACTAAATTATACTATATAGTGGTATAGTGGAATAGTGGTATGATATGCAGTGTGTTAAAAAAGTCCTGGAACAGCTTAATATTTTGTTAACCAACATAGATACAGCAATACTTATTTGTATCTAGATATTAATCATGAAAACCAACCTTTAAAGCAATTATCAATATCCTTCTCTTCCAGGGGGACGGCCTACAAGGAGTTGGAAGAAAATCTTTAATGTAAGCATAGGTTGTGATATGCACTTCAAATAAAAGGTCTTTACTAGTAAAAAAATGGAGCCCTGAGTACTTGAAACCACAAGACATTTTGGTGGTGTTACATTATTAATCTTAATCTTTGTCTTTGTATGGTTTGTATGGATATCGTCATCTTCCTTAAAATCATACCTCTTCTCTTATTTCTATTCCGTGTGGGTTTCGGCACCATGTCATTAGATTAATTATTAAATAATTGTACTGAACTCAAGAAAGGTTGTGTATTTCTAATTTAACAAAAACTCAACCAAAATATAAAACAATAACACAAAACATATGTAGTACTACACTGTCAGTAACGAGTGAAAGACTAACAATGATAACAACGGTAAGGGATAAATGCGTCACGACTGGATGGATTCAGTGTCTAGGCTTTCTAGATAATGATAATGATAATTTATTTGCACATAACATACAAATTTGTGAAAATCACATGTACAGGTGCTTCGTCTTGATCTCTTAAAAATTGATTCTCAGTCCTTAATTATTCTAAAACATAAATTGGTTCCTAAGATGTTGATCACAGTCTTAAATTTAGTGCTACAATACAACATGAACATATTCAAACATAACAAGGTATGAAGAAGTGATTACCTGACCCCTTAAGGCCTGATGTGGTTCAGATGAACCTAAATTACTTGCCAAAACAACAACAAAGAATTACTACATGCAGGTACAAGTATCTATATATTAATTTGAAACTGTTTTTCCTTGTCATAGCTGAATTGAGAGAACGGCTGGGCGTAGAAACTCAGTAGAGGTGTCTAAAGAAAGGTCTTGGTCTGTAGATGAGCCATCGAAAGAGAAACATGGTACAGTCCACCACTCTTGGTAATTCAAACTCTTGATAATTCAAAACTTTCGATAATTCAAAATGAAGGCTCAGTCCCTAGAGAATCTCTCAGTATTTCAAATTTTTACCATGCATTTAGATACACTCGGTATTTCAAAGTCCAAATAGAGGGCAGGTAAATTTGTAACACGCAGTAATTCGAAGTTTTGTCGGAAAAACACTCTATAATTCGAAGTAACTCAGTAATTCGAAGTTTCGTCGGTTAACACTCTATAATTCGAAGTTTCGTCGAAAAAACTCTCTATAAATCAAAGTCATGCAGTAATTCGAAGTTTAGTCGGCAAAACACTCTATAATTCGAAGTGATCTCTTCCTGTTATAACAGGAAACTATACTGTACAGTACATCGTTCCCATGGTAGGCTAGTGTTGGACGTTTTGATGTTTGTTTAGTTAGAGCAGTAGTCTGAGTTAGTTCGCTGACTTGTTTTTCTAAGTTGGCAATCCGATCTCTAGATTGCACGACATCTCCTTGAGCACAAACGTAGTTGTCGACAGCTGATAGTGTAGCTATTGGCGAAATATATAGCGCTAAATAACAGATTTCTTTGCAACTACAGTAACTGAAAAATAAGCCGTTGATTGTTTAAAAGTGTACTAAAATACGGTATGATGTTTGATTGTAACGTGCTGTACCTTTGTATGTATTAAACAAATGAACTCTCAGTAATTCGAATGGTTTATTTTTCTCCCGATAAATCAAACTCTTGATAATTCAAAACTCTTGATAATTCAAATTTATATGCTTGGCCCACCAATTTCGAATTATCAAGAGTCTACTGTAATTTGAATTATTGAATTTGTCAAAATGAAGTAAAGTATTTGCAATGGATTTTTCTGATTTTAAAATTGATTTTCCTCTGCATCGTATAATTTTTTACAATATAATGTTCTATTACCAAATCAATGGAAAATCCTAATATCACAGTATCTTTTAAAATGATTTTTTATGGAGTTAACTTATATCTACTGTATGGGTTGGTTTCTGCCTTTTTACCACTTCTTGGAGATTGTACGTAGGTGATATTCTTTGGCATATTGCATCTGTAGACGAAACTTGGGTTGGTGTGATTATTACGGATTACTATGGAAAAGAGCGAGAAATCCTGGACAATTTGATATAGGCTAAAAATAAAACTGAACTGAACACTGTGCTACATTTCTTGAACAATCATTGAAATAACCGATTTGCAAACAATGGAAACATAGAAAAAGTCATAGAACACAACCAAGTAAAAGAAATAGAAATAATGTTTTTTTACCCTAAAAAAAACAAGATCAGCTTTTTGAAAAAAGATAAGATATTTACAAAAGATTGTTGTGTAGATCGTGAGTATTTCCATAATCTTTGAGTCGCCTGTAATGCTTCGCAATTGCTCGAATTCGAGCAACAGGTACACTAGTAATTCAGTAATCCGGAGGCTAAACAACTCTTTGAAATATAAGTTGCGAAATTTTGGCACTTGCCTAAAGTTGTAAAAACATTCTACACTTATAATTCAAAGATTTTAGCAAAAATTATACCCAGTAATTATTGTTTTTGAACACTAAAAAGTATTAATTATTTCCTAAAATATAAATAAAAGGATTCTAACATAGATAAAACTGAGTGATGTTTTTGTATTGTTTATTTACATTAAAATACATTAATACAATTATTTACAGAGGAACAACAGTCTTGTTTTCCAGTCTTGCATACATGGCTTGGTACAAATGAAGAAATATTAGTGACAACTTTACCTTTCCTGGACAAGTAAGTGATATATTTGTTTAAGGCCCAGGATAAATGGATGAGTCGACTAGGCACTTAAGCAACGCTACACGTCAATGGGAGACGTTCGGTTCAACTCTTGTGGGGTTCGCGACTAGATGTCATCCCAAGTGATATGGTCCCTTTGGTGATATGTTGCGGATTGAGAACGGAAAGCGGATATTTTTGTCAATTCTGCGAAATGACTTTGGTATTTGTACAAGAACCATCTGGTTTGTGCTACTATGATGCCCCTTTTTCAAGCTTTAAGGAGTTGCTTTATCATTGTACATGACATACCCCATACATTATAATTTACATGAAATATTTTTATGTGAACACCTCTCTAGGGCAAAAGTCTTGCTCAAATTTACCATAGGTCTACAATATTTTAAAAGATAATCCCTTTCTTAAATTATAAAGACAGCAGCAGATACATTTGCCATGTTTCTTAATATTTCGGTGGGAGATACTTTAGCCCAATTTTCTTATTGTTGTACAAACAAAATATAAACAGTCATAAGTAATTTTTTTTAGTAGCATTGTCTAAAAATAGTAAGAAAATCAAATATTTTGTCTTCGTATCACACATTTTTGCCTGTCTTAAGCCACATGACCCATCTGTGCTGATGGGCTAAGGTCATCTATCCACAAATAGTCTATTCTTAATTACCATCAAGTCAACCTTTTAACTCATTGTCAAAGCCTTAATACAGTACCAAGTACAGTAGACCCCCTTTTAACCACCTTGCATCAACCAATTATCCGCCATTGCTTGTAAAATATTACAGTTTGTTTAAACCTTTTTTGAGAGCAGTTCGGTTTAACCGCTGCATTCTAGGAATCTCGGCATTTCTGCTCCCTTGGCGATGGGAACAATACGCTAAACTCTAAGGATGTTACTAAGAATAAGCTAATTTGTACTGAGCTAATTTGTTCATGATTGTATCATTGATAAGCTAATTTGTATTTATCCTTTCTGTAACTCAAGCCTACAAAATGGTTGCTTGTCTCTTTAATTTTGACAATAAGTTCTGTACAGAATTACAATAAATATGGAAAACATAAATTACTAAAGGGATTATAGAATTGTTATCGACTCTATCTATGAGTATAATTTATTCCACTGAAAGTATTTTACTTTACCGTGTTTTTGAGTTTATTTGTGACTTTTCTATGGTCCAGACTTCAGAATAATGGTTATATAATTCCAAATGAATAGCATTTCATTTTTTTTAGTTTTTAGGGATTACTCGTTTCAACCAAACTTTTGAGTTATCCGACCTAGGTCAGGTCCCGTTATGTTAATGAGGGGGTCTCTAATGTACTGAGGTACAGTATCAGGTATACAGTAGATATAAAGTCAATGACAGTAACAAACAATTCTCTAAGGAAACTTGAGCACAGTGGAATAGCAAAAAAATATAACAAATTTAAATAACAAAACAAGTTGAATAAATATTTTGAAGACATTGAAATTTTGTTAGCTAACTGAGTTACAATGTTCCTTTCTTTTAAACATTGGTAAATGTTACTTGTATCGCTTAAAGAAGTATGAATCTCCACTTCAATAAAATACTTATATCCTTTATTTGCAAGACGAATTAGCTTTATAATACAGTACTTTAAAGTTGCGGCAGTCCCTTTGTAGTAAAGATTCTTACCTAACCATAATATAAAGTGGTATATTGTTAGTCCTATAATTTCCCAATTATGAACTTGTGGATTTTCCACAATTTCGTCATTTTTAAACCAGGATAAAATTACATGAGGAGTTTTCTTAAGACAGTTTAGCAAGAACCATTTTACACCCTTAGACTGAATTGTTTTGATGAGCAATAAAATGTCATAGAAAGTTAGTAGCATACCGTCGAATAAAACAGCAATCGCGAACAATCCACAATATATCAGTACACCACTGATAAAAGTGACATTAAAATTTACAAAAAATTCATGGATGTTGTAAATTACCAAGGTCACAACTAAAAATATAATTACAAACAATGTGATAGATATAACACCTTTTTGAACAATAGGCAAAATAGGCCTAATTGGTGTTTTATCCATTTGGTCTCCACTAGATAGGGAATTTCTTCTTTTCGACATGTTGCCATCAGTTTCACACATCCAACCTGCCAAAAAAAGAGCATTACTTTGAAAATGTTTAATCTGCCGTCAAACTGACTAGGGACAAGTTAGTTGAAGAGGATTCAAACACCCACATAACTATATGGAAAACTAATAAAAATAAGGTGAATTGAGGCTATAATGGTATATACTTGAGTCCCAGGAGTTTTCAATAAATTTATTAGACCTATTTCATCATTTTATAAAAATGAAAATTCAAATTCTTATGAAATAATTCTTAATGAACACACACACAACACAATGAGTACCAGTAAAAATAAACGGTATCAGCAATCTGACACATACTTTCTCCCATAAGCTTGCCAAGAACCTTTATCATGGGTAAGCGGTGGGAGTAACTATGATAATTTTGTAGGAAAAACCACAAAATTAGCAATAAATTTTGAACCGTAATTGTTTCAGTAATGGGGGTTGCATTATTTTGTTTCAAGGACCATAACACATTAATTTAAATCAAAACCGGGTCTTTTTCTAAAATCAGATTTTTAATTTTATGGGAAAATAACATAAAACTTACAATAGCTTTTGAACCGTAATTTTTAAAGTAATGGGATTTGTAAATTTTTTTCAGAATCTAAAGGATTAAATTTTTTATCAAAATTGTTCAGGCCATTTTTTAGAAAATTAGATTTTTTCCGTTATTTTATGGGAAATCCCCATTAAAAATCAAAACTAAAAAAAAACTAAAAAAATAAAACGCCTGGAGAAATTCATTAAATTGGACTACAGGTGTGTTCTGTAGCTCTGTACGCACCCACCCACACACATACATCACTTCGAAAACCACTTTTTTGGGTTCAGGGGGATCCAAAATGGATATATCCATCTAAAACTCAAAACTCGAAATTTTTGATGAAAACAATACTTTCTCCATGTACTATGTATAGGAGGAGAAAGTAAAACTGAGAGCCAGATTTGAGGAGCCAATCACAAATAAATAATCCATACATCCGTCATGGGGTCAGTGTAACATATGTGCTTCATAGTTTTGAGTCGTCAAAGTAATATCATGGTCACATTGGAACACGTCTGAGATCATTAGGTTTAAGCTGCTTATAGACTGTGGAAGTAAATTCTGCACTACTCATACTTACCAAGGAAAGAGCCCCTATGGACAACGTTAACTATGTGATTGTTTAGTGCTACTGACAAGTACCTGCAGCCACCAACTATTCTCTTCTTTCCATATCCATAAGCTGCTTAAACATTAATAAGGAGGCAGGCTCCATTTTGTATTGGATGTGACTGAGCTATATCCCAGAGTGTCAAATTTGTAGGCAAGCCAAATAAAAAAATAAAAAAAAACTTATTACTTTGAATAGTTTGTTAAAATAGTAATGTGGGGAATTTATGTTAATTTGAAAGCAATGTGGACTGTATTATAGTTATTTTGAATTGGTTACACTAACCTTTTGTTATTAAACTGATGCGTAGACTGGGGGCCCCCTTTGATGAATCCTGAAATGCTATAATGTTGATAAGTTCACTTTTTCACACTATATGATGTTAAAAAACACTTCAATTGTCTTTATAATAAGTTATAAGCCAGCGGTAAATATTTATGTTGGTAAAGAGGTTTATGGTATTTGAAAATGTAGGAGAAAAGGCATGTTAAGTCCTCATAGCAACAGGACTTGCCCAAGAGTCCCACTGCTCTACTGAAGGAAGGAGTTGGTCATGTGATACATATCAATGACCAATCAGAGAGCTAGTCTTGAAACCATGGGATTTGAAGATACTGATGCACTCTATGAGGAAAACATTTAACTATTTGAAATGGTATTTAAATGGAGATTGTGGTGAAATCAGTTACATATTATGTACATATTATTAGAGTGCATTAAAATTAAAAATTAATATAAGAATACTTAGAACAAAACAGTGTATATATTTGACATACCGGCCCCCTTGAACCGATCCGGTTCAACAGAAAAACAAGAACCATGCATGATTGAAATATGAGGAATAAAAATAAGGAAGGGGGTTGGTAGCCAGAGTTATGTTAGGTTAGTTTATAGGAAGGCGGGAAACCTTAACTACAGGTCGTGTTAAGGTTTTTGTAGATGTCTTGATTTGAACGACTCTTACAGTGCCATCTTGACCAGGAGAGGCTGAGATGATTCGACCAAGCATCCAAGCGAGAGGTGGAGTATTGTCTTCATGAATGATTACTAAGTCTCCGATCTTGAGGTTTTCTTCTCGAGTAATCCACTTAGATCGTTCTTGGAGGGTCTGCAGATACTCTCTATGCCATCTGTTCCATATGTGTTGAGCAAATGCGTGCACAAGTTTCCACCGTTTCAGGCGATTTACAGAGATATCCGTGAGATGAGGTTCTATTAGAGACGTCAGAGGTCCTCCTGTCAGGAAGTGTCCTGGAGTTAATGCTTCAAGGTCAGATGGGTCTGCAGAGAGTGGTGTAATAGGCCTTGAATTTAACATTGACTCAACACGAGCAATCAGAGTTAGAAACTCTTCATAGGTTAGGATTTGTGTACCTATGACTCTCTTCAAGTGGTATTTGGCACTTTTTATTGCCCGCTCCCACAAGCCTCCTTGGTGTGGAGCTCGAGGTGGTATGAAATGGAAAGTTATTTTGTTGTTCTGGGCAAACCGTTGTGTTTCAGGTTTTATCATTAGGTCTTGGAAGCATTTTTTAAGCGTTGAGGCTGTTCCAATGAAATTGGTGGCACAATCTGAATATAAATCTGATATAGTGCCTCGTCTGGCAGTAAACCTAGTTAAGGAAGCAATGAATGCATCTGCTGAAAGATCTGTGACCATCTCCAAATGTACAGCCTTTGTGGCAAAGCATATAAATAAACAGAGATAGACTTTAATTGGCTGCAGTCGACGTAAGATGTGAACCTTTACTGTAAAAGGTCCAGCATAATCCATAGCGGAAACATTGAAACAACGAGTAGCCGTAACACGTCCAGCAGGTAAGTCGCCCATTAAAGGTGCTGTCATTTTAGGCTTAGCTTTGAAACATCGAATACATTTAAATATTCTGGAGCGTATAACACTTCTCTGAGACAATATCCAGTAGTTTTGCATTAACATTGCTTGAAGGAGTTGTGGTCCTGCATGTAGATATATTTTATGAAAGAAATCAATCAGCAGGTGGACTACAAAATGGTTCTTGGGAAGCAAAATGGGATGTTTTGCACTGTACTTAAGTGGTGAATTTTTCAGTCTTCCACCAACTCGTATGATTCCTTCTTCATCTAAGAAAGGTGCAAGCCGTTGTATTTGGGTAGAACATGTTTTCTTAGCTTGAAGCGATTTGATCTCATTTGCAAAGCATTCCTTTTGCACACACCAACATATGCGAATTGTTGCACTTTCAAATTCCTGTTTGGTTAAATGAGTGGTTATTTTTGCCTTTAGCTTTAGACATTTAATAAAACGAAGAACATAAGCCATAACGTTTACAAGTTTAGACCATGAGGAATATTTACTTAAAAAATGTAGTTTAGAGTCATCGGTTGATGTTATGAGGTTGAATGTCTCTGATTTCAGTTCATTAAGAGATTCTTCAGGATCTGGGGAAAGTTTAGTTTGTGGCCATGTAATTGAGTCCCATTTAAGCCACTTAGGTCCTGACCACCAGAGCTCATGATTCATTAAAGCGGATGGTGTTAGGCCACGAGAGGCGCAATCAGCGGGGTTCTCTGCTGAGGAAACGTGTCTCCATATGCATGAAGGAGTAAGCTCTTGTATCTGAGCTACTCTATTTGCCACAAATAGTTTTAGCTTGTAAGATGGGGTGTGGATCCATGACAGCGCAATCATAGAATCTGACCACGCATTGATAGCTGTAATATGGTATTGTTTATCAAACTTATTGATGCAATAGTGAAGCAACTTGGCAAGTAAATGAGCACCGCATAGTTCAAGCCTAGGTATTGTAGTGCGTTTAAGCGGAGCTACCTTTGATTTTGCAATCAACAAATGAGTTGAAACATTGTGATCAGAATCTTCTAACCTTAAAAAGACACATGAAGCATAGCCTGATTCACTAGCGTCTGAAAAGCCGTGTAATTGTATATTACTGGCGTTTACCATGGGAAGGTAGCGAGGTATTTTTAGATTGTCAATTTCTGAGAGCTCACTGATAAATTGAGACCATTTCTCAGAAAGTGTCTCAGGAAGCTGAGTATCCCATTCTAACCCTAAACACCAAATGTGCTGCATTAATGCCTTTGCCCAAAAAACCAGCGGACAAATTAGACCCATGGGGTCATAAATCTGAGCAATGAAAGAAAGAAGTGCTCTCTTTGTATGTACTCCTAAGGGTTTGGGTATAGCATAAGAAAATTTGTCTGTTTGTGGTACCCATTTTAAGCCAAGGACACTGTGACAAGGTTGATCAGTGCTTCGAAGCATGAGGGGGGTTTCACGATGATCCAGCGGAACATTTTCAAGAAGTTTCTCATTATTAGAAGACCATTTTCGAAGCTGAAATCCTCCTTTGAGTAGTAAATCGATAACATCTTGCTGTAAGTCAAGGGCTTCATTTAAAGTGTCACAACCTAACAAAGCGTCATCAACATAGATTTGATCTTGCAGAGCTTTGGCTGCTAGCGGATGGTTATCACCTTCATCGGCCATTAGCTGTTGGATAACACGATTGGCTAAATATGGACTTGAACTCATGCCGTATGTAACCGTGGTTAACTGATACACTTTGATCGGATGAGAGGGCTCTTTTCTCCAGTAAATCAATTGAAATTTTCTATCATCTTCATGAATTAATATCTGCCTAAACATTTGTTTTATGTCACATGTGAAGACATATTTATGTTGTCGAAAGCGAAAAATTATATCAGTGGGATCGTTATGCAGTTTTGGGCCTTGGTGTTGTAAGCTGTTAAGCGAGATTCCAGTAGAAGTCGGGACTGAACTGTTAAAAACCACTCTTAGCTTGTCTCCTTTAAAAACACCATGATGAGGTAGGAAGAAGTGAGGTTTGTCTGAGGGC